TATTAACCATTTTTCCAAATTCAGAGCACTATATTTAAGTGACCGTTACAATCTGTTTCTCATAAACATGTGTCTTATGCAACGTCTTAGTTTACATTTTTTATGGCCTTTCTCTTATGACGGTAGTTTATAAAGCACTTGTTTCACCTTCTATCTCTCTCACCCGAGTTTTCATCGTAATTCTTTCAATATTTACGTTTATTTTTCCACGAACTCATCTTACCTTTCGACATTGAAGATTGCATTTTCTCAGGTGCTTATTCTGAATCAGTGTTTTGGGAAGCAATAAACATCGAATTAGCATGAGCCACTCTCCGAAGATGGTGTTCAAGTTCCAGAATGACTTCCAAGATCCTCTGGATGATGGGAACGCCATCCACGAGACACTACGATGATATATCAGAAAAATCTCAACGCTTTCAAAAGATGATGGCCAAGTTCCAGGGTGACTCCCAGAACAACGCCTAGGTCTGCAAAATGTCTAGGCAACAAATGCCATGTGGTCTAATATACCAGACCTGTATAACACAAATAACATAAAAAATAATTGAATATATCATTTACTTAAATAAGTTCGGTGACAGCATGAGGTCTTGTTACCAGATCTGATACTATCGTTGAAGGGTTTGGCGATGTGGTTCAGAATAGACCAATAAGAATAAATAATGAATTATTATTTATAATATTTTAAATAAAAAATTTTTATATAAATCATCTGAACTTACTGAGCGAGTGCCAGAGGTGGACTCGTACGAAACATACGTGGTCTTGTCTACGAGATCTAGTTTGTTATCCTCGTTCTTTGGCATCTTTCTTAGCTACGTACTGCCGGCAGACTTTGGATTTTCATATCAGCAAGAATCAGCAACAGCGAACCCTTTCATGTGTGGTACAAACGGGTCACCGTCTAGTTAAACGCCTCATCGCTGTTGGTTAAGCGTTATTATTTTAGTTTAATTTCAATGGATTAAGTCGAGCGGGTTCACTTATCGAATAAACTGCCGGCTAACCAGGTACAATTTGCAGTACAAGAGCAAATTATGCTACGGTGCTTGTTGATCATCGATCGGTTTTTCAAATTCCACTCCTATCAGAAAAATGCAAATTATTAGATAAATCTGCAAGTTTTTAAATCTTGCGAAATTATAGAGCAAAGAAATAAGAGAGTGACACCCAAATACTATAATTAAAAACTATCTCCATTCAATTTATTATTGAATGGTTCTTTATTCAAAAAATAAATGGATCCGCTGTACAAACATGATGACAAATTTACAATAAAAATAATAATAAAAAACGCATACCAACGCAACTGAAAATTTTTTCAAGATTACGTTATCAATTGCTATGAGTCAACAAAAAATTAATTGTATATTTTGCTAAATAAAATAAACAATATAGTCAAGTTACTACTCATAATATGATATATAGCAATCAGAAAACGCAATACAAAATACAAGCGAGAAGCTACATGTCACTAGTCAAACTGAGGAAGAATGTGAAAAACATGATTACAAAACAAAATTAATCCTATTAATATATGGAATTATTAGCAAAGTCCATTTTTAATAAAACAAGGATATGAAAATATTACATGGAATAATAGTTTATGAAATAATATAATATTGGATAACCAATAACAATAAATCTATTTAAGATGTTGAAAAATACTATTGTATTGTTTACTAAGATATTGAGTATCCTCTTGTTTGTTAATAGTATTACTGTATGTATTGATAAATACCATTTCGAAAATCAATCTTTTATTCTTACTAATTTCTTTGTTTAAAATTCGAACATTGATGAAATCAAACGGGTGTATCGGATTTTCAGTAAATCTACAAGTTATTGCAAATTATTGGAAATAATCTCGAACAAATTACAAAGAACGTTAAAAAATGCTAAGCAATTTGCGATATAAGAAATCATTGAAATGGATGGAACTTGCTAGCAAAATGATAAAATTTGTTTACTTTATTTGGAACTTGGACAAATGTTGAAAACGTAAATTTGCCGAAAATGTCGATAGTTTCCAATTGTTCCAATCGTTCCTATTGTTTAGGTTATCTGCATTTGTTGTAATTTTCCCCGAGGTTGATCAGTGCTTGCGGATTTTCTTGGTAATGATCGATTTATGCAAGACTAATGTTTTTTGCCCGGGATCGCAGATTGCATATTGCGCCGAGCACCAAGTGATTATGGTCTGGAGCACGCGCGTACTTGAGCCATATCGATCGGGCAGCACTGGCGAACGAGGCTTGTTATTGCTGCTGAAAAGAAATGCGCACTAGTGGATAACAGAGTAGTGCGTGAGCATCGATCGCGAGATTTCTATCAGTTCTGCGAGCGAAAAGCTAGCGAGCATCGAACTTGCGAGGCCGCGCGCACGGCAGGCATGGAAGCAGCGAGAACTAAATACGCTTTTTCATTTCATTTGCATGCACTGGATGGGCGCTATATGAGCTGCATTTGATTCGTCGCGCTTTGTGGCTTGGTCGATGCATCAAATATGTCCGCAGAGAAGAGGACGAGTGTAAAGCCCCTCGATATTCCGGTCGTTTAGCCGGACCAACGCTCAGCAGCTGTGCAGTCGTCGGCGCGTTTCTTTCGGTCGATTCCGCGTCAGACTCCCCGTCGTTCGCGCCGAGTCCTTTCGGCAGCTCCATCAGTAGTGCGAGTCTGCCTCCGGTCGGACGAGCAGCCGAGCATGCTCCGCTCTCCCGATAAATTTCAGTGCGACGGAGGCTGTCGTCGCGGGACCAACCCCCATCAGCCCCATCGGACCCGTGCTGGGCTTAAATTCGACGAGAGCTCTTTGGTTTGCGTGCGCGTGCATGGGTCTGGAGCAGCGACGGTGCCGGAGAAAACGGGGGCGGCCATGCACGATGCGAAATGCGCGAGGCAAAGCGCCGAAGCGATTCAAGTGACGACTCAACGCGGCTGCCTCGCGAGCGAACTCGTTCTCAAAGGCAATTTTACGCCTGGCTTTGCTGGTCGAATCGCACTGTCGCCCAAGACTGGTGCTCGAGTGGCCGATATTAGTTGCTTGTCCGGGACTCTCCCGAAATAATATGCGCGCGTGCGGCGCGTGCGGCGCGTGCGGCGAGCGTGGCCGAGTGGAGACTGCATGGCCACCTGATTGAGCAGCGCGCGATACCTTGTGTGTCCGGCTTACGTGTCACGCCGGCGCCCTCGATTCATTCGCTAAGTCTCCGTGGCTGCTCTTTACTTGCTTCTTCATCTCGTTCACTCTGGTGCTTGCAATGACGACTTAGATCGATTGATTACGTTGATTACTCGTCGCTCCATTAATCGCATGAGACGGTAAAATCAAGTCCCTAGAGATAAGCCTCTCTTATTCTGTATTGACTTACGATCAATCAGTTCACGTGCCAACTGTTACATGATATGCAATTGATAGCGAGTGTCGAATATCTATATATTTAATAGCTGCGACCTCATTCAACGATATTCTGGATCAAATTATTGAAGCCCTTTCAACGAGCGCTCACATTCATGCGTTCAATAATTAAAAAATCTCGTAACCATTTTCGCCTGTCGATAGTTCTCATATCACAAGAATCATTCCGAAGCCATAATGTACGAGAGATTTGATTTAAATATTTTTATTTCCGATAAGCTCCATTAGCGGCAATTATTCAAAAGTACGTTGTGTGCGACGTTTATGTTAATGTTCGGCAGAAAGTAGAGTATACAGCAGTCGTAGTACTATTTTGGATGTAATCTAGAGATAACATCCGAAGTGGTAGATAAGAGAGAGAGTTAGTATGTGCTTGAGTGTGCAAGAGAATAGTCAGAAAAAACTGGCGAGAGGAGGGGCTTGCGAGGGGCAGAGAGTAGGCATTAAGCCTCGAATCTGAAAAACCGGACCTCCTAACCGTCAGCGTTCAGTCCCAAGAGAAGCTCGGACTAGCTGTGAGCTACGCCAGCCAACTTGCACCAGTCGCTACGTAGCGTACAGCATTGAATCGAAATAACCATATAAGTTACTCCAACTCGAAGCATATCTTGTTGTTCTTGTCAAACTGATATTGATCCGTGCGTTCAGGCAGTTTTGGAAGATCAAATCAAGCCAACATGAGCGTCAGAAAAAGTACAGTTGGCGGTCAAAAACCATTCTGGACTCCCTCAAAACCATTCCATTGTCTCTTGCCGTTAGTCATTAAAATAACGCCCAATTTATAGCTCGTTTCGCTCGATTATCTGGCAATAATTGCAGCTGGACTTGGCGTGAGCTAATAAATATTATGGTTAATTGGCCGAAGTCCCATAGAATCCCTTTTAATCAAGACCGAATAACCCCTGAAGCTCCGAACGGAATTTTTGGGAAACCTACGCTCCGGAACAATAGCGGCATTGAGCGAGAAAAAATGAAATATTGCACAATAGACTGGTTCAATGGAAACTTCATTCATTGTACTTTATAAACTTGGATCCTCGCGTGCCGAGCTACTTCAGATGGATTCAAAATACACGAGGACGTGGCGAAAGATTCTCTTGTATTTTTACAGCTTCTTGGGCATTTGGGCCGACAACTTATTTCGTGCAATTTTCACGGTATCGGAGTAAAGCTCTACTAACGTTGTAGTTTGAATCAAAAAGCTCTAATAGGCTATATGGATGACATTGAGAACAGAGAAAAACGGAAAAGTCAAGATCCTCTGTTGGGCTTTTCAGTCTCTCTCTCTCTCTCTCTCTCTCTCTCTCTCTCTCTCTCTCTCTCTCTCTCTCTCTCTCTCTCTCTCTCTCTCTCTCTCTCTCTGTCACTCTGAAATTCCAGGATCTGTTCAATGACGACGACGACGACGACGACGACGACGACGACGACGACGAGCCCGTTCAATACGCATGCGGCTCATGCGCGCGCAGATGCTGCTGGCGGCGACGGCGCTCAGTCTTTGGCTTCGATTCGTACCCCCTCCCTTGGCAGCCCCTTTCGATCGACGCGCGAGCGTCCAGCAGCAGTGCTAGCGGGGTAAGCGCTTGCTCGCGCGCCGAGCGCGTACAAGCAACGCTCTGTTACCGTGGAACGTGTATACCGGTACAAGTTGACCAGCAGAAAACAAATGGATACCCTGATGAGGGTAACAAGTGAGTGAGAGCAGAGTAAAGAAGAATTGGAATAGTGAAAGTATTTGCTGTGCGGAAAGTGGTCGTGATGTCGACGAGAGAGTGAGTGATTATGTCGAGTGCGCGGATGCAAAGTCGACAGTGTGCACAGCAGCAGCAGCAGCAGCAGCAGCAGCGGCGGCGGCGGCGGCGGCGGCAGCAGTGGCGGCAGCAGTGGCGGCGGCAGCAGCAGCGGCGGCCGGCGTGATGCGTCCGCGAGCAAGAGCCCGGCGCCGTCGGCGCGCCGCCACCAGTGTAGTCTTGGCGGCACCGTTGCTCTTTCTGTGGATCGTCGGAGCTCTTTGCGTCAAAGACGGTGAGCTTTCTGTGGCAGTTTTAGTCTGCGTGCTACTCCATCTACTTGGATTCGCTTTTCACTATAGCCATCTCCTGCGCGCTCGCGAGCCCGGGTCTACAAATGCGCCGTTAATCGCTGCTCTCCGATCTGCCAAGATCACTGCAAAGTCGCTGATGCTTTTGCAGTTTTGGGCCGATGCGCTGTACTCGTGAGCGGCCCTCGACTGCGGAAGGCCGTAGACGAGGACAGTGCACTCGGCTTGAAGCGATTACAAGCTCGGTCTATCAGGGCATTATTATCCACGAGATCTTATCGGTTTGCCTGCAGCTGTGTGATCGCGCACCCCTCCTACTCTGCCGTCCGAAAACCTTCGCAATTAAATTCGCTCTATGGCTAGCCGACAACGATTAAATTGATGAGAAATCGAATGAACTAGCCAGTGCGGTTCCGCGGCTGAGTTGACGACAACCAAGAAAGTAAGTTTGAAACAACGAAATCGCTCGTAGCCATCCGTCATTACGGGGAATCATCCACGTCAGCTGTAAAAGTACCAATATCCAAGGCGAAAAGTCGACTAAGAATTTTTGCCAGTTTCGAACACAGGCGCATTTGTACTATTAGTTGATCCCCGAGTAGCGAGCATTTCAGAAAAAAACGGCCAATCTGCGCTGCACAATGCGGCGAGAGAGCCGTAGTACAAAGAAAGAGGCGATCGACGACGAGGACGAGGCCGAGCAAAGGGTCAGCAAAAAAAAACGAAAAAGAGAAGAAAGGCAGGCAAGAGACGACAAAGCGAGAGAGCCGGTCAAACAAAATATGCGGTCGGCACGTAAGCATTCGAGTGATATACGCTTTGCTAGCTCCGAGGTAGGCACTGGATGTCGACCTATAGCCACCGACTCATCTACGTCTGGCGAAGAACACCTGTACGCGTGACTGTCGTTAGCCGATCATTTGGCACTTTTATGAATAGTGTTTCACAACCAATTGGCCGACGTGTGCGCTCCAGTCAATACTATGGTCACGGCACTATCCGGCACTGTAAAACATTCGGACATTTGCTTCACATCGAGGCCGTAGAAACGTCAAAATTGCAGAATGAGCCGGCAACTCGAATGCTCAATCAATGCGCGCACAACTGCAGCAGCGCTGCCACTCTTTGAGCATCCGAATAACTAGTTGCAATGGGCTTGATGCGCGGATCAATCGAGATGAAGAGAGAGAAAGCTACCGGCGCAAGCTCGCAGACTCTACTCGGCCATGTTTTCTACTCGCTGGCAGCGAGATCGACATCCGTCGACTTTGTCCGGTGGCATTGCCTAATCGAGGCTTGTACTGGTGCACCTGAACGAGTACACTCACTGTCACTTGGTTGGAGCAGTCTGGCCCGTGCAAACGGTCGGCTAGTCGAGTCTGGACGTGGAGCTTTGTCAGTGTGTGCACGATACACAGCTGGCGATGAATTCATAATGAATTGTCTTGCGCAAAGAGGATGCTTGAGAATAGTATGTCGTCTGCACAATGAATTAATGAATTAATTAATTGGAATGCAGGCACCAGCAGCTGCTGTGATACAGAGTGGCATTTCACTTGTAAATAGAGCGACCGGCCAAAAGCTTCGAAGACCGATGTTGAAAAATGCCACTGGCGAGCGCTTCGCTCACTCGCTCCAGTGCATTACCCCTGCAGAGTGCACCTTGCTCGTCTTCGTCTTGTTCATTGGCCCTTGCACCTTATATTGAATTAGCGCCGAAGCCTGTGCATAATTCGGATATGATCAGCAGCTACACTTGTAGGAAAGAGACGCTCAGTGGAGCCTCGACAGGATAGACCAGAAAAGAAAATCAATGCAGCTCTTGTAAACAACAGCGCAACGAAAAGAGAGAGAGAGAGAGAGAGAGAGAGAGAGAGAGAGAGAGAGAGAGAGAGAGAGAGAGAGAGAGAGAGAGAGAGAGAGTAATCGTACGGGGCTGCACGTGAAACGAAGCGACAGAGCCAGGCTGCTCTCGTTATTCATCTATCTTCTGTCTCTCCAGCTATTCGCTCGCTCTATTCGTCTTGTCGCGCGTCGGCAACTACCCGCACGAATCGCGCACGCCCAGCCAAAGTTCCAGCAGTGCGATAAGCAGCGCTAGCTAAAGCTCGCCTTTTTTATTGCTCTCGCGTAGCACAACGAGGTTGTAAGCTGCAGCTGATATTTTCGCCTGTAGATTTTGTAGAGAAACCACTTTTAACAGCGACTCACATTTTCGCGTTAGCGACCTGCACGTCAAGAGGCATAATTGCAACTACGACTAGTCATCGTCGTCGTCGTCGTCGTCGAGGGAGAGAGAGAGAGAAAGACTGAGCGATGCAGACGTGCAGCACAGCAGCAGCAGCAGCCGCGAATCACATCTAGCACTAATGCAGTTCCGCAAACTAAGCTTTCTCTCTCTCTCTTACACACACACTCTCGAGTGCGTGCGCCGCTTCCATCGTCGCAGCCCGAATCACTAGGTAACGAAACAGACTTGTAATTTCCGGGAAATGCAAATTGCTCGTTCAGCACAGTCCGCCGCAGCGACACACTTGGCCAGTAATTAAACGAGTGTTTAGTACAATTTATTGCTGCTAGCAGCTGAGGAGCCAGCCACACATTGCTTTTGCACGACAGCACAAACCGCCCCGAGCAATTATAATCAGTTGTTTCGCCTCTACTTACAAACTCGGCCGAAAGCGCGCATCGACACTCGCCTGGCAACGGTTTTTAGTCGCGCCGCGCAAGTTCCGCGCCAGAAACTGCTGGCGTTTGCTTGCTTGCTCGTTGGCTCGCAAGACAAACACTCGAGGCAAATTGACCGACTGCTAGAGCCGAGCCACCTGCGCAATTATCAATGTTCGGCGGCACTCGGCACTTTGCGTGCAAATGAGCCGAATGCCAAGTGCCGCCGTCTCGACGACAAATCGATTTGCAAGATTTCGAAGCTGCCTTCGCAAGCTCGTAGACCAGCCTTCCCTTACGTCGCACGTCCATACGTTTGCATATTATGAGACGTAATTGGACGTAATTCGCCCACGTCGACTCGATGCAGCGCACAAGCGCACGGGGGCCAAGCAGCCGCGAGAGGTCGATAGAAGGCTATGAAAGGCTGCGATTTGGCACTGATCCGAGCGAGCGCGGGTGCCGCGGGTGCCGGATGAAGGAGGAAGCCGGAACAGCAAGGATTGCGGACATGGAGCGAGCGCCCGCGAGGGACCGGCCGCTGATTGTCCCGCCACGAGCAGCTGCGCGAGTTGGACGATAAGCAAACGAATTCGCATGCTGCAGACTCAACAACCTGTAGATATCGGCAGTAGGCCGTGCTGGCCGAGTTTTATGCGAGTAACGATGTGCGAACGAGCAGCAATGCGGCCGTTTGCGAATTCACTCGAACGAGAGGCAAGGCGGCCCGTTTGCGCATTGGAGCGAGTGAGTTCTTTCGGAGCAACGTGCTCATGGGACACGTGCGTGCGCGCTGGCACCAGGTTGCCACCGCCAAGGGCAAAGCTACTACGTTCGCCCGTGACTACCAGTTGGCACGCGATCAACCTTCGACGTATAATCGATTCGCAGATCTCGAAAAAAATGGATTCTCGCACCGACTAAAAGCTGGCATCCGCAGTGTCGGTACAGCGCCAATTTGTCCCTATTATCGTTGCGCAGGCGGCCACACCTTAGCTTCGATCGACTGTTGGCAGCAGCGACTGGCGACAGGACCTTGTCCCACTCGCTGCTCTCACTCGTCGTAGGCGACAAAGTAGTCGGCGTGCTCGGCAGCACGAGAGAGGGAGAGAGAGAGGCGCTCGCAAGCGAGCGTTATACAAGATTCCAAGACTGCTTGCGTACTTTGCTGGAACGGACGGACAATAACGTCTTGCAGTCATTTCGGCTTTGCTATTCTTTGCAATGGCATTGCAATGGGCAGCGCGCGGCGCGGTCGACGTATTTGGCGCGATCCGCACGCGCGGCTGGGCGCCGCCAATCGAGGCAACCGGACCCCATTCGGATAAGCAGCAAAATGATCGAAAGCACTGGTCTAGAGACGGATCAACATCGGCGCTACTGGAACACCGATCAGCCGCGCAAACGTCGCTAAAAACGGTCTTGATGCGATCGAGTGGCGAGCCAAGTGCGAGCGCGGCAGTCTCGACCAACGATCGGCCTGCTGGCGGCGCGCTTTCCTAGCTGCACGGCGAGTGCCCGTCTCGAAGGTGGGCCGCCGCTGGCAGCGCTGCGGCAGTGCGAACAGTCGACCGAGCCGGCCGGCGGACGGAGAGGGGCGCGAGCGCCGAATATCGATTGGACGAGGCAGCCAAGCGGCCGGCATTCTCCTTGGCGCGTCCGGCCCAGTCGGCGCGGAGCCTCGAGCGCCACGGCGCCGGCTGCGGATAGGCCGGTCTTTCGGTCTTTCGGTCTTCCGACTTGGCCGAGCGCCAGTGCGGCCTCGGGGCCGGGCCGACTCGCAGTGGTCGCGCGCGGCAGGCCGTGCAGCCGAGCGGCAGCCGAGCGGCAGCCGAGCGAAGCGGACGAAAGAATAAAAGCGAGTAGGCTGATCGCAATCCGACCTGGATTCCCACGTAATTAAGTTATACGCGGCACGCAATAGGTCTGCGCGCGCTCGCCAACAATGCCGCGCGTTGTATCGCGCTAGGACCAGCCAGCAGGCCGCCCGGCGGACCGCGTTAATTGAGATTCCAGCCAGCTTTCGAATGTTCGCAGCCGAAGCTTGCTCCTTTCGGCAGCGAGAGCCTCTCGGGCTTTTTGCCCGGGCGTCGGTGGCAAACTTGGTTGTCACCGGCGGCGAGCACGGCCGAGCGCCGGATGTTCGCGCGACGCACCGGCATCGACCGCTCTAATTCCGTGCTGTTCAAGCGGACGCGCACACAGCTAGCTGGCCGTGGCTGGCGGTCTTCGAGGCTCGAGGCTCGCCGTTGCCGCGTGGTGGAAGGTTGGCCGCTCGAGCGGGCCGCCGACGACGCTGGCCGGCAATCGGCACTCGAGCCCGTATGCTTCCGGGGATGCGGCCCCACCTCGAAAAACGAATATACAGAGGGAAAGAGAGAAGCGAGAGCGGCAGCTAGGTGAGTTAACGCTGCTCACCGCGACAACGCCGCTGAGATACTATCTTGGCCGTGTTAATGTGACGAGCAAACTTGCTGCGGTTTCTCGCGAAATGAGCTCGTGAAAATGTAACCGGCCTTGCGTCGGCCGCGTCTAAATAACGACTAGCTGCTTGCTTTGCTATCCACAGCTAATTGTTGAATAGTCCGTCTCTGCCTCTGTAAGCAAATAATACTTGGCTCAAGTTTCGAGTAGCCCACACAGCGACGACTTTCTATGCAGCAATTAATTAGGAGGTTAACTAGATTTCTCGCCCAGCAGTCGGAAGGATTTTCAAATTAATTACAGAATTACGCCAGTCTATAAGACTTTGACCTCGCTGCTGCTGCTGTCGCTGCTGCCGCTGCTGCCGCTGCTGCCGCTGCTGCCGCTGCTGCCTCTCAAGACTGCTTGCTCAAGAGGGTTACATGACAAAGAGGCTCCATAAAGCGGACCGAGACTCGAGCTATGGCAGCTTTCAGAAGGGACGTTTACTTTTTCCAGCCACTGCGTCCCTCAATTCTTTTCTGCTGCAATTTCGTGCGAGTAGTACATTCGAAGGACCAGCCTTACTATCGATGCCGACTTACTATCAGGAGCATTTGCTACGACGAGATTGTCGCGCGGACAAAGTCTACGTAAGACCGCAGCCAAATAATGTCGATGGGGCTGAAAGACGTGAATTTCAGCGCGGCTCTGCTGGCAGCTACGCCACTCCGGGACTTGGTCGTCTCTCGGTGCGCTGCAACTGACCAGTTGAGTTTCCAAACTTGAGCTTTAGCAAAAACGATCGTCTACGGTCCGTCAGTCCTAAGGAAACAGATCTAAATATCGAATTCCGAAGTCCGAGCATGCCCTTGATTTCACAGCAGGAGCGCCAATACAGACCTATCGCCGGGCAAACCTCTTTGCTCATTGTAAAAACAAGCAGCTACTTCCCGGCTCGAGCGCTCAAGGGTAATCCAGCGAATCATTCGAATCCTCGGATAATACTCACTCGAACCATCAAGACGTATGACTGGCTCGTTTGGTCTTTTAAGAAGACTGGGCTCAAGTGGATCGCGCTGCGAACTGCTGCTGCTGCTGCTCTTGACGACATGTCAATTGACGTTCGAGTTTCGAACTGAAGCGTGGTGGAAGGCAAAAGCTCCCTGAAGGAGAGCAACGGCGAGGACTTGCTCTGGCTACATTGACTTGGTCGAGCAGCATTGAAGCAAAACGAGGCTCACAGAGACATAGTTTGCGGGAAATAGCGGAACGCCGCGAGCGCTGGGAGAACATCGCACGTCGATCCTTCCGCAGCTGCGCACACTTCTCGCGCCACTTCTCGCGCCACTTCTCAGGGCGCCTTATCGCGAGCGCTGTCCGAGGCGTCGATCGTCGTTGCTCGGCCCAGGACTTGGTCAGCAGGCCGCGGGCCTCGACCCCTGCTTTCGCGTTCACGACGACCGGAGCAGCGGCAGCAGCCGCGTGCGCGCGGCGGCGTCTTGGACGTAGGCAGCGCGCCACAGGCTGTTATTGATCGCCGCGATGGCTTATCGACATCGCGAAGAATCCAATTTCTGGGATCCGAGCGCGCAGCCGCCTGCGGAAAGCGAGGCGAATCCGCCGACGAGCACGCACGGCGGAGCTTCAGCCTTGCTCTCCCTCCGCGGCTCGCGCGCTCACGCGAGCTCGACAAATGAGCTTCGCCCTTTCGGGCGCACGCACGGAAAATCGATCGTCCACAGGTCGCCGGCGGGCGCGCGGGACAGAGCGCGGGACAGAGCGCGGGACAGAGCGCGGGACAGAGCGTGGGACAGAGCGCGCTCCCCGGGCTCGACGCGCATCAGCAACAAGTCCGCGGCGCTGACTCGCGACAGTGGCGCGGACAGAGCCAACGAGATGAGTGCTCGCGATAGCACCTCGTCCCGAAAGCGCCGCCGACGCGTGGCGACGCCGTGACGAGCGGCCGGGAGGGCGCGAGGCGCGCACGCGCACGGAAAGCAGCATCCGAGCCGCAATGGCCCGCGGCGGCGTGGCGGTCCAGCGCCTCCGACGCGACTAATCGATAGCCCCATTGAGACGAGCTCTAACGACCGACGTTTGCTTTCAGTGCCGGTGATCGACGTGGTGGCCCTGCAAGATAAACCTACCTACCTACCCTGCGACATCAGGTCCAGCCAGGAGGACGACGCGGTCCAGCTGATACTCTGGTTCCGAGAGGATAGAGAGCGCTCGACTGCCATCTACAGGTAGGCTCGTTTCGGCGTCTCGCCGGCCTGCTCGGCTCGGCGACGATCGCGACGGCAAAGCGAAAGAGCGACGGGAACAAAGGCCGAAAACGAGCCGAGCTTTTGTCGAGGCGCAGCTGTCGCTGCAGCCTTACATTTGTCCTCGTGCGCGCTCTCGTTACGAGAGCCCTTTTGCCGCCTCCTTCTCCCCGATGCCCCCATTGTCTCGCGCCCGGCGGATGCTTTTAACGAGGCCGGGCGTGCGCAAGCTTCGTTTGGTGTTAATTGACGTTAGCCTCGCCGACTGCGCGCGCAAGCTCGCGGCAAGTGCGCGGCAAGTGCGCCCGACCGAGCAGTCGGGCCGAGCCGCCGACTCATCCGCAGGCCCCGCTTGGCTTCGACCGAGTGCCCCGGTACCGGCAAGCCTCGGCGGCGAGCTGGCCTTCGACTGACGGACAAGTGCCGCTTCGGCGACGCAGCGCCAGTGGCCGATCGGATCACCGACCGAGTGTTTTCCAAGAGGCCGCCCTAACTGGAACGGTCTCGCACCAAAGTGGAAGGCTGATCGTTTGCCCTCCGCTCGAACGGCTGGGCCTGTTTCTCTTGGACTGGCCGCCGCTTGGCGGCCGCTCTCTCTTATTTTGCTCGCCGGCTTTCCTGCTTTTGGCCATGGCTTCGTTACTGGTCCGCATTGCCCGGTCAATCGATTGGCGAATTGAGCGGAATACGACTCTGGGTTTCTCAGGTGCTATCGGGGAGGCGCTCGCGCGAGTACAGCTGCTCAATTATTGCAAATTGGTGCCTCCAAGACCAAGGGATCGGGGTTCGTCGCACCGCGTGGTCGCCGCGCTGTCGTCGACTTGCCGATCGCGACTCGAGCGGGGTAGGCGCGATGTCGATCAAGGAGCAATGTCGCGAGATTCGAGTCGAGACCAGAGACGACCAGTTGAATTATGCAACGTTGGGAGAGTCGAGACGGCCCGGAAAAACCGAGTGCAAGGAGAATTGCAAGTTGACCCGCGAGAAGGGAGAAGGCGGGCGCTGCTCTATGCATAAAGCAGCACATTTCCGGAAGTGCGGACTTCGATATCTCAAATATACGCGACTTTTCCATTTGCGTCTTTGTCGACTTTAAGAAGACTGCATGGGAGACAGGCAGCAGCGGCAGCGCGAAAGCATTTGCGGAGGGCATAAATAAATATCCGGCCGATACGAGGTGTCGCCTCCTATCACGTGCAGCGAATACCCTCGAGGCCAGACTGAGCTCCTTTCTGCACTCATCAAACTCGCCTCTCGGGCCTGCCGCCGCTCCCCACACCCTCATCCTCGATACTTCAATCTCATCGCCAAATGGATCCCAGGTTCCGCTCCACTCGTACGCACTGCATCTTTCGTATGCAACGGCTGCTCATCTTCCGTTGTCTTAACGTTGCCCCTTGGCTTGCCTCGGCACTCTGATTGCTCTCACACCGACAACACGACAATCATTGCTCCGCGTATCGCACGAGAATGAACCATTTTGCCATCTGCTTCCAGATGGAAAGTCACCACACCGCACCTAGCCGCGCGATATAACTTTTAAAACAGTCGATTCCCTGATTCCTCGAATATTTCATGCCAACTTGCCCGAATATGTTCCTTTATAGCTGTTGCAGCTCCTTTACAGCTCTCGTTGGTTCATTTTATAATTGCAAGTTGTCTCGATATATATGTCCTCTACTGTACAAAAGAAATCTGCATGGATAAAAAATAGAAGTGACGTTTGTTTCGAGGTGTATTGAATGGATCGAGTGCATAAAATCTTTGCCCAGTACAAATATCGTACGAACTGCTATCACTAGCCACTGTCATCGTGCGCGGCGTTAAGTAGTTCGCGGAAATATTTATTTTGGAATTGAACTGACAAACGAGACATCGAAAAAGCAACGAAAAGTAAAGTCTTATTCCGAGTCGATATCGCGGTCCACTTCTGACTTTGCTTTATAGCAATAATAATATGGAAGGACTAGATTAAAGTTGGTCAGCAGCTCGGAGTGCTGGTTGGCGAAAAAAAAAAACACGGAGAGAGGCGGGGTTTAATTGTACACGTGTATGAGGCATTCGGTGAAACAATCAGTGACACGATTCGGCGCCGTAAAAAAGCCATGGACATGCGTCACCCGTACTTCTTCGGCGAACGAGCCCAGCTGCAGCTTCATCGCATCAATTGGTTCGGCTACCGAGCAGCTTAACGCGCATCCGACCGGAGGACGGCGGCTACGCGGCTACGCGCGGCTACGCGCGGCTACGTGCACGTCGAGCATGAATTCTAATTTGGCGCGTTCGAGCGCGCATAGTTGGGACAAGCTCTATCTTGGCAGGATAGACGCACTCGTCCCCTCCTGAGTAGGTTATCGGGGCGCTGCTGGAGCTTATCAAACTTGGAAAAGCGGGCCAGTTGCAACGAGGCGGCACGGCACATCCAAGTCGAGGCGCATTCGTCGCGTTTCGGCGAAACTTATAAGCGACGGCCTTCCGAGGCTTCGATAACGAGCCGGCTGATGTAATCGTGGCTGTTGCTCTGCTCTGTCGACAGCGTGGACGCCCGAGATCGAGACATCAACTTCGCCGAGCGCTGGTCGGACGACAAGGTCTTCTCGAGCCGGGCCAAATTCATCCACGACAGGGAGCCAGCGGAGCTGGGAGTCGACCACATACGCGAGGAGGATGCTGGCATCTACAGGTGCCGCGTGGAGTTCCGCATCGGGCAGACCCGCAATTCCAAAGTCAACTTGAGCGTCATCGGTAAGAGGCATGCGCATTACAAGTAGCAAGCGGCCAGCGATCGGTGAGCGCGTGTGCAGCTGCGTCGCGGCATTGTCGATCGGTCAGCAGTGCCGGGATCCGGTTTCGCTGCCATGAATCGCAGCCACGAGTAACTTGGTCCGGCGCTGCTTGCCGTTGCCTCGAGCGTGCTCTCTTGCTCCAGCCGGACATTGCGCGTTCGGATCGTCGATAGACGCGAGACAAGCATATGAATTGCGGCCGGGTCCGCGCAGCGAGCAGCAGTGGCAATGAGGTCGAGTGCGCCGCAGAGCTCGTAGCTGCGACGCGGGCGCTTGGCAGAAGACGACGACGAAGCTCGACATTAAAGCGAGAGGCGAGAAGCGAGAGGCGAGAGGCTCGAGAGTCGACAAGAAAGCAAGGCAAGAGGCTAGAGAGAGGGTAAGAAATGAAAAAGCAGCCAGAGAAGCAGATACTCGAGACTGCGAAAAGGGCCGTCGAAGCAATTATTCTAATGGGCTTTTTGCACGCGCGCTTATATCCGAGGCGCGAGCTGTGCGGCCAACACTCGCAATGTCATTGATAATATATGAGCAATTGCACAAAACAGTTCCATACTTGGGCAACAACGTTCCGTTGGTCGCGATGAAGAGCCACGACGTCGTTGTCCGCGCTTTCTCTACAATGTTAAAACCGTACGATCGACAGTCCGCGTAGCCAGTTGAAAGGGCCGTTACTGGGTAAGGCCGAGAAGCCATTGCGAGATAATGGCAGTTAGCCCTCGATACGTTGCCGTCTTGGGCGCTGCTGTACGGCTGGCGCGCCTACCTGTCCATGGGTAGGTGACTCTGCAATGCTGCTTACGGCCGATCCTTTAGGCTTTTCGATTAGCGAATTAGGTCTTCGGCTTTGCTGCAACTGCTTGCTCTGTTTTTTAGCCGGCCGCGCGCTCATCGCGCTCATATTGCCCACGCGGCTCGGCCATCTGCAAGCAAAATATGGGCCGCGCTGCAACTTTGAAATGACGTCGAGAGCAACTCTCAGTCGGCGTACTTGCTTTTTCACGTTGGCTTTCTAGGCCGAGGAGTGGTACTAGCAGTCGAGCTGGTGCTAGTAGTCTTGTTGCCTAATTAATAGCAGGGCTCCAGCTAAGCGCGAACTTTATCCTGCTTTCCTGCTTCTTCTTCGCTCTTCTCTCGCGCTCAACCCCTCTTTCGACCTCTCTCCGCCTCTCCCCAGCCTCATTTCATAAATAGCCAGCTGTCCGCAGCGAAATGCAGCGAAATGCAGCGAAATGCAGCAAAATTCAGTGAATCTCGCGCAAGTTCATGTTGGGCCGACTTAACGAGAGCTCGGGCCCAAGTTTGCGCTTGCCGGCAGGCAAGGCTTTCCACAGACAAGAACATTCATGCCCAACAACAAAGCCTTCTCGACTAGGCGAGATCTGCACGCGTGCTGGGATCTCCTCGCCTTTTTTCTCTGTTCGCGTCGTAGGCAAAGCGTGCGATCCATCAAACACAATCAGCCAATTAAAAAACACAATAAATTCAAGACACATCTCAATAACGGACGTTGCACCGCGAGAAGAGCGCTCGAGCTAGCATGCCTGCAGATTTCGCTAGCTGAGCTGGGGGCTCATGTTCCCGTATAGTGTATAGTGAATCAAGTCTTTATCCAGCTGGATTTGGTATAAATTTTTGTCGCGTAACTGCTGCTGCTGCTGCTGCTGCTGCTGCTGCTGCTGCTACTGCTGCTGCTGCTGCTGCTGCTGCTGCTGCTTTCTCTCATTGCTCAGCGTGACGGATGCCTCGAGCGAGCGTTCGGCGGACTTTTTGCCTTTAAGATGATGAACGAGCCGCACCCGTTATCTAATTGCCGTGTCGGTTGCTTTACTCGCTGTCTCCGTTGTCATGCATTATGACGCCCGATGATGGATGTCGACCCGCCGGCAACAGGACAAACAACCCAAGCTGTACTAGGCACTCTAATGGGGGGTCCGAGTCGAGAAAAAGTTACTCGCGGCAACGGATATTTGTCTATTTATGCGCAGCAAGCGCAAATGGAATTCATTGCACGATCTACGGCGGCCTCTGACTACGTGCCGCGCGAGTCCGAATTGTCAGCAGCACTTGGTCCGGAGGCTCGCACGCAGGCCATTGCACACCGCAGCTGCCTCGTCGCGTACACGGTCGACAACGCAATCCGTCGCACCCCGGCGCCACCGGTCTGCTGGTCCGCGCGCCACCGCGACGCCGCCTCCGCCGCACTCCACAGCTCCGTAGGGAGTATTGGCGTACACAAGTGCGACGCTCGCTGCGGGCGGAGCCGATAATCGAATGCGCCCGCGGCGCATTTCTTGTCTGTTGCAGTGCCTCCACACAAGGTGGCCGTACTCAACGAGAAGGGCATAGCGCTGGGCACGAGTGCGGGCCCGTACCTCGAGGGCGACCAGCTGCGGCTGTTCTGCGACGTCCACGGCGGTAAGTGCGCGTCGCCGGCTTGCCCGAGCCGCGTTCCTCCCCCCTCGGGCCCCGCGTTGGCCAGGTTGCCGAGCACTCGGACCCAAGTCTAACGACGGCGACTAATCAACACCCAGGTAAGCCGATGCCGCGAGTCAGCTGGTACAGGGATGGAGTGTTCGCCGGAAACGCCAGTCGCAGCCAGCGCGACGGCTTGATCCGCAGCGAGCTGCTCTTGAGGAAGCTCGAGCGCAGCGACGTGGACGCAAGGCTCAGCTGCAACGCCAGCAACAGCCAGCGAGCGCCGCCCGTCTCCGCCAGCGTCCGCATCAACATGCACCGTGAGTAGCCGTTCTTCTCCGGCACCCGTGTCTCGGCCGCCCAGCCGACCGGGCGTGCGCCCGCGCAGTCGCACTGCTCGAGGCCGGCTGCTCCGTGCGCATTCGTGCTCTGGTCGCGACGTTCCAAGAGCGAGTCGAAGGCCGGGGCCGTCAGCCGGCGCAGTCAGGGCACGGCGCCAGGCCGAGTGCCGCACTCGTTTTCAGCAGTCGTCGCTCGATGACGCCCTCCCCCTCCCAACCCAACCCAACCCAACCCCTTCCCGCGCTCGCTCCCCCTCTAGCTTCGCGTTTCGAGCAGCTAGCCGACCTGGATCGCCATTTCATCCAGCTGTTCGGAACAGCGGCGCTGCCGCGCGCCGCGCTCGAGCGCGTTTCCGGCAGACGTAGCCGGCGTCCAGCCAGCGGCCGAGTACGCGCGGTCTGCCCGTCGGCCGGCTTCTCGAGCCGCTCGCTTTCCAACGCCCAGACGAGTGAACCAGGCCCGTGAGCGAGAGACGCTGCTGGACGGTCTTCGCGCGGTAGGACGCGAGCTCGCGTTAGAGCTATTTTCCTCGCGCCGCTCCTTGGTCGTCGTGTCGCGCGCTCCACTCTGGTAGCTCGGCCCGTCGGCCGGCGATCGATCGGTCTGTAGGTACGTGCGCTGCCGCGGATGGATTTCGGGGGATTTGCCGCTTAGTGACTGCAACCAATTTAACTTTGAATGGCTTGCGCTGGCCATCGGCTCGAGGCAAGATACTCCGACCGGGACAAGTAGAGTTTCGCGAGCGCGGCCAGATGAAAGAAACAAATGCAGCGAGCACTGGCGGAAAATTGCATCGACTTGGCGATGCGGAAGGCGGGGTAAACGCACAGTGGGACAATGAGCGGCCGAAAGAGCGCAATGATCAGCAGCTGCGACGATCTCGGGCAAGCGGTAAGTGTAGCACGCTAGTGAGTACGCTAGCCGAGGAGAGGCGAGGCGAGAGCGCGACGAGAGCGTGGCAAGCGCCGATGCGATTCAACGTCGCCCATTGAATTGGGGACTCCGAGCTCCGAACTTCGGACGTTAACGGAGCGACGTAGGCCAACCAGCTCGTTTCTCGCGAACGTCCACTAGCCGGCTAGCCGAAAATGAACGATCGAGCTCGCGAGGAGCACATCGACACGAGCTCTGGCTCCAGTCGGACAAGCCAACTGCCTTCGCTGCAATCCCAATTATCGACCCTTTCCGAGTGCGCTCGTGTGCTCGTCGCTTGCCCAGACACTTGTTGCAGACGCGCAACGAAGGCATCGTTGAATAGACAAATCAAGCAACCCACAAATAAGACGGCCCACAGGGCCCAGTCGGTCACGCGGCTTGCCGTAGCTTCATCGCCTCGAGGATCGCAAGATTACGGCTGAAAGAAGTCAAGAGTCTACCTCGCTTCGCTGCCTGTCTCTCGAATTAATCGAATGACGTCTACTTTGCAAAGCAAATCTCGAGAAGCGCTGCGCGCGCTGGCTCATTGCCTCGCATTAGAGCCTTAAAATTAACTGCGGGAATCGCATGCGCTTCTTTGCAGCCCTCATCTTCGACTAGCTTCCCCTTCTTCCACTCGCCATTATTAAGAATTTCGATGCCAGATCACGCACAGTTTTCCTCGTGCAATTGGTCGCACCGACTGCTTGGTTATTGGTACAAAGCAGGCGTTTTCCTCGAGATCGGGCAGTGCAAAAGTTGCCCACTGACCAGCGGACCGCGAGCCAGTCTCGGTGACACTGCTCGGACCAATCGAGTGTCCTATATCTGGCGATCTTCGATTGGGACACGAGCCGGTGAGCTCGGCAAGCTTGGCAATCGGCGGCTTCAAATCTTTAGTGACTCATCGCGAGTCGTTGGTTTGTCGCGCGAATGCCGCTGAACGATTAGAACGATTATTTGGCACGAAAACTGATGGACGCGTCGAGCGAGCGAGCTGAGCGAATGGTCGATACTCATTCGTGCAAATTTCAAATTGACATTGTGAAATTTCAGTGAGCCCGTTGACGGTGAAAATCCTGGGCTCCAACCAGCCGCTGTCCGCCGGGCGCAAGTACAACCTGGTATGCACGACGACCGGCAGCAGGCCGGCTGCTCAGATCACCTGGTGGAAGGACGAGTCGGAGCTCAAGTCCAAAAATAGCGTGAGTATGCGGCAATATCAGCCGACGAGATGACGAGCTGTCGGTCGACGGGCCGGGTTCTGCTCGCGCGCACTGCCAAGTCTCGTCCCGGCGTCGGCCCGCGGACAGCAAGGCGGATCGATAGGGCGACGCGATGCTGATCTGCAATTCGGGCGAACCTGAGCTCTCCGGGCCGTCGGCCGGCCAAGCCGAGCGGAAGCCGTTCGGGTTTTCAGGCTCATTAGCTGGCATTGGCCCATTGGCTGGCATTCGAAAAGTCGTGTTCGCCCTGCCAAGTCGGACGGCCCGCGGTGCTTGCCCGGCAAATGCCTCGGAGCGTCAATGATTAATTGCCCGCGGCCGCGCTCGTGCTCGCAATGGCTTATTGTTATTTCAAGAGCAATGCTCGTGGTCAAACGCCGATCAGCGCATCGCCCAACGCGCAGTCCACTGGCCAGGCGTAGCGAGCCCAGTAAATAATGCCATTTCGATAGAAATGACGAAAGTATTGATAAACGGCCAATGCTGCAACAAGCCGGAAAATGTTGGAGGCAAAGAGGCAACGAGCACGTCGGCTCGTTGCAATTGGGTCGAAAAGCATCGCGCCAGCTGATGTTTTATTCAAGCCGAGCAAATATTGTCGAGCGCATTCAGCAATAATACGCCTTCTCCGTGATTATTCGCAAAGAGCGGTTTGATCAATCGCGCGGTCGCCGGACCGAAAGACCTTTCGCAAGGACAGCAGAAATGAATCCAAGACGACGGAAAACGAGGTGGATGATCGCGTTTGACTGCTGGGTAGTCGGCCAAGGCCCGACAGCTGAGACAATAGAGCAGTGCGCGCTTGCCACTCGACAGACGAGCGATTCGTCCGACCGTTCTTTCGTCGGCTGTATGTACGTGCGCGCGCGCGCGTCCACCTGCTTGGTTTACAGACGAACGGCAGCGGCGGCGGCGGCGGCGGCGGCGGCGGCGGCGGCGGCGGCGGCGGTGGCGGCGCTAGCAACACCACCGCCAGCGTTCTGTCGTTCACGGCGAGCAAGGCTGACGCGGGAAAACGGCTGTTTTGCCGCGCGGAAAATCCAATCATGCGGAGCGCAGCCATCGAGGACGTTTGGACCCTGGAAATACAATGTAAGCTCTGCGGGGAGTGCGATCTCGCAGCCGTGTCGACTGACCGACTGACGCTTCGTCGTGTTGCAGACGTGCCCGAGACGAGGATCCGCCTGGGCACCAACCTGGACCCGAAGGCCATCAAAGAGGGCAGCGATGTGTACTTTGACTGCCTGATCGAGGCCAAGCCGCCGGTGTACAAGGTGGAGTGGCGGCATCAGGTAAGGCGCTGCGTGAGCGGCCAAGGCCCGTGGAGACGTCGGCTCACCGCCGGACCGAATCGCAGGGCGAGCCGCTGAGCCACAACGTGTCCCGGGGCGTGATAATCAGCAACCAGAGCCTGGTGCTACAGGGCGTGGAGCGCCGCAGCGCCGGCAACTACACCTGCGTGGGCTTCAACGCCGAGGGCCACGGCGAGAGCCAGGCCTTCTATCTGGACGTGATGTGTGAGTAGGGCCGCGCTCGATTCGGCCGAGGATCGCGCGACCCACCGACTAACCGTGTCCACTCGCGCCGCAGTCGCGCCCACGTGCAAACCCGGCCAGGCCAAGTTCCACGGGGTGGCGAAGAAAGAGAAGGCGAGCATCGGCTGCCAGGTGGAGGCCAACCCAGCGGACGTGCAGTTCCGCTGGACCTTCAACAACTCGGCCGAGAGCATCGAGCTGTCGGCGAGCCACGTGAGCCGCAGCGGCACCAGCTCCACCGCCAGCTACACACCGACCATCGAGATGGACTACGGCACGCTGCTTTGCTGGGCGAGCAACCGGATCGGCAGCCAGCAGGTGCCCTGCGTCTACCACATCATTCCCGCGGGTGAGCGCCAGTCGGTCAGCGGGCTGCGGCCTGTGCGCAGCCGGTTAACCGCTGCGATCTTTGCCTATGCGGGCGCAGGTCGGCCGGACGTGGTGCACAACTGCACAGCCGCCAACCCCTCCAGGAGCTCGTTCGCGGTGCGCTGCAGCCAGGGCTTCGACGGCGGCCTCACCCAGGCCTTCCTGCTGGAGCTGCGCGACGGCAGCAGCCAGCAGCTGCGCGCCAACCTGACCTCGAGCACGCCCAGCTTCAGTCTCGACAACCTGGACGCCGGCTCGCTCTACCAGGCCTACGTGTTCGCCTACAACGACAAGGGTCGCAGCGACCCCACGGTGCTGCAGGCCGCCACTCTCAGCCTGCCCGAGAAGCAGCTAACCTCCGACTCGGGTGCGTACGCCCCGCAGCCGCGAACGCTCGCGTACGCTCGGTTCTCGCGTGCGGCCTCATCTCACCTGTCTGTCTGTTTGTCTGTCTATCTGTCTGTCTGTCTGTCTGTCTGTCTGCCTGCCTGCCTGCCCGCCCGCCCGCCTGACTGACTGACTGACTGCCTGCCTGCCTGCCTGCCTGCCTACCTGCCTGCCTGCCTGTCTGCCTGCCTATTCATTGGTGGAAAAGAACGACCGAGGCCGAACATGAAGATGACGCCTATGCTGAGCGTGATGATTGGCGTGGTGGCGGCGCTCGTCATCGTCGCAGTCATCGTCATGATCGTGCTGCGCATCCAGCACTCGCAAGTGGACGATCAAGCCAAGTCGCAGCACGAGGAGGCGGGCAAGGCGGTCAAGGCCGCGCCTATCCAGCGCGAGCTGCGCTTCCGGGAATGCGGCAGTCTCATCACCGACGAGAAGCACCCGGACGCCCAGGTGTTCGTTAAGCTGGACACCATCAGTGCCGGCGACGTCAGCGAGAGCGACGAGAAGAATCCCGACATCATACCCCAGCAGATCACGGGTGCGTATGGCTCGTGCGCTGCCCGGCCGCCCGCAGCTGCCACCTACACTGGACCACTTTCAGACCTTCAAGGCTGCGAGATGAGCTGCTTCACGGGCGAGGAGGTGTCGGAGTACCTGCGCAAGAGGAGGCTGGTGTCCACGATAGAGACGTCGCCGTCGCGCGGCCTGCTCGAGCGCTCGGCGGCGGTGGCGGCGGCGGCGGCGGCGGCGGCGGCGGCCGCCGCCGGCCCCAGGCCCAACTACGCGGGCTACTGCACGATACGCAGGGACCTGCCGCTGCGCGAGCTCTCGCACGCCGTCCAGTTCAAGCACAAGAACGTAGGTTGCACTGCGCGTCCGCGGGGCGGCGACCGCCGACGCGCTCTAGCCGCTGACCTTTTGCAGCTGCAGCCGCTGGCCAGCGAGGCGTACGAGAGCGGCATGTGCACGCTGCCGCGACAGCACTCCACGACGCAGCACTGGCCGAGCCACGCGCCGGCGCCCATGTCGGTGTCGCCGACGGTGCGCTACGGCGTCGGCCCGCTGCGAGCCCAGCCCGGCCTGGCCCGCCAGCCGGCGGCGCCCCTCGCCGCGGCCCAGAGCCGCGCGCCGCTGCCAGCCGAGGCGGCCAAGCTCGCTCCCGGCCAGCAGCCGCCGGCCACGCCGCTGCTGATGACCAAGCGCGAAAGCTCCGTCTGACCCGGCTGCGCTGCGGCTCGCGCCGGCTGGCCGCTCGGCCGCGGCGCCTGCGCCTCCTCCCGGACACCCTCTTCGTCGGCTCGTCCTCGCTCCCGGCGGTTCCCGTCGCCGCGGGCCTCTCGCTGCGCTGAGCGCGTCCAACTTTCGCCTCGTCGCGCGGCTCCATAGGGACCCGCGCGATCCTGAATGATCAGCTTCTTGCTGGGGCTCCAAAGTGGCGGCCAGCCGAGCAGAATAAAGGACCGAACGGTTGAGCAGGCGGCAAATGGATACCTGGCGCGGAGCAAGCAGGGACAAAGGAGGACAAGGAGAAGGGTGGCCCAGCGGGTGGCCGCGCGAACAGCTGGGCGAGCTTGCGAGGCGGTCAATGAATATTCCGAGGCTCACGCGCACTTGTAAATACACGCCTCGAACGCGAGAATATTTTATACAATGACTGGCTATGAATAATGCATGTGCGCCGAAGTCGCGGACAAAGGAAGAACGGCAAAAGAAGAATCGCGGCAGCGAATGTGAGACTGCAGGACCGAGAGCCAACTGGAATCGTGGCTGCCGGCTGGACTCGACGAAAATCTCAATGTACGCGCGCTAAATGTATAAATAGGCGGAGGCAGGATAGCGTCGATGGAGCCGGAGCGAGCAGCCAGCGGGGCAGACGAGTAAATCGTGCTCTTCGGTGATAGATCTGGCGGCAGTACAGCCTTCCCGACAATCGACAGCAAGTTTCGTTTGCTCCGAGCTGGCTGCCGTTTGATCAGCCGGTCAGTCAGGCGCCCGAGGACGCTCAACGACGCTCGACTGCAAAGCTGTACACTCGTCGAGTTGACGTTCCTCTTGTACCGTAACTCCACGGAGTAGGCTAGCCACAAATACGCGCAAGATCGGCTTGTTTTTCACTGCTCATCCTACTTTATAGACGCGCCACTACGCAACTTTGCCGAATCGTTATGCATCGCATCCATATTTAGATATAGCCGGGCACATCCTGAGATTGCTACGACTGGCTCTCCGACGAGCGCTGTATGCGTGTATTTGATCGAGTAGATCGCAATCTGGCAATCTCGCTTTCCGCACAACGTCGTATCTGCACCGAGTAGTCTACGCCTGTCCGTCGTAAGTATGCCCTTCTCTGCCGCTAGGCCATTCACGCCGCGTTTCTGTGTCGCTCATTGTTGCTCGTCCACGCAGGCTCGTCCGTGGTTATCGTTGGTCTGTCGCTGCTTGCCTGTCTATGCAGCAGCGCCTGGCGACTCCATGGCCATGCCATGGCGAGACTATCCAGCGAATCGCACTTACCAAGGGACGCAAGACAACGCAAAGCCGCGCCGGAGCGTCGCTGCGTCGGTCTCGATGAGACGAGCCAATCGATAGAATGGCAAAATGGCTCAGCCGTAGAAGGTACGTACGTTGAAGCGTTCAACCGGTCGAGCGCCATCGCAAAACAAGAACAAACTAACCGGAGTTCGGCGAGCATCACTTTTTCCTATTGTGAATTCGAAACGACAGCGACAACCATTCCTTCTTTCGATACATGCGCAATGATTCTTGCTGGTTAACTGCAATCTATAGTCCCACTGCTGCATGACAACTATACGGGTGATCATGTATAAATTTTATCGACAATGAGAAAGCTTACTAATTTTTTATCATGGCATATAAATTTATAGAATCAGCAATCGAAAGAACGTTTCGTTGTTACTTGAGAGTTTAAAAATCATTGTTACCGTTCATTGCCGTTTATGGAATTGATGCGTGCAAAAGGAAATACGAAGTGAGGACAGTTGTTGTAATTATGCATAGGATCAATAAATACGTCTTCGGCTTGGAAAGACAAGTCCTCAAAATTAATTACGTGATCGCGAGCAAGGCAATTTATCAAGCAGACGAATTGACAGATAAACCAATCGTTTGATGTACCAGATAAATTATTATTCATTTGTATGCGTGCACGATCGGCGTGAACCATTAAACTTTGACATGTAAGCTTTACGTATGTTGTCCTCGCACGATTCCGTTCAGTTCTCATAGCCAATGGGTTTGTGAGTTGGCGTTACGTTAGGAGTTTCACAGTATTTAAAGAAACGCTAAACACGTTCATAAACGACGACTGACTTGCGCGCGCGCGCGCGCGTGCGCGTGTGTGTGTGTGTGTGTATGTATGTATATGTATGTTTGAATTGTGATTGATCCAACTTGAACCAAATATTTGATGTCGAGATCCGTAAGAAAATTCCAATGAGCATTTGCAGTCGAAGCTTACCCTAGACTCTGGAGGTATTTTCTCGCGAGGCCAGATGACGAGCTAGCAATTCAGGTGTAGCCGGCCAAACACGATCTGCAGATGATAAAATGCTGTTCAGTGACACTGATTTATTTGGAACTGTTTGTTGCGAGGACAATTGTTGTCGGGATTCGTTCAATTGACAAGAGCAGCAACAATGCCCGAACATTTTTACGATTAGTTTCCGAAAAAACAAGTACAAATATACGATTGCAACGTGAAACGAAGATTTCCCTGAACATTCATTGAAATAGCTAACACACGAGCTATGCAGCATCCGCACAATCTAGTTAAATGTTGGTATTGATGGTATTGATCAATGTCATATAAAGCGAAAAAAGCAAGAAAAACTTTGAAGCGTAAGAAGCGTCGTGTAATATAATATGATAGTCATGTGCGAATATCGAGGCAATATCGAGGGCGCGAAGCGAGTCAAATAAAACTTATTGGAAAGACTGTTAGACATGGCGCTGGACAACCGAGCGCCAACGCAACAATCAGAATCTGTAACAATGTCGAGCGAGCATCTAAATTGATCAAAGCAAATGTCTCTAAAAATTGGTGTATTTACTTTGCTTTTGTCGCTGGGATCGCTGGGATTTGTCAAATTTCAAATTTTACGAGGCGATTGTTTCGTACATCAAAAGACCATTGTCTATACTTATGTAGCCCAGTATTCATTCGACCTATCGCGCGTCACCTTTGTACGTACGAGAGAACTGTTGTTTTGATATAATGTAAATATTCAAAAATAAATGATCGTTTTTATTCCAAGTCAGTGTCTCGGCTCTGTGCGCATTAGCCCTGTACCCGATCCTACATCGAACGAAGGAACAAGCATCGTATAATCGTGCACTTACCATTAAACAGTTTGACCAGGGGAATTCGTTTGAACGCAAGCAGATAATGTCTGATATCGTTCAATGCCGAGGACTGAATCGACAGCAAGTATTCCACTGCTGTGAGCTCTGGCAGCAGGTGAGGAGCGATCGCGTTCAAATTTTTCGCGGCTTCTTTCGGATGCTGCGTTTCCGTCGTCTGCAAAGCATTACCTCGCGGTGAGCTATCGGTCCAAGCGCGCGAGCCTTCGAGGCACAAAGTGCTCACGCCATTGGTCCTCGTGGCTGTCAATACTTCGCAGAGGGAATACATTTTCAGCAGACAATTTCGCGTGTGCTTCTCGACCGTAGCAAGCTCGCTCCTCTCCGCTGTCTCCAATAGCAAAGGTGGACTTGATATCTGCGCAGTGAGCCAGTCTGCCAAGTGTGCCTGAAAATGACCGTTTTCGCAAGCTTGCTCCACGCGCTCGCTGAATCATTGGTACTTGAAGCCCACGGTAGTGTGCCGGCAGGGCTACCACGCGGCCAAACGAAGCCGGGCTGCTCGACAACAGAAGACACAGGTGTTTGTAGATGCTCTCTTCCGGTGCCTGGGGACACGTCCAATGCATGCTCGCCGTCACGAGTCAAATAAAATCAAAACACTCGCGATACCTCGATTAAATGAACAAAATGTTCCGGATAAAGTAGCAGCAGTCCGCAAATTGCTTCCTCGTGTTGCTCGCTCAATTCTCTCACGTTTCTCTTGAATATCTATGTATTTGGAAAGACGCCCGGTCGAGCCTTTTTCGCTAGATCACAACGAGTAGAGTGCGGGCAAATGTTCGAGAACTTACGCTGAGAGCATCGCTTGTCGGGCCTTTGTATTCGCCAATGTAAACGAAACGGGTGAGCAGCGAGCGCTAAACATGCACATTACTTTTACAATTACTTTTACAAGCAATCATTGACGACTGTCACTAACCCTACCAGCCAACTCTAAATCGTTCTTAACGATGTCGAGGAAACTTCTTCTTCTTCTTGGCTTCTCCATACGTCTCGCTTATAAATACTCTTTCGCTTAATATCGAAACAAATCAAATAAAATATGACTTTTGTTCCACCGCTTAATCCTGTCAATTTATCAAGCGATAATTAAAATTTAGGCGCTAGGTTAAAAGCTACTTATGCTGTATACGCGTATACCACCTCTCGCGCTCATTTTTTTTGTCCTTTTTCGCAATTCACATTCAATTTAATTAATGCACCAATATAGATCGAAACTTTTATTGCTCAAATTGAAAATTTCATGATATGCATTCAATATTTTAGCGATTTCATATGAGATATAGCCTACGATATGGTTTATTGCTAAACAAACATTCAGTTACAAGCTCATGATTTTCAAATTTGATCAATCAATTCTCGTAGGTTTTTATCATCCCAATTTTTATGTTAAAAAATTATTAAAAAGAGTTTTTTAATCACGATAAAACATCTAATATCAGTTATAAAAACAATATAATATTCTATATAATCATATCCTTCACGATGTAAATAACTAGTTTAGTAGAGACATTCACCATTGTAAAAGTGGATATTTAAACACATTTTCTAATATTGTGTTATTTAATAATGCCTTAATAAATAATCCAACGATTTATAGCTTTCATTATTACCTACTTTATTTGTTTCAAGCTAAACTTTCGCACAGAGTAAAGTCTTGCAATTAATTTATCAGTCGGCTTTTATTTTCAGGTTAGTATGATTCAATCAATACATTCATATTAAATTCATGCCAACTATACCGATACACTTTTCAAATATTTAATCATTTAGTAAAATCTGCAGTAATCTTTCATAAACGTACACGAATTAATATACTACTATCCATAACAACAGCTGATCACGTGACTATTTTTCATACCCAATCAGATCACGAATAAACTGGCTTCACAATTCTCTTTTTTACAAGAGGAAGGAAAAGAGGATAAGGGGAAAAATCTGTGCTTATTTCAGTTTTTATTAAACAAAAATATACGACGATGCATAAATAGCACATTCCAGACTATCACGACCAGCTTATCTTAATGATCTCATTAGATAAAGCTCTTAGAGACATGTTAGGAAAAACTATGTACCCTATAATTATCAGATGCGATAATAAGTCCTCAATCAGCTGCACACAAAAAGAAGGAAACCATAAACTAAAGAATTTTGATGATTCAGTTAAAGAAATAATTGTTAGCTTAGAGAATAGAGAGAAAACAGGAACTAAAAATAAATTGTCTAAAGTACATGGTGACTACATTAAACAGTGCGTAACTGAAGGAAAAGTTAAATTGATTTGGGTACCATCTAAAGAAAACTTAGCAGATATATTTACAAAGCCTCTTCCTTTCGATTCTTTTAGAGCTATTAGAGATAATATAATTAATAACTGACTATGCTCGAGAATGTCTTTAATTATTTGCAGACGCGGAAACCAACGGACCTAAGTGAGCTGCTTGTGCTCACGCGCATATGCGTACAGTGGAGGGAGTGTTCGGAATACTGTGCGCATGTGCGCGGGAACTTGCCGCGCCGTCTTCGCTGTGCGGCGCTGCTCAACTAGCGTGCTCTGCATTACAACTACATTCTATCATCGACTCGGAGCTCTGCTACTTTCTTCTTATTCTCTTTGTGTTATCTTTGATTTGTGTTTTAGTTAATATAATTAGAGTTTGCATATCTTTAGAGAAAAGTATTTGTACAGTCTTACTTATATATATATATTCATAAATAATAAAAGGTGCTTGTCATTTTCAATTTATCCCAGTAATCCAACATTAACTATATAAAATAACATAATTCTGAACAAAGTAATAAAAAAATTGAATTGACTAGTTAAAATTGAAAAAAACAATCATTGATCAAAAACTTATAGCTTAGTTTTATATTTGTTGAATTATTTAATAACGAACTTAATTTTACTTCCATTCTTCTTAACAATGTAAAGCAATAATCCATTGTAGCATATTATAAAAATACTTCAATATACAGGTCAGGTTAAAATAAACTATATTTGTTTTGTAAAAAATATATTTGTTTCAACGTAGCAACACTTTTGCTAATTTTGTGGATAATGATTACGATTAGGTATTTGCATAAAAAAATATAAATAATCCAACCTTATTGTTTTATAGTTTTTAATATATTTTATAATACGACATATTGTTCACAATGTTTATCAATAAATATTGTATATATAACATAAGCAAGGAAAAATAAATTATATATTTTTGACAAAACAAATATAGTTTATTTTAACCTGACCTGTATATTGAAGTATTTTTATAATATGCTACAATTGATTATTACTTTAATTTGTTAAGAAGAATGGAAGTAAAATTAAGTTCGTTATTAAATAATTCAACAAATATAAAACTAAGCTATAAGTTTTTGATCAATGATTGTTTTTTTCAATTTTAACTAGTCAATTCAATTTTTTTATTACTTTGTTCAGAATTATGTTATTTTATATAGTTAAAATATTAATTATAAAATTGACATGTTGACAAACTTATAGAAAACCTTAGAAAAAATTATTTATGTATATGTACATAAAATGTGAATGGTTAATTGAGTAGAATTTAAATTACTTATTATTATAATTACGCAATGTAGAACTCATATAGGGATATCTGGTGATTAGCAAACGTTTTACCTGTTTTATCGACTAACTGCCGCATATTACTAATTTTTACATTTTCCTCAATTTTTGATAGAAAATCGACAAAAGGAAAATTGTTTCGTAATCCGGGAATAAGGAGCTATCATCCGCTATCGATATTATTTCTTTTTAAACAGGAGAAAAATGTTTAATGCATTTTGCGCGCTGTACGAACGCCCGATTTTTTTTCGCAAAAACGGAAAATCCGGAAATAGAATTTCAAGCGGAGACATAATCCGGAAAAAGGGAGAAAACGTTTTAGCTCATGAAAACTCAAAAATATGATTAAAAAATTTTTTTGGGCGTCAGATTCACAAGTCTCATCTAATGATCGCTCGATGAATTTTAAAACGGGTTCATAAAGAAAAAATGTCAAGGAATTTAATAAAAAAGAATTTTTTCAAATAAAAATAACACTTTTTAAGATATGGCCAATTGTTTAAAAAAAATGTTAATAACTTTTGGAAGAATTGATATTAAAGTATTGTTCGTTCAATATCTTCAAAGTACATCTTTACTTCAAAATACATTTTTACGCGTAATTTAAAAAGAAATTCGTTTCGATAACTTAAATGGTTGCGGAGATATAAATTTTTAAAAATTTTTCATAAAAAATTGTCAATTGTTTATATCTTTAGATATAATTATTATAATGATCTAATAATCCATACTTAAGTAAACTACCATATAGGCAACATTTAGATTAAGTTTCAAGAAAATCCGAAACCTACGTTTGATAGCTGATCGTCGTAGTCTGGAATGTACCAAATAACAAATGACAATCGACACTTATTAAACAGAGTACTCGATTCTGTACATCAAAGGCAAAATTCAGATTTCTTTATTCCATTGAGTCTTTCTTATAGATGCGAGCAACAAACATATTATCGTAGCATACTCCGTCAAACTAAAGAGATTAATAGTTTTTTTAATCTGCATAATACTCAAACAAAGTTCGCCATGAACTTAGATTTTATTTTATTTTTCTGAATTTGATTGATAATGTATACTTTTTTTTTTTGTCACTAAATAAATTCAACTGATTTATTGTTAATAAGATTTCTCGGCACCATGACTCATTAAAACTGCATTTGCCCAAGAATTATTTAATGAACAGATGAATGAGAAAATCAATATCATAAAACTAAATTTTTCTAAAATTATTATAGTTATATTCGCATATACCCCACTAGAAACTCATTTTGACAACGATAAATTAATATCTAACGAGCAAACTATATATATTTTTAGAGTAATTGAATATTCTCATTTTTACAGTCATAAGTATAGTTGTAAATTATATATATCCTAATCTAATTTAACAGATAGAAAAATGTTATTTTTTTATAAAAATAAAAATGAACGATGATTCCTGTATCAGTACCAAACAATAACTTAAGGCACCGGCCCAAATGAAGATTACTAAGTAAAAGTAAATGCACTGAATAGAGGAATAATTTTCAACTAGTGCAAAACTTGTGACCAAAATATCGCAAATTGTTTCAAATTCTATTTTCATCATGTGAGTCACGTCTCACATTTTGGTTCAATTAATGTCAGAGTTGAGAATGCAGCAGATTTTTCAACTGGACTTCCTAACATTACTGAATTATTAAACCGTCCTTTGATTATGAGAGCTCGCATTTTACATGGCTGCATCGCTGTATTAATAGTATCATCTGTTTTCATATTTATACTGGAATATTTAGAAATCTGAAAATGAATAACAGAGACGCTAGTCGGAATAGTGATCATTTTATTGAGTTTTATTTTATTGAGTGGTAAGTATGTAGGGAAGATTTGGAAAAAAAGATATCTTTAGTTTTCACGAATCAACATGGATTTATTGACAAAATAATTCATAATAAAAAAAGTTTAGTGTACCATTCATGCGAGTTTGTTGTAAACTAAATGTAAATCTTAAATTGGAAAAAGACTTTACTAGTTAATAATATTGTTAATATTATTATGATTCAATGTATGATACAAAATTATGAAATGTTGAGTTGTGGAGCTACTTTAATTCCGAGATGATAGGAGAATGAATCAATTTATTTACAGGAGCTATAAGTAAGCACTTATAGCACTCAACCAGAAATATTATAAGTATGTACAGAAGATGTTTTACAAATGTATTTATGAGAATTGCTACTCAAAACTTCATGATTTAGTAATAATCTGGCAGTATAAACCATACATATTAGTGCCAAGGCACTTGATTTGGATGACTGATTGTACCTAGTTTGTAATACCTTGTCGTAGAAAGTGACTGTTGAGTCCCTAAACTATGACTTGAGTTTGGAGGCGTTGACATAACAGTTTCAGCACTTTGTGCCGATGTTCCATCACCTTTTAGCACGGCAACGCATTTCCAGTTATTGATATAATTATCTTTCCATAACCTGACACAGCCATCATCTCCAGAACTTGCTAATATTGTACCCATAATATTCCAACAAACGCGCCACACTGTACAGTAGTGATCATCAAATTGTGCAATAGTCGTTATTTCAAACCTCAGTGAACCACTCTGGGCAGATTCCCTAAACAAATAGCAATAATCATGAAAAGAACAATAGCTAAAATACTTGCTAGAAATTATTAATAAAAGAGAAAACTCACGACAATGGTTTTAGTGATACAATTCGTACATCTTTTGTGGCTATAGCTAGTGTGTGATAACTCCTTCCTAAATTTGGTGCAAATGCTATATCGTGGACAGCATCAGCAACAGAAGCTATGGTTTCAGTTTTTGTCCAACGTCTTGCATTTTCTGCATATTCATATATAAAAACTTTTCCTCCGTTTGCTATATTAGTGTCATCACTGCCAACAGCTATCATAGGTGGATGAAGTCTATATATAAAGAACTCTTATTACCTCACATGCATTCCATTGAAAAATAAATACCCTGACTATGGTGATTTTTTTACCTACCTTGATGGAGATGGGTTCCATGCTAAACAGCTACAAGGAAGCTTACAGCTTATGTCATGTTGCAATGTCCATTGACTCAGATTCATGACATCTGGAGCTTCGTACACTCTCAAAACACCATCTGCACTGCAAGTTGCTATCAGCAAGCCCAGTTGTTTTGGAGCAAATTTAACATCAGTTACAGATGTTCTGGAATCTACTAAATTAGTTCTACGAATCCAGTGTCGCATTCCTCGTTCACCTGGTCCAGAGCTTTCCCCAACTAAATTTCAACATATAATTTAAAAAAAAAACACTTGCTCTAATAAAGATTAATAGAAAATGAAGAAAACAAAATGAAACTTGCCAATTTCTTCCCATACTGCTGCAGTACGATCGAACGAGCAAGTAGCTAGCACCTGGCCAAATTCAGGATGCGCCCAAGTCACCTTCCAAACTGATCCACTGTGTGCTTTCCACGATGCAGTCAAATGCCAATTTTCATGTTCATCCTCATCCCAAACCTACAAAAATGTTAACTATTGAATTTGTAAACTTTCAGTGGCTGATTCGTAGGACAAGCGAAACAAACGTTGCTCAAAAAAAAATTATGTATATAGAGACATATAGCGACTAACCTTGACGAACTGATCACTAGAACATGTGGCCATGCGTTGTCCATAGAAATCGTAAGCTATGTCATGAATCAAATCTTTGTGCTCAGCGTTGATGCTGTGTGCTTCAAACATCTTGATAATACTTAAAAACCGTTGTAATTAAGAGATTTCAATAATGACCGCGGTAACTGATAATAATTAAAAATTATAGGTTAGAATAAGCAAAAGCGTGCTCATCGGCCAATCAGCATCGACTCGTGTGTTGTTTACAGTCATTTACAGTTGTTTATTTATAAGTTTATGATTGTAAGCCGCGCATGCCGGTACTGCCGGTAGTGCAGCATTCGGTTGAGCGCTGACTACTGACTCGTCTCTCTCTTGGCTTGGCGGTTGGCGCTCGCCGGTCACGCTCGGTAGCGGGACGAGCACTCGAGGAGACGCAGCGGGCGCATAGATTGATCTTACTAGTATGTAGATGGCACTGGCAGTGCCTTTCTAGTGTCTCTTGTATGACGATCAACTTTTCAGGGGTAGGTTTCAGATTTTCATAAAACTTGGTCTACGTATTGTTTATATGGTAGTGTATTTAAGTATGGATTATTAGATCATTATAATAATTATATCAAAAATTATAAACAATTGAAAATTTTGACGAAAAATTTTCAAAAATTTATATCTCCGCAACCATTTAAGTTATTGAAGCGTTTTTTTTTTTCAAATTACGCATAAAAGGGTGTACTTTGAAAATATTGAATGAACAATACTTTCATATCAATTTTTCCAAAAGTTATTAACATTTTTTTTAAACAATTACCCATATCTCAAAAAGTGTTATTTTTATTTTAAAAATTATTTTTTTATTGAATTCCTTGACATTTTTTTTAAGATTCCGTTTTAAAATTCATCGAACGATCATTAGATACGACACAGTGAACGATAATAGTGGACGCTCACAGGCCCTACGACGCCGAGAAGTCGGTAAGTTTGATAGCAGCGCCGATGCGCGGCCGACAAGCGTTGCGACAGGCCTTACGACGCGGCCGACAAGCGTTGCGACAGGCCTTACGACGCTTGTCGGCCGCGCATCGGCGCTGCTATCAAACTTACCGACTTCTCGGCGTCGTAGGGCCTGTGAGCGTCCACTATTATCGTTCACTGTGTCGTATCTAATGATCGTTCGATGAATTTTAAAACGGAATCTTAAAAAAAATGTCAAGGAATTCAATAAAAAAATAATTTTTAAAATAAAAATAACACTTTTTGAGATATGGGTAATTGTTTAAAAAAAATGTTAATAACTTTTGGAAAAATTGATATGAAAGTATTGTTCATTCAATATTTTCAAAGTACACCCTTTTATGCGTAATTTGAAAAAAATTCGCTTCAATAACTTAAATGGTTGCGGAGATATAAATTTTTGAAAATTTTTCGTCAAAATTTTCAATTGTTTATAACTCTTGATATAATTTGTATAATGATCTAATAATCCATACTTAAATACACTACCATATAAACAATACGTAGATCAAGTTTCATGAAAATCTGAAACCTACCCCTGAAAAGTTGATCGTCATAGTCTGGAATATGCCTTATATTGTTCACTGAACTCTCTGACTGAACGAACTTTACATTGAAGCATCGAGTGAATAAAATGCGCATGCGCACAGTTTTCGTACTTGAATTTGAACATTTAAAATACGATTGTACGAAGGTAGAACTACCTAATGTAAAATTGCACAAACTTCGAAAGAAGAATCAGGCAGTTGAATGGCTAAGTGATAAGAAACGTTAGTTCTTGATAATATTTCGAAAGAAAGAACACACGCGAGGATGTACGATGCGTAAGCAACTTTGACGTAAAAGGTTGGAGCGTGGTTGGAGCAAATGGTCTTACGGACGAGTAGGCAGTGTGCGTAGTCCAAAGTGACTCGAGGCCACAACAACCCGTAAACTCGGCTCGCAGTGCTAAGGCTTGACTTTGAAGCCGACTTGACTCTTGGATCTGCCTATCTACATATATACATGCATGGGTGTGCATGGCTGTGCATGGATGTGTGTGTCTCGTTAGTTAGTCTACACATTAGTTGAATCTTGAGTTCGCTATGGCACATTTAAAGAAAAATAACTTTTAACTTAAAATAAATATTCGCCCACAGTACGTCGCGTAACGTTGTTTGGCTAAAAGTTATATGACTATTCCTGGTTTTGTGAGAAGGGGATATGTGTGATCTGACAAGTAGTTGGCGCTTAACGTAAACAAACATTTACAGCGAGGCTTCGAGTAAGCGAGTTGCTAAGGTATGCGCAGCTCTTACAGCCACGATTTCTCGTACGACAAGCAAATTCACCAATTGACTTGACTCGACTGACGAAACATTGCATTGATTTGGTCGTCGATCGAATGCATAATCGCCGCGAGCGCGGGATCCTTGAGACGGTCAAATAATAGTAGAGTCATGGATGGGCCAGAGAAAGAGATGGCAAAGAAAGCCGACCAATACGCAAAGGTAAGTCACAGCAGGACTGCAATCGGATGTAATAATCGCTACTCGGGGTTACTTTCTGCTATGCAGCGCTTGCTGGTTCGTAACAAGGATCTGGACCAGTCTTTCGAGCCCACCAGGAGTTTCCGCAGGCGCAAGAAAATCATGGACGCCATTGGTAAAAAAGGAATGACATGTAAGACCGAGAGGAAGACGGCCGACGCCGTTGCTAAAACGATTAATCTCGCGCGCAACTTTGCTTTCACGAAGCGGCGGCGGCGGCGGCGGCGGAGAAAGCAAGCAACGAGCCCCAGTTGGTCGACTGGGACGAAGAGCAAGAGAAACCATGCACGAGTACTTGGCTAGAGGGCATCGTCGACAGACTTGACGACACACGCCAATCTCGCGGTTTCAACCAACAGAGCCGAGACTTGGTCGAGTGGCCCGCGCCAGCACATAGCTCCGGCAAGTTATGGCTCAAGATCTCGCTCGACGAGTGTTTTGGCGAATAGTTTCAGCAAGGTTCTCGTTATCCACCCTCTATCTCACGCTGCCTGTCGGCCGTTTGCGCAGAGATGCGAACGGGCCGACCCGCAGGGCGACGCAAAACGAAGCAGGAGCCGCAGCTGCTGAGCCCGAGAGTTCTGCGCGTGCTGGAGCCGCAGGTGGTGTACGTGGAGCGCAGTGTGAACCGAAGCGTGCTGCCGAGCGCGCTCCACGAGCCCGCGGACGAGACGGCCGAGGCGGACTCGACGTTCGTGTCTCTGGTCTCGCGAGAGGCCAGCGCGGAGCAGGAGTACCCCAGCCTGTACTCCAGTCTGCACCCCAGCCGCTACCCCAAGCTGTACCCCAGCCTGTCGTCCATGACGAGGAGGATGTCCGAGCGGCCCGGCTCAACGCTCCGTGGTGAGAGCGCCCGGACTGCGGGTGAGCGGCGAGCGGCCGCACTTGGCCGCGACCTGGCTCTCACAGGCGCCGAGCGCAGCGCGGCGGCCACTCGGACGAGCGACGAGACGGTGTTCGCCACACCGATGGCCGAGTGGCGGCACCCCGACGGCGCGTCGGTCGCGAGCGCGTTGCTCGGGGAAGCGCGCGCGCCGCGGGCGCGCGGCAAGCCCGACCTCGAGTCGACGCGCCAGCAGTCGGTCCAGCCATGGGCCTCACAGCAAGGCACCAGCATATCGACCCTCACCGTGTCGAACACGCCGAGCGACCCGGCGGACCAGCCGGGCGCGTGCGACGCCAGCCCGCCGATCCGGTCGAGTCCGTGCTGGCAGCGGCACGACGAGTCGAGCCTCCGCGTGCTGCTGGACCTGCTGGAGGTGCACCAGACGCAGATCTACCAGGCGAGCAAGGCCCTGGAGCTGTGCCGCGCGACGCGCGAGTTCGCGGTGAGCGGCGAGCGCGTAGAGGCCGAGCGGCTGCTCCTGGCGGCGAACCTCGGCAAGCTGGCGGTCCGCGAGCGCATCCGCGGTGAGGCACTGGCGCCGGCACCGTGCCGCGAGCGCGCCGAGCTGACCGTCGCCGAGCTGAGTGTGCCCCTGCGCGAGCAGCCGCGGCGGCGCGCGGCCCGCGCCGCCGCGGGCGCCGAGTGGTTCGTGCTGGCCGTGAGCGAGGGCCTGCGCGTCTGGACCACCCCGGCGGTCGCCCGGCCCCCCGACGGCCCGCGCCTCCACTTCCCCGGCCGGCTGGCGCTGCCCGAGCTCGCGCCCGACTTCCGGCTGCGCGTCGGCGTCTACTCGATGCGGCTGCGCCCCGGCGCGGCCCTCAGCCACGAGGAGAAGTACCGCATCGGGCGCCGCCGCGGCTGGCCCTGCCCCGCGCCGCGGCTGCCGCGACTGTCGCGCGCGCCGGCGGCCCGCTCGCCGCGGCGCAAGCTCGCCGACTGCTCGGGCTTCCGGCTGCGCGCCAGCCTGGAGCTGCGCCTGGAGCAGCTGCGCGCGCCCGGCCCTGCCTGGCCCCTGCGCCTGGTAAGCCCGCCCGCGCCGGCCCGCGGCCGCCCACAGTCAGCACGGCGACGCTGTTGCAGCTGGACGAGGAGCCGTCGCCGCTGCGGCCCAGCCTGAGCGCGGAGCTGCGCTGCCGGCTGCGGCTGGCCGTGCGCCACGCGGGCTTCCTGACCCACGGCGTCGAGCGGGGCGGCGCGGTCGACTGGAGCCGGCGCTGGTGCGTGCTCGAGGGGCGCAGCCTGCGCTTCTGGAATTACCCGCGCGAGCAGGAGGACGAGCGCCCGCCGCTGCTGGCCATCGACCTGCTGGGCTGCCTGTCACCGCGCGTCGCGCTGGCCGAGCGCAGAATGTGCGCGCGGCCGCGCACGCTGCTGCTGGAGACGGCGCGCCGCTGCCGGCTCGCCGAGGGAGCGCCCGAGGACGGGCCGCGGCCGCAGCGTAGTGGGGCCGTCGTCAGGTAGGCCAGCGGCTCCGCCGCGCCGTCGCCACTGCTTCTTTTCGCCTCTTCCCCTCTGTTCGCAGGAGCCTGCTGTCGTGCGACAGTCAGCACGACCTCGTCGAGTGGCAGTCCCGGCTGAACCACGTGGTGTGCGCCCTGCGCCAGTGGAAGCTCGCGGCCGAGTCCAAGGCTGCGCCACCCGGCGACCTCTGACCTCCCAAGGCGCTGCTGCGCGGCCTGCGCCTTCTTGGATCCACTGCCCTGTTGTTCGGCAATGGCAGACATGGCTCCTCCGCGGGTGCCACCGATCTCACGAGGACATTGCGGAACGTCATCCGTATGCTGGCGATGCACGTCTTCATTATTATAACGACGATTGTTTTGTTAACTTTATCGACAGACTGCACGAACTATCTTTCAAGTGTGCGCGCTTTTTTCCAACTTTTAGCGTTGCAGCTAATCGTTTGAAGATGGCGCTGATTATATTTAACGTTCTCAATTCCCGACAGGACAATTGACACTCGACAGTCAGTTCGGTAATCACGACGCCGGTACTAGGTATTCACGATCACGATACTATGTTAGGTAGATGGCACTGGCTCTTTGACTCAGTGGATCTAATTCTGCCGTCGACAAGCCAATACGCATGCGCGATTGCACTGATTAGGTGTAGGCGCGCTGCGCGCATGCGCCAGTTTGGTATCTTGTGAGCATGGAGATGGGAGTCTCCATGTCTGTGTTATAAAACAACTGCTTTAAGTTGTATCACCTTGTACATTGTATACACACACCTAAATTACAAATGACTGTGAAATAAAGATTATAGTAACACATGAAAATATTGTTCTCGAGTTATTCGTTGAACGTTATCCTTTTGAAATGTGGCCAGATCCATTCGATCCAAAAAGAAGAAGGCTTAGTTTTATGAAAGGGACGCCCGCAAACGTTTATTCTTACCTTGTGCCCGCTGCTGGAGTAATAGTCTTCGTAGGATTGATCAGTCTTCTCCCGTAATCTTAATTGTACTTGTTTGACTTATCATCATAGGCTTTTTACAATAATTATTCTAATCTTTCAGATACCTGCCTTTTGTCTCAAGGAAAATTGAAAAAATTAAGCAGCGTATTATTGAAGACATACCGTTACGAAACACTAAAGGTTTTGAATTAGACCCATATGTTAGCAAGGCTCTTCATACAAAAAGAACAGAACATCTACCCGATAAGTACAAAACATGGTTGGACATGAATTAATATCCATTGCCACAATGCACAAAACTACAAAATGCAAACTTAATCTGCAAGGCAAGTTAAGCCTAAAAAGGAGCAGTAGTGACAGGTATGAAGATTATATCTGACAACATTTTTACTATGAATCTATTCATCACTGTATCCTATAAAATAGTTATTAAAGTTTTCTTGTTGCTTTTCAAACTTTGTCTTGTGATTCTATCCCTTTCAAATTTTGCTTCCGTTCTTCAGTTAACTATTGTAATGGTCTTAAATTGCAAACCAATCTTTTTTTTTTATATCATTAAAATATTTATATTATAGTAGTTCTTTTTGGAATCAAACTTACATTAAATAATTATCTACTTGTATTCATGTATTAATATATTCTAGTGTACAAGGTATTTCAAACTCAGGTACAGTTATTAATTTTGAAAATAAGACTCCGCAATCAACCATACATGTTAATAATCAATCACTTCACAACAAAAATTTCAAATCCAATTCTGATAATAACAAAGAAGATAGTTTGGCTGATTTCAAGTTACCAAAACAAGAACTGGTACAGGAGCCAATTCTAAATAGATATAAATTAGATGCTAGAAAAGCAACAACAAAAATTGCAATTTCAAAAACTAAATCAGCTGTCAAATCTAGAAAAAGTGATGTAAATCAGCCATCGATAAAAGCTACTTTGTTAAAATCACAAACATCTAATCAAAATCAAACTGATCTTAAAGAAGCTATCCCATGTCCTGTATGCTTAAAACTATTCAAAGATGATACTGCATGCACCAGCCATATGAAAAGTTGTGCAGCTAAAAACAATGTTTCGATTAAACAATTGCTTGAAGCTAAAAGACTTCAGGATCGTCAAGCACAAGAAAGAAAGGCAATAGGGCTAATTGCAGCTCCGATTTTACCCGAAAAGAAGAAAGCATTTCAAAGTAAAAATTTTGTAAGTTTAAATTTATCAAGTTAAAGTAAACCAAATTATATTTCAAATTTGTGAAATGAATTAGTGAGATATAATATTAAATTGTTTTGATTCGCAATACTTTTATTTAAAAATATAATTACCTTCATTGTATATTTACCATTTACTTAATAAAAACTTTCTATTTGTTCAGAGCACTAAGGATGATCCACAATTGCAACTTGGATTAGCTATGTCAGAATCTCTTCATGAAGCTGAAAAAATGATAAAACTGAAGGAAGCTGCATTTTTAGCAGGCATTCCAATGGAATATGTCACAGAAATGAATGATGAAGAGCGGAAAAAAACATTACAAAGCTTTGGTTTTACTACAAATAAATCAATAGCTGATATTTCTACAATTAAGCAAAGAAAAAGTAATTGTACATTGAAATAGAGTTAACGTAGTGTATTGATAATGCTTTTTTATAAATTGTTTGCTGTAGTTGTCAACTAAATTTATTATGATACATTTAATACTTTAAAAGTATTATAAGTTTAGTTGACAACTACATCATGCAAAAAACGATTAGCAATACTATTAGCAAACTTCGTTTATTCTTTATAATTTTGTCTGTTTTCCTAATACTATTTTCTTCTTTATATATATTACATCATAATTAGAAGAAAAAATTTTTTTTTCATAAATAATATTTTCATTTAGAAAAATTACTTGCTCCTACGGTTTTGCAAACTCGATCGAAAGAAGATAAAGATCGTGTTTTAACTGAGAGAATAGCTTGTATTTTAACTGATGAAGATGCACTTACTCAAGCACGAGAAAATACTGCAATTAGTTATAAACACGAAACGTTAACGTCAATTACTAGTAAACTGCTGAAAAAAATTGAGCAAACGGTAATAGCAAAGAATATTTTAATACTCTTACATTTATCGTCGTTACCAAGCGCGATATTCTTAAATAAGCTTTATAGGTTATGTCAAAAAAAAGCCTAAATATTTAAAATATGAGAGATTTCGTTGACAGACTGGAATTCAAAGTTTATAATATACTTTCTAGGATAATAAGTTGTGGGATCAAAGCAAATTAACAAAGCGATTTAATAAATTTTATATTGAAGAAATAAAGTCCCATTTTTTTAAGTTCAAGAGGCAATCTGTTGAATCTGAAAATTACGTGAGTTAATATTGATAATATTTTCAATGAAAACGTTGAAAAATAAGCTTTTTATTACGAATTCATAATATTTAAATATTTTTATATACCATAGCAATCACTTACAGAAGAATGTGAAAAAGAAAATACTTCTGTTGTATATGAATCACCTATGGACTGTGATATAATTATTAACAACCAAAACGTAGAACGAAACAATAGTAAATGTGAAATATTCAATATGAATGAATTAAAGAGAAATGATTTCGAATTGGAATTTGTGCAAAGTGTTATTGACAATTGGAAAGAAGCTCTAAATGATAGTTCAGTTAGCGATGTTATAATTTTTGTTGAAAATAATAAGCATATCTACGCACATAAATTAGTCTTTCATATACAATGCCCAAACATCTTGCTTGATATACAGCCACTAGATGCGGTATTTAATTCATCAGTCAAGGAAAAGATAGCTTGGCTTGATAAAGAACAAAGTTCAGCATTAGCATTTTTAGAATTTATTTATAGTGGAACTATTAGCAAATATATAAACATTTTTTATCAAGAAAAATTAGTACATCAAGTTGAACAGTTAGCTAGATTATATAAGAAACAAAATTTATTCACTTATATAAGAAAAAAACAACAAGAATTTAGAAATCAAAGAAAACATTCAGAGATGTTAAAAGATTTTAATAATGTGCAGGGAAAAAAGAATACAAATTGTAATAAATCTATGCATAATAAACTTTCACAAAAATATGATGACCTAAGGAATAGTAAAAGTATTTTTTCGGTAATACAAATAAGATATAATAGTTTTCATATATACAAAATAATATTCATTCAAACATGATATAATTTGTTTTATCTTTACCCAGGAAAATCCATTGATTAATATTTATTGCTCAGCTGATAAATTAGTAGCAAAAAATATAATCCCTAATAATCTAACTGATCAGTTAATTGAAAGAGGATGTGCAGCATCTCCTGATTTATTTGAATCAGAGGAAGATGAAAATAATAGTTCAAGAATAACAACAATATATGATTCAGATTCAGAAAATGTTCAGTCTACAAATAAAAATATTAAAGAAGATGATGAACAAGATTCCGATGAATCTGAACACCTAAACTCTCAAAAAACACTTGTGAATTTGAGTAGGTCAGTCAGTCCTTTAGAGAATATACATGAAGCAATAACACCACCATCAGGACAATCTCCCAAAATAGACAGCGATCCACTCAAATATCAAATTTTCAATGAAGGAGAAATTACTGAAGTACCCACACCTAAATGTCAATCTCCTGAAAAAGTTGTTGACATAAAACAAGAAATCATTCAAAGTGAAGATCTTGCCGCTGTAGTTACTCCAGAGTATGTAGCTCTAACAGAACTCAGTACACCAAAAAAATTAGTGTATACTAATATTGCACTAAATGACATAATGGCTCAAGGCAATAACAATGAATCAATCTACACTGCAGTTACTCCTCCAAGACTTCAAGAAGAATCCGACAAAATGATTGACAGAAATATGCATAAAATCAAAAGTGAATTGACAATATTTATTGAAAAAGTGCAGCGAAGAAATGCTAAGGATATTATGGACACAGATTCTGAAACAGATAGTCCCGATATTCGAATAAAACATAAAAATCCTTTCTTAAAAAAAGATCAAGATGATTCTTATGAATATTTACAAAACAATAAAAATAAACAGTATCAAAAAGCAATAAGTTTAATAGAAAAAGATTTATTACATGAACAAAAATTGCAGCAAAATCTTGAAAATATTGAAATTCATGAAAGTATAGAAGACAATTTAGAAAATCTCAGGAATGACAATTCAGTGAAGAGTAAATTTCAACAAGTATCTTCCAGTAATAGTTTAATATGTCCCTCTGCAAATACAAAAGAAAATATATCCCTATTGAATGATGAAGTTGAGGATATAACAGCTACCGAGTTTGAAGAGTCCATGTACACAAAGTATAAAAAATCCAATAGATATGACAACAGTATTGCTTTTTATCGAAAGAAATTGTGTTTCAATGAACAACAAATTTATACAGACAAGAAAGCTTGGTCTAAATCAATTGTAAAAAATGATTTAAAATACTTGGAAACCTCCAGAAGCACAGTCTCTCAAAGTACAACAGTAAAAAAGCCAAAGCCAAGAATCATTGAAGATATAACATTAGTATCTGATTCTGATGAAGAAAAAAGTCCTTTGAGAACTTTTCTCAGAGATAAAAATAAAAAGAAATCTTCTAGAAATAGCCCTGTTACGGATATAAGTAGTAATAAAGATTTACAAATCGACACAGTAACCACAGCATTAAATACTGAAAATAATAATACATTTCCATTGGAATTTGTTAATGAGTCATTAGATCCTAGCAAAAATTCTAAAGTGTTCAACTCTACAGTATTGAAGGATGAATCAAAAAATAAAGTAATCGATTTATCTATGGATTCCGATGAGGATAATCTTCATGTTAACAGCACTATTCAAAATAATGAACTACTGGTCCAATCAGATAAATCAACGAACAAATCAAAGTCTTTTTTCACAGAGCTTCAAACGAGGATAGACAAGCGTAGGGAGCTCGAAGAAGCTGAGAGGAAAAGTGAAGACATTGATGCAAAGATCAGTGAAATATTACAACCAAGTCAACAGATCACTAATGTCGATGTGAGTTCAAACAGTGATCAAGGAAATCTTAATGTTGAAGAAGAATTTGGTAAAGATAATAATGTGGATATTATAGCATTTAGCTCTGAGCGTGAAATAGTTGATTTGAGTCTAATATCTATTGTTTCTAGTCCAGATGATCTTCATGAACTAGCTAAAATTAATTCTCAAAGATTAAAGAACAACTATATCAATAATAATAAGTGTAATATTTATTCACAAAATAGTGAAAGTAGCCAGGCATTGAAAGAAAACGATAATTTTGATTCGTTGGCGTACAGCGATCAGTATATGAAAACTAAAGAATCTGTGAGAAATATAAAGTTTCTTGAAAAATCTTCTAGAGACACAGTAACTTTGAATGGAGTAGAATCGGATTGTTTCAATGGCTGTTCGCGTGTGACAGATAATAAAACATCCTCCTTGATAACTTCGCCAATATTAAGTCAAAATAGACGTAGCTCAGGAGAAGCCGAAGTAGAATCTTCAAAAATCATCGTCAAATCAAAAAATAATTCAGGGGATACAAGAAAATTAAGAGTAAGATCTGCGTCTGCGTCGACTTTAACAGGAAAAATGGAGAAAACCAGCAGACTTGGATTAAAGCGATGTTCTTCGTTTGTTTCTCCAAAACAAAATAAAAAATCTTCAAATAACCGTGAATTTATAACGTCACCATTGGATTACAGTTTATCTTATATAGATACGCCTAATTTACAGGTGAATGCACGAAAGTTTTTTTCTGATGTTTCAATGATATTTTCATGTATTAATACTTGATAATTTTACAGAAAGAATTGAAAAAGTTTGGATTAAAGCCTCAAAGTAGAACAAAAGCCACAGCTTTATTAACGCATATATATAAAGAAATTCATTCTCAACCTCTAGCACCGCAAAAAAGAACTTCGAATATGGACTCGTTAAGTGAAGAATACGAGCCACCTGCCAAGAGAAGACAGTGCGACAAAAGAGCTACTAAAAACATTGATACTACAAACGAGCACTATTCGAAGACAGGAAAAAGATCCGACGATTGGTAAAAACCCTTTCACTATCTTTCTTATTCGGTAACGTGCTACCTGCGCGATTACTTTCACGTATATGTACTATTCTTACAGCACAATCATCGCCGAGGAAATGGATTTTGATGACCCAGATGTGGCAAGCATCTTTGAGAATCCCGTAAGTATCAAAGACGCCTTCTTCAAACTGATAAAAACTAATAGAGAATTGTACAATCAAGTTTTGACGTACGAACCACTTACGTTGGAGACTTTGCATTCAATGTTGAAGCAAAATGGATTCAAGTGTCAATTTAATAATTTAATGGATTTTCTGGATGAGCAAGTTAGTATTTTCAGATATTGTCATCTAATTTCGACAGAATAATCATTGAAACGTTATTGATCTTTATGTCGAATTATTTGTTTCAGTGCATAACGTTTCAAGTAAAGGCTAACAAAAGCAACTACATAAAAAAATAATATGTTGTGAGAGGTTCTTAACTTTTTTAATTAGGTAGGGCTCCAACATATTGATTCTTTAGCTCACAGAACATATTTTTCTTATTAAACTTGCGAGTGAAAATAACATAATTGACAATACTATTCATGTGATATTTGATACGGACAAATGTCTAACTATAAAAAAATTACCTTTAATTGACAAGTTGTATAAAATAAGCGAGAAGCAACATTTTTACATGTTCGTTTACAACAGCTCGAGTAAAATATCATTAGATAAAGAATAAATGAAGCTTGGTTGATTGTAGTTTATCGCAGACTAAATAAATATAAAACTTGTACGTATATGATTTTATTAGGTATATTGTAAAAATCACTGATGGTCAGTCTAAACATGAGAGGTGTTTTATTAAGTAGCTGAAAAATTAGATGGGCCAATAGGAACTCTGAGGAACACGCGCATCAATTACGAACTACGAGCGATCAATTTATTTGCTTCTGGTTGTAAAAACTCTTCTACAATAGCTGTTACCATTTCATTAAGGGTATTCTGGAGTTGCTTCAAATCTCTGAAAAGTAACAATAAGTGTTTGTTGAATTAAATTCTACAAGGACTAAAGCAATAAATGTGGACTTGAAAGAATACGTACTTTTGATCAGGCGGCGTGCAAAGTTCATTATAGTACTTGATTTTCGGTTCTGTTCCGCTAGTTCGGAGTGTACATACTAATCCATTTTTAAAGGTAAAAGTAATCATTTCGTTGGTCTTGGATACTGGCAGAACTGCTTTATTTGCAGGCTTGGTATTGTCGTATCCTGTGGTTAAATCTCTGACACTCGTGATAGGATATCTTGTTCCGAGAATACCATTCGGGTACTGAAATAAGTAAAAAGGGGCAAGGTGTTAACATCTAAAACTCTTGTCCACTGTGCATTCCTATAGGTTCCGAACAAAAGTCGGGACTAAGTGCGCTTGGCAATAACATACTCAAGGGCACGACCAATCGAGGCGAAAAACGTGGCATGTTAAAAGAATAACGCCTAAGGAAAAACCAAAAACTTGCCAAGCTTACAAAACAGTAAAAGCCTTTTCGTCAAATAATGGCGCCAGGTGATAAAGAGACTACACCGCGGGAATAGCCAAAATGCCCAACAGTAGAGAGGGCACAAGAGTTAACGACGTGAATAGCACGCGCTGAAATTTATCCAACCAGAACGCTCTGCCGGCCGACATTGTCGAGAATGACAATGATTTCGAAAATACCGAGGCTCTTGCAAAAAGAAAAAAAAAAGAAGCGCTCATCGATAGAAACACAAAGCAGTGGTGCTAGCCACGGCCTTGATTCGCCGCGAGCGAACTGATATCGCACAACTGCACGATTACGCCGTTAATGACTGCGTCATGTTGACGACTGTGCACGAACCACTGCAATTACGTCGCCGACTATTATTTTTTTTCGTTTTTTTTCGAACGTCGTTCATCTCTTCCGCCCACGTGACTTTATCACTCGATTGTGTACCTTGCATTACTTTACGACCTAATTACATAGCCTCTTATAAAAGCTCTCTTCCTTTAATCGTCACGGCTCTTTCTGGCGCGCATTGAAAATCCGAGCATTAAAATTTTATGGTATGACTATCTATCGAGATGCTTTGGCATATTGTAAGCTTGATTCTCTTCTATATATAACACGTAATTCCGTGCATTTTTCATCGATCAATTTCTGCAAATTAACGTTCACTTTAAAACTGGCCACAAAACACGGTTCTTAATCAATCGATCTATCCAAATGCTGATGTCAGTGTGATATTATGTTTTATTTTAAATGAAAATAATACTTGAAGCGCGAAGGTTATCGAAATCTAATGAGTGTGCGTGTAACGTTGAAAATGTTATATCTGTCGAGATCTGCACATAGGCCATTTTTGAAGAAACCGACACGCCGAATATAGCTGAAACATATTCAACGTCAACTTGAAAAGCCTTTATTATATTATAATAACAGCAATGCTGCAATCTCAATTAGAATTTATCTTGAAAAGAACTTTAGCCGAGTTATTTTTCAATATCACAAGTGTTATTTTCATTCTTTCCATAGACACAGAATTTTTGCGTAACAAAATGTGAAAGAAGTATTGTATAAAAACTAATAAATATTTTCTATCCTCAATATAATTTTACCGGAAAGCATCCATATATGTCAATAAAGACTTACTTTCGCGAGTGCTATTGAGAGCGTAATACAATGTCACGGCTTATTATTTATTGCGGGCGACTGTACACTGACCTGACGAACGCAACGGCGTCAAATTTTTTTATTTAATTTTTTATTAAGCGTCAAATCTCAGAAAATTTATTTGCTGGTGTTTTTCACAAAACATTTTTCAACATTTTTCATTTTTGCCAATTTAATTGCATTCGGCCTAGAAACAAGAATTCATATTCGCAATCATACTTTCAAATCAACAAGTAGACTTAAATAATTTTCTGAACTTTACATTTTACAGAGATTGAACGGGGTAGTAGTTCCAGATAGAGTATCGAAACAACAAGGGTTGGGTTGGGTTAATTTTAGTTAAGTTGATTTAAATATTGGTTCATTTAAATTTTCAAATTCATGCCAAGTCTTACCGAGCTTTCTTTACCGTTGTAGGTTCTCAATCGGTTGAAAATTGCTTTGATTGTCTCTTTCTCGTGACATATCCAATAAGAATTGTCACTTATATGGTGTCCATACTCGCAGTATATTTCATCTAATTTTTCAATAAGGCTAAGTCCCATACTGTTGAGATAAGCTGCCATTTCAGCAACGCGAGTACCTGCACTCACGCCATCCTTATCCAAGACATTTGAACCGCACATGAAGCCGATAGCTTCTTCGTAAGCAAAAAGTACAGTCTTTCCAGATTTTATCAAATCGGATGCTACGTTCCCCATCCATTTGAAACCGGTTAACGTTTCCTGAAAGATCAATGAGTATCTAAGTACAGATTAACGCATCAAGTTCGACTGTTTATTTGACAAATTAAATCCACCTCAAACTTGAAGCCCTCTTTTTTCGCCATCGAAGCAAGTATTTTACTGGACACGGTAGATGCCAACATATAAGTGTCAGCTAAATTGACATCAGGAAACCTAACTTTATGTGTCTGCAACATCCACCAGCCTAATAATGCTCCTAACTCATTTCCAGAAAATATATACCACTCGCCACTGTGAATGCAAATATTAGTGAATGCCAATACTTTATACACATATAGACTTTTCAAGAATAGCATACTCTTTCTTTTTTACTGCACACGCAAGTCTATCTGCATCTGGATCATTAGCTATGATAATAGTAGAGCCACTCTTCTTTGCTGTTGCAATGCTCAGTTCCAATGCACTGGGCTCTTCAGGATTAGGAAATTTAACCGTGGAAAATTCTGGATCAGGATCCTTCTGTTCTTCAACTGCTATAAAAGCCTACAAAGAAATGATCATCCAATAAATACCTATTACACACAACTAATAATTATAGCAAATATTTTGTTATTGGCTTATTACCTTGAAATTAGCAACTTTAAATGCTTCAACCATGTAATTGTAACCAACACCATGTACAGGTGTATATACAAATTTGATAGCAGTATTTTTGTTAATTTCTGGATACAAAACATCATTTTTCAGATCCTCAAAGTAAGATACCATAACTTCTGGCAATGGGTCTTTGAATAAGAGATTGTTGTATACAAGAAAAGTATCCCACGATTCTGCTAGTGGTTTAAGGTTTTCTAATATATTTTTTTGAATTTCTTTGTCATGAGGCGAAATTATTTGTGACCCATTCTCCCAATAAACTTTGTAACCGTTATCTTCTTTTGGGTTATGCGATGCAGTTATCATAATACCAGCAGCACATTTATATTTAAGCACACCATATGGAATAAAAGGCGTAGGACAGATTTGAGAATACATGTATACTTTGATTTTATTATTCAAAAAGATAGTTGCAGTCAACTCTGCAAACCTGCGAAATGTTTATTCACATGATAAATGTTTATTTATCATTGTCATATTATGAGTGAGATACATTTTGACCTTGAAAATAAGTTCAATTTACCTTTTGCTGTTGTAACGACCATCATATCCTATTACTACACCCTTTGCTCTGACATTTGGGATAGTTTTCAATAGATATTTGGCTAAACCTTGCCCTGTTTGTACAATCACCAAATCATTCATTCCATTATATCCTGGGCGCATTTGTCCTCGAAGACCAGCTGTACCAAATTCAAGTCTTTTAAGAAATAAGTTATTGAGAGTTTTGATATCAACATCATCAATCAGTTGTTGAATTTCTTTTTCTGCTTCTTTATTCTGCATGGAAAAATTGAAACAAAACATGTTTTAATTGTAAGTTTGTAATAGAATGAAAAATCAGGCAAAAAAAAGACAATGCTATGTACTCACTTTGTTCCAGTTTAGCCATTCATTAATTTTATCATCTAGGATTGAATTTCCAGTGGTCACAAAATTTGGAACCATGATTGAAAGAAATTTCAAAGCGTGTATCTTAAAAGCAAGACTTGAACTGTGATAATAGCAGTGAATAATTCTTGTTCTGGAGTAGTCCAATATACTGAAACATGATAAATTTGAGACTAATCAATGTTTACGTATTTTATGCCAAGTAAATTAGCCATTGCACAAGTATTACATATCACAAGACTTAGCAGTTGCCAGAATTGAGGAAAGCAAAAGAAACTACAGTTACTGTATCAGCTCATGGCTCTTTAATTCTAAGTATTATAGAAGAATTTGAAGAAACAATAGTGAATAAAAGATTATTCAATTAATTTTGCCACGGTTTTTCACTAACCACATCTCGCGATTTCAGCAGTGAAAAACATGTAATCCATTCAAAAGTTCTTTTTTATCTCCCTACACTCGTTTTATAACGTGCATACAGATAAGCGACATGAAATGAAATCGTGTCAGAAATGTCTAATCTGTTTATAATAAATCTTGCAAATAATTGATGATGATAATAGATGATTATTTTTCGAATAACGCGCAAGCTTCTAGTTTATAATCAATTTGTACATTTATAAAAAATTTGTTCAACTAAAAATATCAATAGATATATTGGTTTCATATAGTTAAATTATAAATGGATAGACTAGTTCGAAACTTAGTCGATTCGAAAAATAATTACGTAGATGTCTCGATAATTAATTAACGTATATATGTATATATATATATATATACACAATAGACTAACTTGTATCGAAGCTTGTAGGTTATAAGCGTACGTGCATTAAGAATTGGAAAAATTAATGAACAATAAAATAATTGTTTAAGAAGGATTTTTTCAATTGGAAAAAAACATAAAGAGCTTTGAATTTTCGAGATGATCAACCGAGCAGCTCTTGTAAAACACGTAATTTATAGCTACGTTCAGCAATACTAATATTAATGAAAAAAATGATAATCTTTGCAACATAACTATAGTGCTGAGAGAATCAATTATTTTAATGAATAGAAAGTATTTCTCTAGATAATACTTTACTGTTTTAAACTGAAGTTAAGAATACTGATGGCTTATATTTGTTCACCTGACTGAAGTCTAGACAATTGACAAAACATTTAAGCTCAAACTCGAAAGTGTCAAAAGTGAAACAGTTCAACTGAGAATTGCTATCCATAACAGAAGCAAATGACTATACTGCTGATGTATTTTGTTTATAGTTTAGATTTTGATGGCGGTATCCGGTGGGTCTCCTGCTCTATAACCAGAGATTAGTTGACTATAACTGCGAGTATCGCGCAAGTGCAGCGATATAACCCAATATTTCCAATCCTAATACGTAAGCGCAACTTTTTGTTATGGCATGCACGCATGAACGTACATACATACATGCGTATGTAGTAGATATGGTTGTGTGGACAAGAGATCCTCGTTGACTATTCTTACATATGCGACCCTATAGTGTCCAGGGTACCAATCTGCGGATACTGGAGTTGGACCTACAGCTTAGGGTAGAATCCGCGAATCACCAGAACCATGGGATGCCACGAACGCCACACGGACCGACCACACGGTCATGGTGTTAATTTTGGCATATACACTTTTTTTTTTAAATATCATTGGCATATACATTTTTTTTTAAATGTCATTGGCACCCGCTGGTGTATCGTGCATTATACGCAGGCGCCCGTCATCCGAATGCTTAAGTCAAATTCAACCGCGCCGCCTTCGAATTTCTGACCAAAATTCCAACAATTTGTTTTCCATTACTTTAGATCGAGTTTGTCAGCTGTATTTTTTCCGCGGCTCAATACCAACTGAACAAAATATTAAAAAAATGTAAAAAAGAAGTAAAATTTGGCAAAACGTGTTCAACGGAATTGTTAATAAGGTGAACGTCCGACATGCGAACGTTGAGCAGCTTTATCGATCGAAGCATTGGTCGCGAGTGTGACGCTTTTAGACACAGGTAAGATAATCGAAAGACTGATGTGCAAACTGACATTCTCGTGGGGAGTATTTTTCAAGGACATTTTTACAAGATTATAATCACGTGCACGTTTGTACACGACGTACATACATAATCGTTTTTTCATGGACTTGATAGGTCGCTGTAAGCGTGCTGCACTGTCTATACAGTGTGATAGGTAGTCAATGAAACGCATCTTTGCCTTTGCTTTTTTATTTTACACAACAAGGTCGTCGCCGCCAGCAACATGGGCAGCCACTGCATGACCGCTTGACTGTTTGCCATTAGAGCATCGCTTGCGCGGCAACGGCATTCCACTTTGACTCCTGGCTGCGGCTGCGATACCGATCAAACAATCTTTGAAACCGTAGTGAACTTGGTATGCAGGATCGGCGATATGAAATAAGTAGCAGTAGCAGTTGAGAAGAAAGCGAAGCACAGCTAAGATATAAGCAATGTTGTGCAGCTGGTTTCCACGGCTACCGACACGTCGCCTCTGCGAGTTTCGCGAGTTTTCACACCTCCTTCCGCAGTGGTGGCTGCTCTGCAAGCAGCGCAGCTCGTGCAAGTCGTTCATCGACCATGGCCGAAAAAGACGACAGCGCCTGGGTTTTCGACTCGCTGGTGGGCTTCTTGCAAGGTCCAATATGGTCGGCTCCGCTGCTCACCTTCATCGAGGAGAAATCTTTAAGTTAGTATCCATTTGCCGTTTTTGCCCAATCAACGCGAATAATCGTGCGACGATTGCCCCGCAGTATTCGAGCCGGAAACGTACGACAGCAAAGAGTACCGTGAGGTCTACCAGGAGTACAAAAACCTAGTCGACCTGCTGCTCGGCTGCTACATGGAAGACATGGCAATCAGTCCGGAGCAGTTCGAACGAGCTTGCACGCTGAACAAGAGCACGCAAGTACCGGTGCAGTTCCAACAGGTACAATCACTTACCTCCGATACTTATTCCGCTTTCAATGCCGAAAGTTTCGCGCCGAGCATCGCGTCCCTTCGCAATGCATTGCCACGCTAAGCAAAGTTGTTCCCGGCGAACGTTGCGCAGACCTTGTTCGAGCAAATCTGGGCGGCCAACGAGTACCAGGTATTCAAGCGCATGATGATCCAAAAGAACTTGGAGCTGCAGCTGCAAGCGCTCAAGATGATCGAGCAGAAATTCGGCCTGACGCCGGCTTCCCTGAGCAGCCAGCCCGAACACTTCTTGGACGAGGAGCTGCCGATGGAGCAGATTCTTCAGAATGAAAAGTAACGTGCTACAGCATGCAAGCTGGCTTTCATGACGCAACTCCAATTCTTGACCAACAGTGCCGACGGCAGCGATCGAGCGCACGACGACGAGCCGACGGCAGATCTGGAGCTCGATCTGGACAAGGACGAAAACGAAATTCGACTGGAGCACGAACGACTGACGACCAAGTACAAGGACGAAAGCGAGCTCCTGAGGGAGGCGCTGAAAAAATCGAGCGTCAATTCGCCTATCCTCGAGGAGGACGAGCAAGAGCAGCCAGCACTACACCAAGACCCAATGGGCATTCACGAACTGGACGCTTCCGCGAATTTCAGCATCAAGCCTGTAAGTGAGTGAGTGAGAGAGAGAGAGAGAGAGAAATCTCGGTTTGTTTGTATACGCAAAAGTCTCGCAAGATCTTTATTTTCGTAAAAGTTTTATTCGCAATTCTTACAAAATTCGTTAAAAAACTAAATACTCGGAAAGCGAATTGTCGAACAAAAACTGGTGTGTAAAGTCGCTACCGTCGTCATGATTGTTGATTCGTGTCCAGTGTTCATTTATGCGTGCTGTATGAGTGCGCGCGCGTTCTGTGTGTACGTGTAAGTGATAGATAGGTGTCGCATGTTGCAGAAGGAGGAAGCAAAAGAAGAGGACGTACGTAAGAGGCAGCTCTACCTGAAGGCGCAGCGCGACAAATTGGTTGCCTTGAAGAAACAAGCGCGCAGTCAAAGACTCGGTGGCGTCAGCGGTGCTAGCGCCTCGTCGACAAGGCCAAGCTCGGCGAAAATCGTCGCCGAGGCGAGCATCGACGGCAAGCAACAGGAGTTCAATGCACAGCCTATGGATTCTTCGATACTGCAGGTTCGCAAAGCCCTCGGCCGCCAGACTCAAGGCCGAAGTTGTATACAAGTGAACTGCTCTCTCGTTTGTGCGCTTCACCTTCATTTTCATGTCTATTTTATTCGCCTCTCGCCTAGTTTTACTATTACAACCCGTCACTTACAAATTATAACTCGCTATCGACAGTTCGCTACAAATGAAACCAGTTAGTCGGCAATCGGTCAGATAGAGCCTCGTCGTACGCCTGACCGTCCAAATAAATAATGCCCCAGCTTGGAAAAAATGTAATACGATATGTGTGTCTGTGTGTGTGTGGTGTGTGTGTGTGTGTGTGTGTGTGTGCGCGCGCGCGCGCGTGCGCGTGCGTGCGTGTACAGGTCGCTTTGTTTTTTCTCAGTTTTGTTTTCTGTATCATTCGGTGTGGATGGATATGCGTACGTGGTTTACACTATATAATTTGCCTTGAAAACTAGTAGACCGTGTCATCTAAATTTCATTGTTTTATTTAATTAAATATTCAACTCACTTTTACAACGCACATGTTCGTTCGCAACAATGACAATCGCTCATTTACCTCGTTAGCCTCTTAATCGCCTCGAGATTCATAGCAGGAAACGAAAACAAGAAAGAAAAGAATATACATTTTTCTCACATTTTCTTATTTCCCATTTGTCTTAATTATCAATATCAGTGCTTAATGAGTTGTAGGAATTAAAATATTTGCACACATCACATTTCAGTTATTCCACTTGCTGATGATTTTCATGCTGATTCAACTTGATTTCATTCATTCATGGTCTTCACAAAAGTATGTCTTTTTTCTCGTTATTCCGTCTCAACCACATTATCAAAATTTATGACTAGCAACTTAAGTGGTTACTCTTTGAAGTCCATATTGTTTTTTAGTCACCGATCAAACGACGAATGAGACTACTAACTATAAAAAGACTGCTTATATATTTTTAGTTTCATTAAGACTTTGTCTTCTGATGAGGTATGATCATTTGTCACAAAAGAAAGACTGGTGGTGCTGGCTTAGTGATTTAGATCATTAATAACTTACCATTCAAAGCTCATTTGCCTGGTTATCAGTATTGCGGGCCGGGAACTAAATTGAAAAAACGACTTGCTCGTGGTGATCCTGCAAAAAATCCGCTAGACGCTGCTTGTAAAGATCATGATATTGTTTGTTCTCAGTATCGAGAGAACATTGAGGCGAGAAACGAAGCCGATAAAAATTCTAGCTAAACAGGCCTGGGATAGAGTGCAAGCGAAAGATAGTAGTTTTGGTGAGACAGTTGCTGCGTTTGCTGTAGCCAACATAATGAAAGTTAAAAGTAAACTTGGTATGGATGTTAAAATTTTAAAAAAGGAAAAAAAACGAGGTAAGGGATTAAAAAATCGTCAACAACAACGACTTTTTATCTTTTTGTCTTTGCATCCCGCGACTTAAAATGTTGATTAGAAAAGAAAGTCACATTTGAACAATGGCGATGAAAGATATATATATTCCTATAAAGATCTAGGAATTTCATGATATTTTATTTACAATATGTAATGTATAAAGTATAACAACATCGAAGCATTTTAATTTCATTAATCTGATATATATAAAAAAACAAAAGGTCCGAAACACTCCGCGTATTACATATTTCACGTTAAATTCCATGTATGTATTCAAAGTAGCGTCCATAATAAACTACACATTCAAGTTCAAATTATACGTCTTGAACCTTTTATTTAGTATACACTCGTCATTCTTCTTTTTTTTCTCTTCTCTTCTCTCTCTCTCTCTCTCTCTCTCTCTCTCTCTCTCTCTCTCTCTCTCTCTCTCTCTCTCTCTCTCTCTCTCTCTCTCTCTCTCTCTCTCTCTCTCTCTCTCTCTCTCTCTCTCTCTCTCTCTCTCTCTCTCTCTCTCTCTCTCTCTCTCTCTCTCTCTGCGCTCTCTAGTATTTGTTGTACCCAGCATAACGATGTAATCCTAATAAAAAATGTCTATTTACCACAGAGGTGGGCATAATTCTGTCTTAATATCAAATACAAACATACTTTTATGTATTTAAATATAATTTGTAATTTTTTTATATTTAAATTTAGATATTTAGCTTTTTGATATAATTTCCGTTACACGTACGTTTCAAACTATTACAATGGTCATTTTTAAGCTTTGTACTTATTCAAGAACGCCAATGCAAATTTAAAATCTCACTTTATGTACAAAAAGGATTAAGTACCCAAGATTTAATATGCTGCCCACCTCTGTTTATTGCAATACGAAAAACATTTATTGATACCAATGATTGCCTGTTGTACACGTCACAAGTGCTAGACGAAAGTGTTTTAAAGATCCAAAGCAATATGATTCAGAACGCTATTGAAAAATATATTTTGAAAAATGTTGAAATAGAAATGTCAAAGTTAATGCTCACATAAATTTTCATTCTAAACAGTATTATACCTTCATTCGATTTCATCGAAGTTTTCGAACCATCATTATTTAAAATAAATATATGGATGGATAGTGGCAGTACACTGGAAATAACGTAAAGTAATCGTCAGTGTGAAGCATATTATGACTTTTTTATTCCCTTCAGAATTCGAATGAATTTCTTCAAATACAAAAATCTATCGGTAATAGAAAAAAAACTTCCATTCCAATACTTTACACGTTATTTTTTATCAACTTGAAGTAGAAAAGATGAATTACACTATATTATAATAGATACCTGTTTCAATGTATTCATATTTTGAATAACATTTTTCTGTACAATAACTTGTAGCCTTCAACTTGTGGGAGTTATAGCGTGTATTTATAGTTTGTATCAAATTCATATTTAAATAGAATAGTCGTTTTATTGTAAGTTTTCATTGCATCGACCATCAAAGGATAATCAATAAAATATGAATACAAGTTTTCACTATACAACACAATATCATCATTGGAAAAAAATGAATCTCTAATTGTATTTTCTTTATATCTTAGAAACACAGGAATGTCAATGAAATATCTGGCTCGTACGATTGCGTCGTATCGATATTAAATTATAAATGCCAATATCAATAATATGTAATTTTTAAAAGTCAAAAATATAGAAGACAAGACTGTAGGAAAAATCATGTTTAAGTTTCATTCAGAGTAATTTTAATACAGAGTGTCCACATCTAATTAATTACTTTGAACAGTTTTAACATTTGTCATCATAATATTAACCAATAGCTGCTCGCGGATTCAAATAATGTCTCTGAATGCCAACAGTAGGTTAAAAACTTGGTGTATGTAAATTTCAATCCAATAAAAACTTGAAAACAAATGTATTTCCAATACATTTGCATTTAAAATAATTATGTACTTTAAATACACCTGCATTTAAATACTGTATTTAAAATTTTCCTTGCTACAATGACCATTGTAACCGTGTAGTATTTTCAATCATCATTATTTTATAATTTCCGAATTGCTTTCAATACGTGTAACGTATTATGTATATTCTATTTAATAAATACATATCAGTGATTGTATTTGTTTCATGTTTAAATACAGTATTTTGCCCACCTCTGGTCACAGCACTCGTACTATTGACGGATAGTTTGCCTACTATGAGAGCCGTTGCCGTTTAGGCGTTGGACTCAGTTCTGATTCTTCTTCTTCCTCGTCTGAGTCACCTTCGTAATCAACCAAGCCCTGAACAAACAAACAATGTATTTCATTACTTATTCTCCTTTCGTTAATTGTATTTGCGAGAACATAACATTTGATTGTTTTCTAATTATTTCGAGTAAATATATGCAGATAGCGTTTCATGTAAAAAAATGTTTCAAATAATTATTTCCACAATGCAGTAAGTTAGCTGCAAGATATATACTTGCTCGTGACATGTGATACGCAAGCAATGACGTCATGGCGTTAAGCCATATAATTTGCGTGATGTTGAAATCAATTTGGAAATAATTTTCTGATTATCTTAAAACAGTTTTAAAACATTCGATCAAACTGAGCTTTAAAACTCCGAATTGGATCATGTGTGTCAGTCGTATAAACTGTGAATGGAAACATGAAAAATATATAAGTATCTTGCCTATCGAGGCCTAACCTATAAATTTCACATAAAAAATTTGTAAATAATTAAAAATTACATCATCAGTCAGTATTTTTTAGTTCACATGGAGAAAAATTCATTAAAAAGAATTAAAAATGATCATCATCTTAATAAAAATTTCTATTTAGGAAAAAATGTCGATTTCCCGAATTACTAAAATATTCAGATTTCAATTAATACTACATATATAAGAACCGACCTTCTTGAAAATATTAGATGTATTTTTGTCTGCTGCACTGATGGTTGCTGTAGGACTCATCGCATCGGCGGTGGCACCGATTAAGGGTGAGTCGTTCGTGGATGTAGGGCTGCCGCCACTATTGATCTGCGACTGCTGATGATGCGCAACCATGGAAGCAAGCTCACGACCCGGCGAAGGTGTCGCACTCGGCGTCACAACCGACATCACCGCCAAGCTGCTGTTGGTTGTGTTATTGTTAAGAAGTGCTTGCTGTTGAGGAGGCGAGTGCTGTTGCTGATGCGGTGGACTGCCTGTGTCCTTGGCGGAGTCGATAAGCCCACCACCACTACCACCGGAATTTGGCGAGTTGGGTTGCTTTTTCGCGGATGCTGGAGTCACGATGTCAGCAGCAGCCGCGGGTACCACTGCCTCACCCTCGTCGAAATCCTCCTCCTCGTTGAACCACATTTCCTCGTCCTCGTCCAACTGGCGTTGGTCTCGCCTGTATCGGCTATTTCTCAGTATCGACGGTACACTGAGTTTGGATCAGTTAGTAAAATATCGTGGTAAAGACAACACACGTTATACAGTGCGATTCATATACTATTGATTACTGTCTAGTAGTTACCTGTCTAGTGTTCCTCTGTCGCGATCTTTTAGTTTGTCTTGGTGTTGTTCATACCTTAGTTTCAAGGCTTTGAACGTTTGTACGTAGTCGATCGCCTCCAACTCTTTTGAAAAGTTCTCCACAACGTGAGAACATAGAGATTTGACGTCCTCCTGCAACCCAACAAGTAATTAACCTTTGTATTTTTTATAGAAATAAAGACGAATTTGTCTTTCTGAACAGACTCACCAATTTGATAAATTCAAACATCTCCAAGATAGCGGAGTCAAGAAGGTTATAGCGGCCGTTGTTACGTGTAAAAGCGTCGAATACCGGCGCAAACAGATTACCCTTAATGATATATCTATTATAAAATTCATCCTTAAGCGCGATAATCTTTCGCATAAACCTAAGAGCACAGAGCACTAGGAAAGTGTGCGTTGATTTCATTAATACAAGTATCTTCCTCAGCAAATCCTTATTTAAAATACAATTCTTGATGTGGTAAGTATGATGCTCCACACAAAACGACAGTAAATCGAGGATGAGGCCAAGTAGTTGCACTGTTCTGTAGTCTTCTCGCGCTGGCTTGTCGCCGATGGTATTTGCCAGTAAAGGCGCGATCAGAGAAACAATAGTATTTTTGTAGAAATAGTTCAAAAAGTCAGCTTTCTCCGACTTGTTCACCGAGGCCATCATATTCTCTGGATCGAGCAGCAGGCGCAAGATCGAGGCCAGCTGCACCGCACCACCTACAAATCCATAACATATAATTAATCGGCAACTCTAACTATCTCCAATATATAAACTTAACAGAATACAAATACATTACCTAGCTCAGGATCACTGTCGTTGACCAGTTGAGTGACCATGACATTGATGAGCATTTGCTCTTGTTCGGCATTGTTGACTTGCTGCAACGTGTAGTCTCTGACGACGCTCGGCGAATACTCAACAATGTAATTAAGTATATCGACACTGGCGCTCTTGGTCTGAGCGTCGTTGATGCTGAGCGTGATCTCAAGAGCCGGCAAAATGCCCAGCGCCGTAAGAGTTTTGTAGAAGGCTTCCTTGCCCTGGGGCTGAAGATTTTGCGAGAAGTTGCAGAATTCTTTAAGGAAGAGTACGAGGTCGCGCCTCTTGCTGTCGGGCGTGTTTTCATCAGTCAACTGGCGAAACAGTTCCGAGAGGAATTTCTCATCGTCCTGTATGAGGGTAACGATCTCCACTTTGTTAAAGAAGATGAAGCTGCTCAAGGTGGTGAGCATGTTGTCCTCGAAGACGCTCGGGGTTGGCAAAACCACGTCCTGAATGTACTGGACTCGATAAGTTTGGTGTATCTTTGCCAGCAGTTCGGCATTCGTAATAGGTATGGCCTGCTTAAACTTGGCCAACTGCTGCAGATACTGTCTATGCTTTTTAGGCTGAGGCAACGAGGGTTCGTACTCCAAGCAACCGACCACATCAAAAATCGTATCGTCGCTGAACATCACCTCGAACAGAGCATTCTTATTGAGGAGAAATATATTCTTAAAAATGTCATACAAATGGTGCAGTCCTTCCATGTTTCCCAAGTCTTCACACGTATGAAATAAGTTGAGTAACTTTCTAATGTAACCCTCGGATTCTAATGCCATTGCCAATTTTTCTTTCCTCATTGGAGAAGAAAGACAATTTCCAATAAGTTCATTTATATCTTCCAAACGTGCTAACTCACAAGGTGGTAATTCTATGGGTGGTGCTGAGTCGGACATGTCGTCGAATCGTTCATCTTCTGACTCTTCAACTATGTCTTGGGTTATTTCGACTGATGGGTCTTTCCCTTGAACCTGGCATATTTTTTCCCATATCTCATCGCAACCTGCTTTTTCTTGAAAACTTAAAGCTAAATCGTAGTTATCACTTTCTGACCATACGATTAGAGTGTCCTAAAATCAAATTGATACCATAAGTTATGTATTATTAGGTAGCATATAAAACAAGTCTAACATTGCAAAAATAGTAGTTAAAGAATATCTGGCAACTATTCAACTCTGAATATTTAGCTCAATAATATATCAATCTATAAATGGCTATTGTATACATTTCAAATTGTATATAATGTAATTTATTCAAACAATATTCAAGACTTGAATGATTGTAAATATACCTGCTGTTTTTGATAGGCAGTATCTGGCTGAATTTTGCTCTCTAGTAAAATAGTTCCATCACTTTCAGCTCTAACTAAAAGTGATGTACCTTTTAACCTATCTATATAAGATGAGGAAACATGTCCTGTCCCACGATCATCCCACTGTCTGTCTGCATTCAATGCATATAACTTTACTCTTCTGCGTGTGTCTGTCATGATGGAAAATTAGTTTGGCTGCATAAAATAATGATACAATATCACCAAGCAATTAACATGCTGTCTTCTCTGCACAGTTCATTAAACAATTTAAAGACAATAACAGAAAATAAACCTATCTCACAGCTATTGTTGTAATCAATCACATGAGTTCATGTCTGTCTGAGGTGTTAAAAAAAGTAATAAAAGAAAGAAGAAAAAGCACAACCTAATTATCTCTCGGTTATAACAGTTTGAGCAATCCTTATAAAACACATATCATCCAAAGTCACTTGACTCAAACATCAATGAATGCAGAGCAGATCCTCTTTCGTCATCTTGGTCGCACTCGAGACAGTGTATCTGTATTGTCAACGCTACGTTTGGCTGATAAAAATCTAATCGAGACTCAAGGTTAGCGACGCACACAACAGCAGCTTGACGTTCGCACGGGTTTGCACCTTGACAGTAATGTGGCTGCTGGCGTAGCAGCGTCTTGGAAAGAATGTAGCTTCAGCGAGAGGGAGATCGTGAGAGACAGAGAGGAATATCTAACGGCCCTTTGACTCCTTAGTCAGCTGCCGCTGTACGTCGCAGTGTGAGGGACCAGAAAGGTTGTATAAGGACCGCCAGAGACAGTTACCCTTTTGGCCGATATACGTATATATTTGTTTACTGTCGTAGTCGTGCGCGTGAAAATGTTTACGCGTGCTCTCGTTGCATAAGTCTTCCGCTCGCTTTTGCTCGGCAATGAATCTCTCTTCTTCCTCTTTACGCAAGCTGTCCTCTTCTATTCGGCGATGCTCGCGCGGGAAAGCAGCAGCAGCAACAACAGCAGCAGCACTGCTGGCCTCGTTGTCCGCGTGTCGTCACGAGCAGCCAAATCGTTCGTTCTCTCCGTCTTTCACCTGCAGCACGCACCGGTTTCCTCTTCTTCTCCCTCGGTACACAGAGAACAAACACCGAAACTTTCCCTCTTGCCTCTGTGCCCTTTCTCCGTGACTAACTCTTGCGCGCGACGTCAACTCCTCACTCTTTTTCGCTCGCTCTCTCTCTTTCTCTCTCTCTCTCTTTCTCTCTCTCTCTCTCTGTCTCTCTCTCGGTTGCCGAGAGATACGTACGTGAACTGCTCTCTACCGAGGCGGCAGAATCAAGAGAGCGACAGAGCCGACGACGGTGTGCGCGCGCGCGCCCCTCTTCGTGCAAGTATAAGTGTGAGAGATACGCGAAGCCAGAGTTAGAGAGAGAGATAGAGAAACGAAACAAAATCGCAAGGCCAGGTCGCCGATTAAGACAGTTAATAAGCTACGTGAAGTAGCAACAATAAACCGTGTGGTCTTCGGCTTTTGCCTCAACTTTATGCGATGCTCAGCCACGCAGGCGATGTAGCAAGTTACACTTGACGGCAACTCTTACCCCCCGCACAACACGAGATCGGCGTCGTCGGACTTGCCGTAACTTGCCGGCCGCTTAATTGTGCTGCTGAGCCTCCGGTTCCCTTGATTTTTGGCAAAGCCTCGCTGATTGGCTTTGCCTCGCTTGCGGGCCCCCGGGCTCACTGCCTCGATCACACCGATTGTCTAACGTTCAACACTCGCCAACTCGCACCACAGGCCACAACACAACACTCCGCCATGTTAGATTATCACGCGCACTCACACGTATACACACCTACGCTCTCTCTCTCTCTCGATCGCGAGTGACTCCCACCACTGCCACTATTTAGGAGACATTCGTATTCGTATATATTCGAGTTCGAGCTGAACGGTGCTGCCGTGTGCTATGCACACTACTATAATCACGGAGTTCACCGACTTGACTTCACGGACTCCCGCGATTTTTAAAAATTGTTTATTATTCGTGTATATATACTGCTCAACGTGTTACTGTCCTCAATTTTACCAAGATGACCAATGTTTACGTAGGCTCTATACATAATAGACTAGTTGAAACTCGTTTCACAAAACAGATGACAAAAATACTTACGCGGCTAATTGTCTATCGTCATTCGTCCGCTACTAAACATCTCGTTACAAACGAAGTTGGTATCATCATTTCAAATGAACTGAAATTATATTCATTGTTATTATGTTGTTAGTACTATCGACTTCCATTGTTTCGTTTATATTTACTTAATAAATGCCATACGTTCGATTAATTATGTACATTGTTAAATTCTATTTGTCAAAGTTTCTCATAACATTTTTGGAGCATCATTGAGTATTTGTATTAATTGTAAATAATTAATTTATTGGATTTGTTTATTTACATGTTCTTAGAAAGTTACACAATCAACTTATCTGAATGTGCACTTATTTTACATATTTAGAAAGTGTTTATAAACAGTACATAGGTTGAACAAGTGACTTCTAACCTTGGTAAAAATTTAAATTATTTGCCACAAAGCAAACCCTAGGTAAATAAAAAATTGTAATAAGTTAAAGAGAGATGTAATTTACTGACTTTTCCACAAATAAATGTTCAGCAAATTACATTTCCAATAAGATTTCGAATCAATGAATAATTATTCAAACAAAAAATATTTTTATTACTCATCGATTTCTTTGAAAACGGCTATCATACAATATGTAACATTAGTATCTGTTATTCATAATAATTGGATTAACATATTATAGTCTTCAATTCGAATTTCTTTTTGAACAGCTAATTTTGCATAAATTATTTATGACTTGAAAAACAAATTGCACGATAGCGATACTTAGTCGAACAATTGTACAGTAATAATAACATAATAAATATTGAATTTAAAAATGCACTTGTGTAATGTTAATTTTAACATATCACTGCTTTGGAGAAGTTTTAGCCTTAATTTGAGTTTGAAGTACGAAACTTACTCGTTTTAAACTGTCTTTCAGTAGTAGTCGTTGGTTACAGCTTAGTTTCTCTTTTAATACAGAGAAAGTACAGCCTAGGATGAGACAAACGACCGATACCACTCGATTTCACACAGTACGTTCACAAATTATATCACATTAAGTGAATATCGGATGTTTATTCGGCACTTCATTTACCGACTCAGAGTTATGTTATCATCTTACTAACCAATTTTATTTTTATAGCAGATACTTTTTCGTTCTAACCTTTGCTTCAAACTTGAGAATATGTTCATCATTCATTCATTCATTATTCCGAATTATTAAAGATTTTATAACATGCAACCTAATTTTGAAGATTTTTGACAAGAGGTAAGTAGAAAAAAGCAGATTATATAAAAAGTAATAAGGATTCAAAATCTAATCGATGTGAACAAAAAAATGTAAATGAAAAATTCAAAATATTGATAAGTTAGTACATCCGTTACCCGCTTAATCAACAGGATCAATGGTGAATTTTTCTAATCTTCTTCTCCTCAACATTTCTTGTTCGTTTGAAGTTTCGTTATTTACACTAGACGTTGAAGGCATAGTTACACTATCGCTTGTACTTGCGGATGCGGTCGAACTTTCGGCTGATACATCAACAACAGTCTTCTGTGCGGTAAATATTTGCAACTTACTTGCAACTTTTGGCATCTGATTTTCAGTTGAATTTGTTTGCGAACTTTGACCCGCTGCACTAGTCGTCTCAGTTGTCGAAGTGTTTGCAGTCGTAGTTTCGAATGTTGCATTTATAGGAAACGAAGCATCCGGGATGCTAATACAAAAGAAAGGCATTTTAATTAGCATTAATATTCAAAAAGTTTGAATATCAGATGTAATATAGAAAGTATTTACATTGCAGTTTGAGCAGCAGTCTGGTACTGACCCATCATAGTAATTGCTGCATCTATAAGTAACTGAACTCTCCTTAATGTTTCTATCCTATGTTCTACAGCACTTCTTAAATTGCCTTCCATTTGTCTAAGTTCTTCTTCACTAAGAGAAGTTAAATTTGGAGGTGGCACAGGTACAGGAGGCAAATGGATTATTGGATAAAAATTGGATGGCGACAAAAGAGGAATTCCTGGGAATATTGGTGTTGAATCCGAAGTTGAAGAGCTTGTGCCTAAATGTTGAGGTGATCCAGTTTCTGAAGATGTTGTAGGTTGCGGGGGTGGTGGAAAATTGGCCCAAAATGGAGGCATTTGGAAAGGAGCCGGTCCAGGGATAGGTTCTACCATAAATAATAATAATTTAAGCATTATTTTACTCAAATGATTCGTGAAAAGATGAGTACGTACGTTGCACATTTGGCTGTGGAGCAGGAGTTGGTTGTGGAGCAGGTTGTGCAGCAGCTTGTTGTTGATTTTGCTGCCTAGTACTAGTCTGAGTAGGTGTAGGTCTTAAAATATTCAGTCTGCAGGTTGGGCAAGTTTGTTGACGTTGGAACCACGATCGCAAACAAGCAGTATGGAATATATGATTGCACGGCAACTTTTTGCTTGCAGATACCATTTCTTCTCTGTTAAAATATAAGAAAAAAATATGTATTTAAAAAGAAGTTTCAAAATAAATACTTCTGTACTAAATTTAATTACCTGCAAATAATGCAAACGTTGTCAGCAGCTGCCAGCTCTTCAGGAGTTGCATTTGGATAAAGTGTATTCATATTTCTTATAGCTCGTCGAGACATTACAATGTCATGGAAAGCTTTCTTAAAATTCCTCATTGTATAGTACATTGGTCTGAATGCAAATAGTGGTAAGGTGTATATTCTTACCATTATAGCAACAAATGCAACATACAAAACAACCTAGAATGTGAATAACATAATTAATACTCAATATATTTTTAAAGAGCAATTTTATGATATTTCAATTACCTTCATTAAACCAATGATCAGTTCAGTGTATAAAAGAAAAACAGGCTTATTATCCCAAGGATTATCACGTTGTAAATCAATTGTATGAAGTATATATTTTATTGTTATATTCAACACCACAGTAATTAATAAAGCATACTCAAAACCAAAGACAAGTTGGACAGAAGCTCCTTTTGTTACTGTTTGATTGTATGCATAATTGAACATTGCTAAATTTGAACAGAATAGAAGAGCTAGTAAAGACCCAACTCTCAAATGAAATAGCCAAGTTATTACTGGACTTCTTTCCATCTATAAATTGAATAATAAATTAAATAAAATCTTTAATTGTCTTATATAATTTTGAGATTGAATTTTAATTAAAAATACTGACATAATCTACTCTATCCTCAGCCAGCCAATGAAATGATTTCAAGAATAGAAGTAATGTAAACAGTGCTATGAATTTTGGACTGAAATCATCTCTAAAAACAGTAAATGCCAAACAAGTTTCTGTCACTGCATACCAGAGTTTTTCCATCAAGTGCTAAAATTAAAAATACAACAATTGAGCATATTTTTTAAAAGAATAATTGGTTTCATTATCATTAGAAAACTCACTTCAAATTCTGCTGCTCTTAAATTTCCAAAAAAAATTTTTCTCAAAAATGTATTAGCCATCAAAACAAGTATAAGACCTTGAACATAAATGACCTGAAAAAAAATAATAACAATTATTAAATAATTATAATGCTTGATTGTTAAGATTACAAATCATATACAGCTTATAAAAATTGATCCACTGTGTGAAATTATAAATGTTATGCAAATACAGGAAATGTATTCTTTAGGGGTGTTAAGACTTGAACAAATTTTTCAGATGACTTATGTTGAATTAGTTCATTTTTATACGTAAATAAATACAATCAATAACTCTTTGTAAACATATACGGGAAAAAACAGATAAAATGAAACACAGAACCTTTGACTGGGTCTAAAGCAAAACGAAACCGAGAACTGAGTTCCAGAAAGAGTAGAAATCTACAAGAGAGAGAGAGAGAGAGAGAGAGAGAGAGAGAGAGAGAGAGAGAGAGAGAGAGAGAGAGAGAGAGAGAGAGAGAGAGAGAGAGAGAACGTGGTAAGGTACAATTGATGAAAAACTGATACGATGTAATGAAAACGTAAACTCACAGCCATACTGGGATTAGATTTGGTTATGTAGACGACCGACGGGTAAAATTGTTTCTTCTGATAGTAAGCATTGCCGATCACGGCGCAGGTAAGAGCTACGCTGATCAGCACAATACCCGCGGCCCTCATCTTCGCCCTGGAATCCACCTCTGCTGCTTTTGACGGCCCTCCAGCCTTCCGAATGCCAAAATAAAGCTGCTATAACCCTTCAATCGAGAAACTATCACCTGGCTAGAGTCGTTCAGACTTCTTGCCCCGTCACCTACTGCCTTCGTCCAACGGATAGTCCAAGGTTCCACGGTATTTTTCTTTTCTCTCGCTCACCGAACACTACGATTATTTTCAACAACACTTGCTCTTCCTTTTTCTTATTCTGACACACAACTCACGCAAGCAATACTAGTAGCAGCAGCAGGCGACGATATTGCGAGGCGCTGCTTGCGTCGCGGCGTTCATCAAAACTAGCCAAAGACATACGTGTCGTCTGGCTTTGAGTGAACTGATCGAGAGTAGGGTCGAGAGCCATGTAGTATGCACACGTTGACTCAACGTTCATATGTCAATGTATGCATGTACGTCGCTACATGAGTGTGTGTACAATGCTTTATTTATTGCCGATAATTATGCAATAATTGTCGACGGAGACAGATTTGTCGCTTGTGATACAATGGAAACTCGCGATTTTGAAAAATTCACGACTTTACTCTTTTGAAAACGAATTTAAGGGTTGCGCGAGCTTGAAGCACGCGACATGTAGTTATATACTGCTGATATAAGTTTATCGCTTTATATATTTTGCAGATGCTTTGGACAGGCGGTTGTTCGCGATTGGCCCTTGTATAGCTTTATAATTTTTAAATTGTTCATGCGCGATACACTTTTCTCAAACTTGTCGGAATTATTATGCATCTACAGCAGACCGATTGTTCCATTTTTGTTGACGTTTTTTTTCTCTTGTTTAGCTATACTCGCTTATTTTTGCAATAAACTGTGAGACGTTTGATGGTGGTGAAGAACAATGAATGCAGCGTCGTATAATTTTCTTTGTAAGTATTATGTATTACTTAATAATAAATGTAACATTGAAATTAATAAAACCATTTTAGTAAATGCGGATTTCGTGGCATTCACTCGAGAATTTATAATTATTTACAATTAGTCGCAATTTGAAGCACTTGAATACGCTAGCTAAAAATTGCGTTTTTGATATGACATACAGTCATCGATTTTGCTTTCCAATTAATACATATCTTATTATTTAACGAAAATGTCAGAACGAAGCTACAACGAAATTATATTTTTAGTCTAAAACTGCATAAACGAGAAGTTTTTACAGAGTGCTTAGCTGACTTATTTTCGCTTTGAAAAAAATGAATCTGCTTGTTAAGCGTGATTTTGCAGCATCACCCTACAAATCCGAAAGAGATAAGCTCATTTATGTAAAACGATTAGATGTAAGAAGGTTCTTCAAGTTATTAGGTAAGGCACTAAAAACTTTAGCTATCAAATCAAAGCTCCATCGTATTCACTTGTTTCATTTGTTAATCGCAGAAAAATTAGACGATTTTCTCCAAAACGATAGATGTTGCCGATTGGCCGATAACTATTTGATAGCAATGGTTTTTACATACTTTTTAAGGGCCTCATTCGAACCGGAAGAATACACGAAACAGAATTTTTTCGCAGCTTTGTAAGTTTTACTAAAATTGCCATTTTATCATTTCTTATTATTTCAAAGATTACAACTTTATTCTCAATTTTCGAAACAAGGTTTCTCGCCTACAACATGGAAGAGGACGAAGGTGAATTTTCGGTGATCGAACTCGAAGATTGGCTAGATTGTAGCCTCACTGAATTGAGACAATTACGCTACGAGCTTTTCCGGAGAATAGATCATCGGGGTGCGGTATCACGCTCTTGCTGCGAAGTTGTCATGCGGTGTGCCAATCCAGAGCACAAAATTTGGCAGAGACGCCGACATCTCTACCATTCTGGTATTGTCAGCAAAAATACTTGGTGGCCTGACGGGTAAGTATATCGAACCAATTTCAATAAATTACCTAATTAACGAGCTGCTAAACAAAAAAAACAAAAGTATTTTATCTATTATTTTAGAATCGAAAAGTTTTGTCCTGTGTGCGAAGGCGAGAGCGATGAGGATACAGATTACGAGCGAAAAACGGACGTTCATCAAAATCACTCATATAAACGTAATGTTGCTTTATTATTTGAAGTCGTAAAAAGTACACAATAGTATATTAATGTTCTGCACATCATGATGTAGATATAAAAGTTGATAATATCGATAACACGACTTTTATCTCCTATCTGGTAAATGATTTGTTAAATTAATTAATAATAAAAAATGGCTTTCTAAAATATATACTCTAAATCTAAAAATATAATATACGTACTTCGTTAAAAAATAATTGAATACAAATTAAACTGACTCTATGTAAATGACTTTTGAGGACTCCTATAAACAAGGTGGTCTTTGTAAAAATTTGTTTTCCTCATCAAGTCATATGCCGCGTAAGTTGGGTCGTCTTCAAAACAATGCGGGGACTTTGTCTCTTTGGAGTGATAGGCATTACAGCCTTGAGCGGAGTCCGTCGCGGATGCATCGATGCACGCCTGGATGAAAGCTGCTTTGCACTTTTCGGAGTTTTCACGACCAACGGTCTCTTGATATGCGGAGTCTTGCACATCGTACTCTCGTCAGGTTTATAGATATTCACATTGTCATATGATCGATTAGTCATGGAATTGTCGTTACTCGTCACACTCTGTATGAGTTGGTTCTCTTTTTGTAAACTGCTGATTTCTTCGTAACTTTTTCGTGGAGCGTTGAAACGCGTCGATTGACGGTTACCGCTATTACTTATCGTTACTTCCATTTTTATCAAAGGTGATACATTTGGCGATCGGCGTACCATATTTTGTCTTCTGCGTCCGATATCATTATTATTCAACCTTTTGTTGTCTGAAAAATAAAAATATTATAAGACAAAATACTTACCAATAAATATATTTCATTTTAATTTGCGTGGAACTTACCACGTGGAGACCTGGGATCTTGTTTCATTGAAGGACGTGCACTCCCTGGAACTTTCATAGACTGACGTCGATTCGTATCAACTGCCTCTTTCGTTGGATCGTCGAAAAGTTTTGCTTTGGCTAACACCATACCAGCATTTTGGGTTCGCAATTTAGCCACAGATGCCCGGCCTGTTTGGGTCACAGGTGTACGCATCTTCGTTTCTTGCTGAAAATAATCATCGGCATCTTTCCACGAAACCGTCTTCTCATTCTTCAGCTCTACAGACTTTATTCTACTGCTGGTACACTCCATGTCGGATGTCAAATTTGTTTGACTATTGCTTTCTTTTAATTCCTTTATTTTTTTATTGAAATACTGAGAGTTGTCGATAAATTCGCCCATATGAAAAGAGGATGCTCGACGAACCATCGTATTGGCTATTAACTTTGCACTAGAATTTACAAGAAAATCATTACGTCCATATTATTTTATAAAATTAACTTAAACTCTATAAATATTGCACTGTAAATAAAACCTTCAATTGTTAGATCTAAAAAATAGACTTCTTCTTATAATTACCTGATAAGTGGCGATTCATTATTTTGAAAAACATCATCCTCAAGCGACTCAAAGTCATCATCGCTGAATGTACCTCGCGTATGTTCAGCTGTATGACTGATAAGAGTATTAAGCTGTTCTTGTAAATATTTCAGACGCGCGTTTGTCTCCTCACTGCAAAACGTTGTTGGATGTTTAACTTCCGGAGTTTTTGGAGTTAAATTGAGACTCTTGTTCGAGTCACGTTTAACCAGAGGACGGCCACGTTTTAAATTACATTGCTTTGGGTAGCAATTATTCAAGTTGTTGTTTCTAATGTGTGACCTATCAGCAACGTGCCAAGATGCAGTACGCTGTACTTTTTTATTGCTAAAACCAATTACTTAATGAACGATACATTTTATCCGGCAAATCTCTTATCAATTCAAAATTAAATGAAAACATAGTATTTACCAAATAAGATTTTCTTGAGATCTTCGCCTGATGCTTCCAATTTTTCGCGCGCTTGGTGATCTTATCACTTTATGCTCCATTGATTTTCGTATTTTCAGTTCTCTACTAAGTCTTTTGGCTAATTGATCTGTATTAGAAGTATTCTCGATATTCGCTTCTACCAACGTTTTTTCATATTCATTTTGTACTTTCATTATTGGATTCACAGTCAATACTTCGTTTGATTCATTGTTTATGCTCTTGAATTCTTGAGAAATTCGTGATTCTATCGCCGATACTCTATTTTTTATTTCTTCATATTCGCTTTTTGGTATTTTTACGTACTCCTCCGATGAGGCATCCGCAGTGTCGCACGTAGTGCTAGATACATTCGGAGACGAAGAATTTCGTAATGAGTATGAATGAGTTGATTTTCTAACACAACTAACGTGTTTGCATCGGGGATTGGTTTTGCTGTTTGTTGGATTTTGCGAGGTACAATCACCGCAATCATCAGATAGATTTACTTCAGCATCCATAAAAATTTCATTCAAAGCCTGGTTTACGACTGAATTACGCATTTTAACTTGAGGTGGGGTAAATGCTAAACTGATACTTTGAGATCGACGTCGTTTTTTCACATCCGATGAATTATTTCCGTTACTCAATCGCCTTTCAGCGCAAGGACTGAATGATTTTTTGCGCAATTCGATACCTTTCTCGCTGATTTTTGGTTTACTTCTTGGAACAAACCGGTCTAAACTGAGTCTATGCTTCTTCGATCTATCAACTTTATCGCAAACTCTCCTGAAAAACATTTTCAAAAATTATTGTAACAAATCTAATCATTAATTGTAAAAAAAACAACAATATTTAACAACTTACGTTTCAGAATGAACTTTATGAGATAAATATTTTTGTACTCCAGATTTTTGAGTAGGACTTCTATCTTTAGCAGGACTAAAATACACATTTTAATGTTTATAATATTCAAAATAATTTTTCGAAAATTACTAACCATGCAAAATAAAATTATATAAAAAAAAAGAAAAACATACTTTGGATTATTAGAAACCGGGGATAAAAAAAGATATGTATGACCAAAAGAATCACTAGTAGGCATAACTTCAAAAATATTGGTGCTGTAATAAATGTAAAATAAAAAGTTCATGTGATGCAGTGACTATCAGCGAAAATTATCACAGCAGTTAATCACATAAATTCATGCAATTCACACAAAAAAATTCTTAAATATACTGCTTAAGATTTGACACATACTTTCTTTTTATCTCTAATAAGTCCATTGAATCAGTAACTTTTCTTTTCTTTCCTGCTTTCAAAGATGGCGTAACAAGTGACTGATTTGAATCAATATCCAGTAAACGACTTTCTGTTGCATCCATTCCATTAGGAGAACTGTTTTTGCCAACTATTTTCTTTAACCCAGTTAACATTCCTTGAGAAAATATACAAATTTTATAATATATCATACAAGAACAAAAAATGTTCAAAATATGATAGGTACTTGTAAGACTACCACTGCGATGCTTTTTTTTTTTGTTTTTGAATGAGTGTGATGGATCAGATTGATCAAGTTCATTGTCAATGCTTCCTGTAGAAATAGCTTCGGAAATATCATGTGGAAGAACTCCAATTTTCTCAGCATTCTCAATCAAAAGCTGGAACAAGTATAATTGTAAGAAATTGGTCAATTTAACAATGTATATAAAATTAAAAAAATCTTAAGTTACTTTGACAATATTCAAATGAGCATCTAATCTCATTTGAACAGCAACCATTGTAGTTTCTTGCAGGGGCATTATGTTTGGTCCAAAAACTCTAGCCAAGTTATCAATACCCATTTTATTTTGCTGCTCATGTGTTGAGACTGCTTTTAAAAATTCCATGAGGTATGCCAAAGTATTCAAGTGATGTGGTGGTAATAAAATGCATGCCAACAGCAATGCATATAATTTATTTGTTTTAAGCATTTGACATCGTACAAAGAGATCATGATAAATATAAGGTATCAAAGGTTCTGGTAAATTTCTGAAAAATGTTTTTAGGCAATTCCCTACATCAATAATATTATTTTTATCTCCAAGTTGGCCTCCGTTGTCAAGTCTTGCTATAATTTCCTTTTGTCTAAGCTGTGAGCCAGCTTTTCTGAATAAACCTTCTTGAGTAATATTTTTTAAAATACATGTTGTAGCTTGACTAACAAAGACAGGGACATGAATAATTGCTCCTGAAGATAAGTTGACGACGTCCAAAGGTAAATACGAAAGATGCGTATTAAATACTTTTTTCAAGGCACTTGCATTTCTTTCTGGCTTTTCTGTTTTCACGGCACATTTTTTTATTCGATACTTAACCCCGAGATTTCGTAGATTATCCGAAATTATTTGGTAAACTTTTTCTTTGTGTAACACGTCGTAAATCAGCATTTTAATTAAATTTGTTTACGACTTTGCATCTTAATATATTTTCAATACACTTTTTATTCATCAACCAACCATTTCCATTATGAAATATTTCAATTGTCCGTATGTATACATGGATAAAATTGTCGCAAAACTTTACATCACAAGCAATTTCTTTAATGCATAATATTTACACTAAAAATATACGAATAAATGCCTACTACATTATAAACAAAGAGTAGTCGTTTGAAATTGTAAACTAGTAAAAGTGAGTAATCCCAAAGAGTTTACTTTTTAAAATTCGCCATTTATATACAACCATGTATTAAATGTAGTAACCGCCAAAATTATCAAGACGCATTTCTATGAAAACTGTTTTATGTATTTCAAATTATTTAACTATTTTCCTTAATCCAAATCAAAAGTTTGATTCATAAACAAATTGAAAGCTAATATTATTAAATGATTGAAGTTTTTTACGATGAAAATGGGTAAATTGATTGTTTAGTGTCTTCAAAAAATGTTCATGAATGAACCCAACCCATCTTACCCCAGCCGACAAACTTAATTTATAGTAAAAACAAAAAACACAAGTCGAAATATCTCTAACTGCACTACCCAAAATTTCTTCTAATTTAAACTGCACCATCCTAGTTTTTCCAGAAAAAATTTATAACTTTACGGATTTTTCGAACGGTCAAATCTTTGTAAATATTCTATATTTGTATAATTTAATTTCACAAAAAAACTGCACCATGACTGATCTTAACTGCACCCTCTTTACTTTTGTGAAATAATCAACATAAATATTAGATAATTAATAAAAACCATATTGTTCTATTAGTCATGGAGCAGTACTGGTTAGAACGCATGCGCGAACGCAGAAGCGGGAAAATTGCTGTTTTAAATTTCTGATAAAACAACAATGTATTGACGACTACATATATATATAGGACATTATCAAACGGTAACACGTTGGTAATTAATGAAACTGGATCCTTCTAGTTATTAAGAAAAAAATTAATACATACGCTCGTTTAACGAGATTTTGCAAGGACAATAACTTATCGTACATAATCGATATTTTTGCGATGTAAAGGTACCAAAAAACTACGTTTTGTCTGATCTTAATTGCCCCCTCTTTACTTTTACAGAATTATTAATATAAATACTAAATAATTAATGAAAACCATTCTTATATTAGCTATGTAGCAGGTAATGTTTCGTTTAGTTTAGTTTACTAGATGGCGGTGGGACCCTTAGCTGAGACTCCGGTATGCCAAAACGAATGCGTTCACCTAGCAGGTAATGCTTTCCTTTACTAGATGGCGGTGGGTCTCTTAGCTGAGACTCCGGGGGGCCTATTCTGAAAAAAAATTTTGTGGTAAATCAGTTTGTCACTTCAGTTTACCATAGAATTAATCACTTTAGATGTGATAAATGCTTATGACATGTGCTAAAATTTTTTTTCAGAATAGGCCCCCGGATATGCCAAAACACTAGTAGGTAATGGTTAGAGCGCATGAGCGAACTACTACATAGAGGCGGGAAATCTAGACCGTTTTAAAATTCCAATTAAACAAAATAGATTTATTGACTTGTTTACTCACTTTGAGTTTTAAAATCAGTGTTAGAGTTTAAGGGAGTATGGTGGATAAGACTATTAAAAATAAGAATTACTTGTAACTTTGAAATAGCGCGTATTATAGCTTACTTAAGCTATGGTTCAAGTTTCGTGACCCTTCAGAGCATCAAACCCGAGATATTAATGATTAAAAATAACATGTGATCTTATGGGAAAAGGAGGTTTTTGTAGATTATAAAGATATTTAAAATTAAGAAAATTCTGAAAAAATTTTGAGGTACGTAGAAAAAAATAAGAAACCCATAGGTGCCTTCAAAATTATCAATCAGAACCTGTATAAAAAGTTATTGAATAAATTGTATCGGAAATTTAGAAATAACAGCTGAGAATTGAACATGTGGCAACGTCGCATTATTTCCACGTGCTACGTTGAAGCGCGGATTTTTTAAGCTTTTCAACTGCGCATCTCCCTCAATTTTTCATTTGAAAGTTGCAAGAATCATTTTTTTATACCTTTTCCTATCTCTGTTTGCTTGCATCGTTTCTTATAAACTGCTTGAGTAACTCTTTTGCCTTTCCAAAACCATTTTCCACTATATTCACTCATATTTATTCAACATATATGTAATTAGGCTATCTTTTAGGTTAGAGAAAGAGCATGTAAACACGTCGCGGCGAATGGCTGTTGAGCGGAGTGTATATGCGACGTTGCCAAACTTATGATTGCCACTACACGAGTCAATAGTTAGTCGAAGCGCTCTCTCGACTGACTAGCATCGTATCCACCATACTCCCTTAAGTAATAAAACAGTAGTGAAACCAGGGAGTAAGAGAGAAGGAGGCACAACTCATATGGCCGCTGAGCCAGAAAGCGGGACGATTTTGTCGGCGAAGATCGCGACGGAATAGCCTACCCCTCGCTAGTTTCAGACCCCCCTTGTGGTTGACGCTCGTACTATATTAGCGAGCTGATTGACCGACAATTTACCTACTAAACTCGTATGCATTACCTTTATTTTCAGAGCACACTCAGTTTGTTTAAACGTCACTATGTAATATTAGACAATCGCAGTTAATTTATAACAATTATACAAAGCCTAAGCACCTTTAACCTAAACCTATAAATTTAATCACAAGCTCCCACCGGGGATCTGCAACTTAAATATAACCTTCAACCTTTATATAGTGATGAAGACACGTTAGCCGTAAGGCTAAGGTTTCTGCTCCGTGATTACAAGATCACGGGGTCGAATCCTGGTATAATTTTTTTTTTAGTTTTTTGGCATTTATGAATCATTACCAGTAATATAACCAAGCAATTTAATACTTATTGTCGATGACCAAATTATATACTGTAATACTTTAATTCTCGTTTATGAAATGGGATTTGTTTTGTACACAACAATTTCATAGCATTTATTTAAACATTAAATTCTTAATTCTTTTTAGTTGGTAAATGGTTTTTGTATTTTACGCACAAAATAAAATTAAATATTAATTAACACATAGAATACAATTAGAAACCTATTCTTTATGTAGAAAATTCGACTGGAAATTATATAATAATAACAATTGAATATTTGCAACAATGCAAAAAAAAGCAATTGCAAATGGCAAAATAAGAAACTTGTCAATACTGTATTTAACAATGAATTTATCGAATATTTATAGTTTTTATTTGAGAAGAAAGGAAAAAGTATTGATAATAGAGTATTTTTTCATATTAATATTTAATTGTCAATAATATTTGAATTTGTTATTTTCAATGTAGAATTGAATTATTCAAAAAGAATTTGATATTATCGATTAATGAAAAATAATTAAATACGAAGTTGTCACTAGAATATTGTTTGTCAACAAAAAAAGCGATTTATCGATGAGTTATCGAAGACTTAAAATAAATTTCATAAAGTCGTATAAACTCGTATGAAATTGAATCAAAAACAATTATTGATAGACATAAGTGGTTATTTAAATTTTGAGAATGTAAGATATTCTTTTATTAATTATTATTCATTAAGCTCATACTTATTCATAAATTATATGACAGTAAACAAGAATATACGTAAATATGGGTTCATTCAACCAATAGATGTCGAGTATTTTTTTTAAACGCTGTAAAAATCATATAATTTTTCTTTTAATAACAAACTGATGAAAAAAAGACAATGTTAGATACAAAGTCAAAAAGTAATTTCACTGTAGTGCATAATATTTTATGACAATTATGTATGTAAACCACGTGATTTGTGTAATTGCGACACCATTTCTACATGATTAGAATTAATTCAATCTTTAAATTTTGTTATATTAACAGAGCAAAATTAATACCAGTTTCATTGAATAACTAAATATTATTTATCATCATAACTTTATACACAGTGATTTTTTTAAACGATATAATCGTGCTTTTGATCGTTTTTTAATTTTGGACAGGGGCATATAATTCATGCAAATATGTAAATATTAATTTACATTATTATTAATATTGTTATTATTATTATTATTACTGTTCCTCAAACATTCTGTGCAGATTAATTTTCATTGTATTTTTTATAGAAAAATGAGTTTTATCAAACGAATTCTATTTATTTCTTAAATATAATTACCAACAAAAAAGAATTAAGAATTTAATGTTTAAATAAATGCTATGAAATTGTTGTGTACAAAACAAATCCCATTTCATAAACGAGAATTAAAGTATTACAGTATATAATTTGGTCATCGACAATAAGTATTAAATTGCTTGGTTATATTACTGGTAATGATTCATAAATACCAAAAAAACTAAAAAAAAAAAATTATACCAGGATTCGACCCCGTGATCTTGTGATCACGGAGCAGAAACCTTAGCCTTACGGCTAACGTGTCTTCATCACTATATAAAGGTTGAAGGTTATATTTAAGTTGCGGATCCCCGGTGGGAGCTTGTGATTAAGTTTATAGGTTTAGGTTAAAGGTGCTTAGGCTTTGTATAATTGTTATAAATTAACTGCGATTGTTTAATATTACATTGTGACGTTTAAACAAACTGTGTATGCTCTGAAAATAAAGGTGATGCATACGAGTTTAGTAGGTAAATTATCGGTCAAACAGCTCGCTAATATAGTACGGGCGTCAACCACGAGGGGGGTCTGAAACTAGCGAGGGGTAGGCTATTCCGTCGCGATCTTCGCCGACAAAATCGTCCCACTTTTTGTATACGGAGTTGTGCCTCCTTCTCTCTTACTCCCTGAGTGAAACCATGGAGACTGTATAAAGGAGAGGTAGCGCCATGTATAAGAATTTCCGGCTAGTCCCGAGCCTCAGCCAAGCACTGACCCTCTACCCCCAGCGCCTCTCTCGGTGACCAGACCACGCGAGATACCGCGTTACCGACGCGACCTGTCCCAAAGAGAATTGCATAGTCGAGATCATTATTTGAAAGAAAGATTATTGATGAAAATTTATGTGTAACAATTCGCTTGAGATCGAATGCATGACATTATAAGAAATTATAATTACTAAAACTTAAGCCCCTTTTCCCTTGATGAACTTGTACGATATTCATGTCAACGTCGCTGTCTTGTCACGGTAGCTGCGGTAGCTAAGGCGTCCGTATGATTTTGCGATCGCAGGTTCAAATCACGTTTTTTTTATTTTTTTTTTATTTCTATGGATTTTTGTTGATCAGTTGGTGCAATAAATAAAAATGAAGTTTATTTATTTTACTTACTATAATTAATTGTATTATTCACTATGCAAAACACTATTTTTATCTATACTTATTTATTGCTTGGATCTATTTCTACTAAACATAATTCATTTCCATACGATATAAATAAATATGTAAATAAATAAATAAGTAAATAACCATTTTCCCGAAATTATTGTCTAAATGCCAGTGGTATTTCTTCCAAAGACAACAATTTTACGGCATACTCATCAAGTAATGTAAATGAGCAGGCGACACAGGTAAGAAGCCTCAGTGTTTGACACTGTAAAGCATTGTATTGTTATGTTATGTAAAAAGAAATCGAAGCAATGAACATAACAGTAGTGTATGACGTAGTGAATAGTATAATTCATTTTTTGTAATTAAAAGTAGTATTTGTAATTATTTATTGATATGAAAGATACATAAAATACACCATTCTTTTTAACATTTATGTTATATTATGTTAATTCATTTTTATAATTATAAATAGTATTTGTAATTGTTTATTGATATGAAGGATACGTAAAATATACCATTCTTTTGAACATTTATGTTATATTATGATAAGTACTCATTGAATTTCCATAAAATATGTACTTATTCATTTATGCATAGTGAATAATTTAATTAATTATAGTAAGTAATATAAATAAACTTGATCGTTATTTATTGTGCCAACTGATCAACAAAAATCCACAGAAATAAAAAAAAAATTAAAAAAAAAATAAACAAAATGTGATTTGAACCTGCGATCGCAAAATTATACGGACTCCTTAGCTACCGCAGCTACCATGACAAGACAGCGATGTAGACATGAATATCGTACAAGTTCATCAAGGGAAAAGGGGCTTAAGTTTTAGTAATTATAATTACTTATAATGTCATGCATTCGATCTCAAGCGAATTGTTACACATAAATTTTCATCAATAATCTTTCTTTCAAATAATGATCTCGACTATGCAATTCTCTTTGGGACATGTCGCGTCGGTAACTCGGTATCTCGCGTGGTCACCAAGAGAGGCGCTGGGGGTAGAGGGTTAGTGCAGAGATGTGGGTCGCAAACGTTTTACATGGAGGGAATACGGCCGCTACCTCTCCTTTATACAGTCTTCATGAGTGAAACCGCTCGAAGCAGTTATATCTAATGTCTAGTTATTTATCTTAGCGAATAAACCTACATTTAGAAATTAAACAGAGCATTCGTTTTTCTTTTTCTTAATAAATATAAAGAAGCAGTTTGAATAATTACCAAAGTACTACCGTTTGACAAGGTACTATATATAGGTCCTACATACGAAATCCTTAATACATTGTTATTTAATCGGAATTTGCAAACGGCTTAGTTTTCCCGTCACTGTGTCCTTTAACCATTATCTGCCAATCAACGCATGCGTTTTGGCAAACCGAAGTCTCAGCTAAGAGACCCACTGCCATCTAGTAAACTGAAATAAACTTAAAGTGAATCATTACCTGCCAAAAAACTAGACAAATATGCACAAAAAAGTAAGACTTCCCCAATAACTACAATCAGTATGATATATTATACCCCATGTCTCTTCTTAACCGAATTTCTTAATAAATGCAAACTGTTAATTTAAAATAAACCTTAATACTAAACAAATATCTCCTTCCATTCCTCGCTCTTTTACATAAACCTATACTATATAGAAATAAATATACCAACCTTAATTATAAACCACTCTTATTATTTGAATTTCTAACTTCTAATTCACTCTGATCGGAGCCTCAGTTAAGAGACCCACCTCCATCTAGTAAACTGAAACATTATACTTACTATGTAACTAACGGAAGAATGGTTTTTATTAATTATTTAGTATTTATATTAATAATTCTGTAAAAGTAAAGAGGGTGCAATTGAGATCAGATAAAGCGTCGTTTTTTGATACCTTTACATCGCAAAAATATCGATTACGTACGATAAGTTATTTTCCTTGCAAAATCTCGTTAAACGAACGTATGTATTAATTTTTTTCTTAATAACTAGAAGGATCCAGTTTCATTAATTACCAACGTGTTACCGTTTGATAATGTCCTATATATAGATGTAGTCGTCAATACATCGTTGTTTTATCAGAAATTTAAAACAGCAATTTTCCCGCTTCTGCGTTAGCGCATGCGCTCTAATCAGTACTGTTGTTTGGCGTATCGGAGTCTCAGCTAAGAGACCCACCGCCATCTAGTACAGTAAAGTAAAGTAAAGCAGTACTGCTCCATGACTAATAGAACAATATGGTTTTTATTAATTATCTAATATTTATGTTGATAATTTCACAAAAGTAAAGAGGGTGCAGTTAAGATCAGTCGAGGTGCAGTTTTTTTGTCAAATTAAATTATACAAATATGGAATATTTACAATGATTTGACCGTTCGAAAAATCCGTAAAGTTATAAATTTTTTCCGGAAAAACTAGGATGGTGCAGTTTAAACTAGAAGAAATTTTGGGTAGTGCAGTTAGAGATATTTCGACTTGTGTTTTTTGTTTTTACTATGAATTAGGTTTGCTGGCTAGGGTAAGGTGGGTCATGACCATAACATAATAAGTATTTACATGCGAGTAGGAGTTTAAGAACACACGTTACCTTAGGACTTTGTATATTAACATGTCTAATTAAATTTTAGAGTGTAAAAATTACAATAAAACTATTTTCAGTTGGTAAAATTTAAGGAAAAGCAAGAAATTAATTTTGTTCTTAAGAAATGAAAGATTTTCCTGTAAAATTTATCACTATTACAACTGTACAAAAAACGTTGTATCATTCAAATTCTACAGGGGTACAAATTAGTTTTATGTATTTAATGTTTTATGTATTTTTATGTTTTATGTATTTTTAGATGGTACAAACAAATTAAGAAGACATTCATATTTTTTTTTTCAAAATCGCATATTTTTCTACTAGAAGATACTAGATTTTCCGCCGCGCAGGCGCAATAATACGTTTATTTGAATTGCTAATTTACCATACGAAAAAAATTTTTTTTCTCTATTTTTAAAGAGAGTACAAATTCCAAAAAAGCATTTTTCTGATGGTACAAATTAAGACGAAGCTAATGATATATATATATTTTTTTAAATCAATTATTCTTCTGCCAGGGTCGTTTCGATTATTTATCTTCGACTTCGTTGATTTAGGTTAGGATTCACGTGTTTTTGTTGATCAGACGCTGAGGTCATTTAGGCTCTTATTTTTCAAAATGGAAAAAACAAACAAAAAAAAAACACGAGTGATTATGGAAGAATATGGCATACCTAATGTAAATATAGTTTTTATTTGTATCGTTACTCTAAATCAAAATTCACATTATTTATTCATTTTTCATTCAGGCGTTTGAATTTGCTAACCTGCTACACTTGCAAGAAGACTGGACTATTGACAAATTTAAAGAGGTATAATGTATTTTATTACTATAACAAATCACCTTTATATTATATTAACAAAAGACTCACGGTTTTAGAATTTTAAAATAAAAATAGTGAAACAAAGTGAAGATATGTATGAATTGGAATTTGATTTGATCGAATGTTCAGCAGCACTAGCAAATGCTTTTCGGAGAATTTTACTAAGTGAGGTACCTTCTATGGCTATTGAAAAAGTTTATATGTTAAACAATACTAGTATAATACAAGATGAAGTGTTGGCACATAGGTAACTATTTGAGAAGTTATATTTTAATATATATAATGATCAATATTATTAGACTCATATTTTTTAATATTGTATCAATACAGACTGGGGTTGTTACCTTTAAAGGCTGATCCCAGATTATTTGAATACCCTTCACTTCCTTCAAAAACATCTTCTGGAGAAGATGAAGTTAGTGACCAAGATACTCTTAGGTATGAAATCAAAGTCACTTGTAAATGGAACCCTCAAGCGCCCAAAGATTCCAGAAGACCTGATGACATTTATTGTGGAAATAATGGTATTTTTTATTTAGTTAAATTGATATGTATAAATATTTGATTTCTAATGTTGAATTATCTTTTCTATTACAGTATATAGTAGAGACATTAAATGGGTACCTATTGGGAGACAAGCTGAATTATATCCAAATGGTGAAAAACAGTTAGGCATGATTTATGATAATATTTTATTATGCAAAATGAGGCCAAATCAAGAAATACATGCGTTTATGCATGCTGTAAAAGGAATTGGCAAAGATCATGCTAAATTCTCTCCAGTTGGTATGTGTTGTACATTAATAACATAGTATTTTCTTATCCTTATCTTAAACTATAAACTTATAGTAATAATCATTTTCATTTTACAGCCACTGCTAGTTATAGACTTTTACCAGATATCCAAATTATGGAACCTATTACAGGAAAAGCAGCAGAGAAATTTAGAGATTGCTTTAGCCCAGGTGTTATAGAATTAGTTAAAAATGGTAAAGGAGAAGTAGAGGCAAAAGTAAAAAATGCACGTTATGATAGCTGTTCTCGAAATGTCTTCCATCATGACGAGCTGAAAAAATGTGTTAAATTAGGAAGAATACCTGATCATTTTATTTGTAAGTTTTTGCATAATGAATTAAAATAATTATCATATTTTTCTCCTTTTTTGTTAACATTAATTATCATTCATATTCTTTTACAGTCAATGTTGAATCTGTGGGTACCCTACCGTCGTCTGTATTATTCCTTGAGTCTATAAAAGTCTTAAAAGATAAGTGTAAAACATTTATAGAAGAATTAAATAGCATATTATGATGTTAACAAAATTTTTACATTTTATTTTTGTATAATTGCTTAATAAATATTCTATCGATTATCAATTTTATTTTATTTTCCCTGATTATTTATAATTTTTATTTTATACGAAGCTGTCTGAATCAGCATAAATATATTTTCCTTGTTCTCATGAACCTTTTAAGCAACGCGCCATAAAAATAAGAATAGATATGTGGCGATCTCGTGATCGAATAACCAAAGGTATTAGACCCCGATCCCATAGCTACGTATGAATGTGGACGGATACGGACGCGAATCGCACCTCTAGTAACATCACTAAAAATATCTAGTTCGATTATTTAGTACCAACACTACCGGTAGTGAGCAAAAGTAACTGTTGTTTAAAACTGTAGCGCCGAACATACCACAATTTAATGTAAGGCCTATCTAACCTTTACATTATTGCAGTCTATAAGATGGCAAATGATAGAGAATTGATAGACTTTCAACTACCATTAGTGGAATTAGACCTTAATTTTATGGAAGTACTTGAATATATGAGAAGAAGAAGAAAATATATATGAATGATATGCATTAATCATCCCAAAAACTTTTTTTACATTAACATACTCATCAATAAGCAATATTCATGAAAATTTGAAAAGTAAATTGTAGACCTGACACTTGAACATTAAATGTGGTACGTTCGGCGCTACAGTTTTAAACAACAGTTACTTTTACTTACTACCGGTAGTGTTGGTACTAAATAATCGAACTAGATATTTTTAGTGATGTTACTAGAGTTGCGATTCGCGCATGGAGTATATAGTCTCCATGGATTCGCGTCCGTATCCGTCCGTATTCATACGTAGCTATGGGACCGGGGTCTAAAAATATCTAGTTCGATTATTTAGTACCAACACTACCGGTAGTGAGTAAAAGTGACTGTTGTTTAAAACTGTAGCGCCGAACGTACCACATTTAATGTTCAAATGTCAGGTCTACAATTTACTTTTCAAATTTTCATGAATATTGCTTATTGATGAGTATGTTAATGTAAAAAAAGTTTTTGGGATGATTAATGCATATCATTCATATATATTTTCTTCTTCTTCTCATATATTCAAGTACTTCCATAAAATTAAGGCCTAATTCCACTAATGGTAGTTGAAAGTCTATCAATTCTCTATCATTTGCCATCTTATAGACTGCAATAATGTAAAGGTTAGATAGGCGTTACATTAAATGTGGTACGCTCGGCGCTACAGTTTTAAACAACAGTCACTTTTGCTTACTACCGGTAGTGTTGGTACTAAATGATCGAACTAGATATTTTTAGTGATGTTACTAGAGTTGCGATTCGCGTCCGTATCCGTCCGCATCCGTACGTATACCTATGAGACCTTAGGGTGCTTCTTCATTATAGACGTAAATCGCACACAGCAAGCGTAAAACCAAGAAATTCTGAGTGCTGCCAACTTCGAAATTCAAAATGAATTGAAAAGACAATTCTTATTGTATATACACTGCCCGTCAATCACTTTTGCCATGCTTACCTCAAAATTAGGCAAACTTGAAAGTTTGGTATCTCGGTCGGAAATCATCGTTTCACAAAAAACAGCAGGGCATTTTAAAGGTAAAGTCCCGCACGCTCGGCAGAAAACGTGCGTTGAAAATCGCACTTTCCACACGTCGTATCAAAAAATACGGTACGGCACATGTTCGGGAAAGAGTTTCTCGTCTCGTGTCCCCTTCCACCCTCGCTTCGCTCGGGTATAAACGCCACACGAGACCAGAATCTACTTTCCCGCACTTGTATCGTAATGTACTATTTTCGGTTTTTTAGCGCATTAAAAAAATAAAGGAATTTAATTTTTTTTTACGCTTAGTTTTAGTTTTTTTGTGATTTACTACGTCCCTAGACATTTTAATACGAGACGAAAAAAAAAAGTTAAATTCCTTTATTTTTTTAATGCGCTAAAAAACCGAAAAAAAATTTTTTCTCTATTTCTTTATTTTGACTTTATTTTCGTATTCTTGGGCACAAAATGAAACTTTTTTCTCCTTGGCATTTTTTTCCAAAACGTACGCAAATCGAAGTAATTGAGGATTGAAAAAAAAGGTTATTTTTTTACAAAAAACGCCGTAAATCGGTTAAAAAACATCGGATAAAACCCCGCGGGGGCTAATTTTAAAGGGAAAGACATTACTCTCCGAACCCCTCTGGTCGATTTGCCCTCCACCGCCTGGTTCTAAATTGGCATTGATTTAAGTCGAGGTTAAAAAAATTGAAATTTTTTTAATCAGTTTTTTTACTGTAAAAAACACATTTTTTCATTTTTAAGTCTCTGCACGTCTTAAATGGAAGCCTTTGCAATTACCTTTAAAATGCCCTGCTGTTTTTTGTGAAACGATGATTTCCGACCGAGATACCAAACTTTCAAGTTTGCCTAATTTTGAGGTAAGCATGGCAAAAGTGATTGACGGGCAGTGTATATACAATAAGAATTGTCTTTTCAATTCATTTTGAATTTCGAAGTTGGCAGCACTCAGAATTTCTTGGTTTTACGCTTGCTGCGTGCGATTTACGTTTGTATTGGAGAGGCACCCTTATGGCGTGCGCTCCGTCAGTTTACGCGCGAAAATAAGCGTCTATGTTCTGCTAGCATACCGTGAAAGTGTTGTGAGGACCGACTTTTAGTTTATTTGTATTTTATTAACTGTTTCACATTCAATAAATGTTCACTTATGTTACCCAAAATGTCTGTAAATACAGGAAAATATTATCGTGATAAAGGTGAAGAAAAAAAATCGTTTCAAAAAGATAGGAATGTTCCAAGGTTAGATTTTTTATATTATTTAAATCAGTGGTAACTTACTTATTCTCAAATTAATTTTTATTATTCACTATTTCAGAGAGAATACTGCTGAAGGCAGATTATTTCAAGTCAAAGAAAATATTGAAATTGATGGCTTGTATGGTTTTCACAGAGTTACAGATTTTAAAGAAAGAATTGGTTTTCTCATAAATATGCATACTGTAATTTTAATTATCTTTAAAACATTACATTATGAACCAAACCACTCCACCAAAGCACTTGTTTCATTTTACAGACGGACATTGTTGAAGATGACAAACAACTGGTAACAGGTGTTGACTATTATTTTTTAGAAGAAGATTGTTCAAGATTTCAAATTTCTATTCCTTACCATCCTTATTTTTACATATTATGTAGAGATGGCACACATCAAGAAGTCATTACATTTCTTTTGAAAAAGTTTAGTGGTTTTCTAATAAAAGCTGATATTGTTTCTAAGGAAGATCTAGATTTGGTATGTATTATTATAAATGTCATAAAATTTTAAATACATCAGAAAAATATTTTATAAATATTGAATCCATTATATTAATATCATAATCATTCTTTAATAGCCAAATCATTTGATTGGTCTTAAGAGAGATTATGTCAAATTGTCTTTCATAAACTCAGTGAACATGATAAAAGTAAAGAGAGATATTATGAATGTTGTAAAAGTTAATAAAGAAAGAGAAAAAAGTAATACACATTACACAAAACTTTTAGCTGAAACTTTTAATTTTGAACAAAAACATAGACAAATTATTGATCACATGGATAATATTCTAGATATAAGGTAAATAAAATTTATGAACATTTTTTATAAGGTGTTGAACGATTTATTATCAAGTTCTATGATAAATAACTTTGTAGAGAGCATGATGTACCTCATCATGTAAGGGTTTCGATTGATATGGAAATTTTTGTTGGTCAGTGGTATTCTGTTAAAACAAGAGGTACAGAGCAGGCTCCAATAATTACTCCAAGGCCAGATATTGTAGAGCCTCCAGAACCTGTAGTCCTAGCATATGATATTGAAACTACTAAATTACCTCTCAAATTTCCTGATGCCAACACTGATCAAATCATTATGATATCTTACATGTTAGATGGACAAGTGAGATTGAAAAAATATACAAAATATACTATAATTTAATTAAAGATTGAAAAAACATATAAAAATATACCTACATTAAATTACTTTATATTGCAGGGTTTTTTAATAAACAACAGAGAAATCATATCTGCTGAAATTGATGATTTTGAGTACACACCCAAACCAGAATTTGAAGGATATTTTACAGTATGGAATGAACCAAACGAAAAAGCAGTTATTAATAAATTTTTCAATCATATTAATGAAGTTAAACCCCACATATTCGTAACTTACAATGGTGACTTTTTTGATTGGCCATTTGTAGAAACAAGAGCAGCAATTCACAATATTGATATGAAGGACAGGATTGGATTTTACAAAAACAAAGAAGGCGTTTATTCGAGTAGAGCTGCGATGCATTTGGATTGTTTTTGTTGGGTGAAGCGAGATTCTTACCTGCCTGTAGGATCTCACAGTCTCAAGGCAGTTGCCAAAGCCAAACTCCGATATGATCCAGTTGAACTTGGTAAGAAAATTTACTTTCTAACATTCCACTAATGAAAGATAATTAATTTACTTCGTTTATTTCATCAGATCCGGAAGACATGTGTCGATTAGCCGCAGAAGAGCCGGAAGTACTTTGTAACTACTCGGTTTCCGACGCAGTCGCAACGTTCTACCTTTATCAAAAATACGTTCATCCCTTCATCTTCGCTTTGTGCACTATCATCCCTATGGAACCAGAAGAAGTACTGAGAAAAGGCTCCGGAACGCTTTGCGAATCGTTACTGATGGTACAGGCCTATAGAGCCAATGTCATCTACCCCAACAAACAAGAAGCTGAGTTAAACAAGTTTACCCGGGACGGACACCTATTGGATACGGAAACCTATGTAGGTGGTCACGTCGAAGCCTTGGAGTCTGGGGTATTCAGGGCTGACATCAATTATCGTTTTAAAATCGTGCCAAGCGCGGTTGATCAACTCTTGAGCGGCGTTGAGAAAACACTAAAACATGCGCTTGAAGAAGAGGAAAAAATTCCGCTTGAAGAAGTGATCAATTTTGATGAAATCGTTCAAGAAGTAAAAGGTAACATTCGTAAATTAAGGATGGGATATAAAAATATAATACGATAATTTTTTAGGCAAATTGGAAGCTCTTCGCGCTCAACCGTTACGAAGCGAGAAGCCCGTGATCTATCATTTGGATGTTGGAGCTATGTACCCGAACATTATTTTAACGAATAGATTACAGCCGTACGCAATGGTTGACGAGTCAACTTGCGCCGCCTGTGATTATAATAAGCCCGGGGCTCTTTGTCAACGCACGATGGCTTGGGAATGGAGAGGTGAAGTTCTAAAAGCCACCATGGGAGAATACCAACGTATGTTGCAGCAGTTGGAGACAGAAAAGTTTCCACCGTTGATTCCCGGCGGCAACAAGAGAGCTTTCCATGAACTCAGCAAACAGGAACAAGCAGCTGCTGAGAAGAAAAGATTGTCGGATTACTGTCGACGTACTTACAAGAAGGTTAAGGAAACAAGAAACGAAATTCGTCAGCAAACGACTTGCCAAAAGGAAAATTCGTTTTACGTCGATACCGTAAGAGCTTTTCGGGATCGACGATACGAGTACAAAGGTTTGACGAAGAAAGCTAAGCAACAGGTACGCTAATTATTTTAAATTTGGGCTGTTTTTGTCCTAAATCAGATATTTTATAAATCAAATAGTTTATAAATATGTGGTTTTAATATTATAATTATTCTTAGGTTGCTCAAGCCACAGCCAATAATGACGCTGCAGCTATCAAATCAGCTAAAAGTCGTGAAATCTTGTATGATTCTTTGCAGTTAGCGCACAAATGTATCCTAAATTCTTTTTACGGCTACGTCATGCGAAAAGGTTCGCGTTGGTTTAGTATGGAGATGGGTGGCATAGTGTGTCACACTGGAGGTCACATTATCAAAAAGGCGCGAGAGATCATAGAACAAATAGGAAGACCACTTGAGCTAGATACTGACGGAATTTGGTGTATCCTGCCAGGTTCTTTTCCTGACAATGTTGTCGTGACAACTAGCAACCCTAAAAAACCTAAGTTAGTTGTGTCGTATCCTAACGCAGTACTCAATGTTATGGTGAAAGATGAATTTACAAATGACGTATACCATGAATTGGTCGACCCCATAACACGCGAGTACACAATTAGAAGCGAGAATTCGATCTTCTTTGAAGTTGATGGCCCCTATTTAGCTATGGTTTTGCCAGCTGCAAAAGAAGAAGGCAAAAAGTTGAAAAAAAGATATGCTGTTTTTAACTTTGATGGTTCTTTGGCGGAGTTAAAGGGTTTCGAAGTAAAGAGACGAGGTGAATTGCGGCTCATCAAAATTTTTCAGTCTTCAGTTTTCGAAGCATTCTTGAAAGGTACTACTCTGGAGGAGTGTTATACAGCAGTAGCTAAAGTAGCGGACTATTGGTTAGACATTTTATACAGCAAGGGAATTAATCTGCCTGACTCTGAATTGTTTGATCTTATTTCGGAGAACAAATCAATGTCTAAGAAATTAGATGAATATGAAGGACAAAAATCCACATCGATTTCAACTGCTAAGCGTTTGGCGGAGTTTCTCGGTGATGAGATGGTCAAAGATGCTGGTTTAGCTTGCAAGTAAGCTCGAAAAATTTATTATTATTAATTTATTATTAAGTTTTGAGATTCCAAGATTGCGATTTAATAGTTTTTATCACATTTCAGATTTATTATTTCTCAGAAACCATTGGGTTCACCAGTTACAGAAAGAGCAATTCCATTGGCTATTTTCCAGTCAGATCCCAGTGTCGCCCGTCATCACTTGAGGAAATGGTTAAAAGATCCTAATATTCACGATATTGACATTCGAAACATTTTAGATTGGCAGTACTATATTGAGCGTCTTGGTAGTGCAATTCAAAAAATTATTACTATTCCAGCAGCTTTGCAAGGTATATTGAATCCGGTTCCAAGAGTACAGCATCCAGACTGGCTGCATAAAAAGGTATTAGAAAAAACGGACGGCCAAAAGCAGCAGAAGATTACTGATCTATTCGAAATATCTGAAAAACCAAATAATGTTGAAGAAGACGAAGAAAGTGGATCGGATAAAGATGACGACAAAACGCATGAGTCAGTGCCAGATATGGAAGATTTTGGAAATCAAGCTGGTCCTAGTAAATACAGGCCTATAATCGCTAGTGTGACGAAACGGAAAAGGACATTTTCGGAAGAAGAACGTGAAGAAGCTGAAAGAGAAACAAATAGTTTACTGACAAACGACTGGAGAAAAGTTTTCGGCAATCCACCAGATCCGCCTCAAACAAGGGTAAACAAAATAAAAATTAAAAGTAAATTTTTATAAATAAATTTCAACAACTAAGAAACTCTCACGGTAATTGTTAATTTAAAGGAAGAATTGCTAGCGTGGCTTGCATTTCACAAGAAAAAGTGGAAGTATCAAGCAGAGCAGAGAGAAGCAAGGAAAAAAGCTGGTGCTGCTAAACGATTTAGATTTAATCAAAGCTCTAAAGCTACTGATTCCGGTATGAAAAGAACAAGTACAAATACTCTAGGTGGTTTCTTGCAGAGAGCTCAAGAAAAATTGCTGGAAACTCCTTGGCAAATTATACAAGTAAGAAGGAATTTAAAGTAAATATTTTGATAAATTAATAAATTATTTATCTGAATAGCTAGCCGAGACCAGTGAACCAGGGCTGTTTAAATTATGGGTTTTAGTTGATCAGGACCTGCATCAATTGAGGTTGAACGTTCCAAGGATATTTTATGTAAATACTCGAAAAGAAAGAGCTGAAAATACTGAAAATCATTCTTGGGTGAAATGTAACAAAATTTTACCGCGATCACGTCCCGTTTATCACCTCTATAAATATACTGTACCTGAAAAAATTTTTCGTTGTCACGGCAGGTAAGTTGTCTATATATGTTTATATAAATTTACAATTAAATTGATGTTAACAAATATATCCCAGGACTCTGACAGAAGATTTGATCGATCCTGACATTGAAGGGATATACGAAACTCAAATGACTCTTGAATTCCGAGCGATAATGGAACTTGGCTGTATATGCTCAGTCACAAAAGAGGCAGCTAAGGGTTTGAGAGACGTGACTGATACCTTCAATTTGACTCAATTATCATACAAAACTATTGCTGCTCAACCGTATTTCCGCAATGTATTACCTTTTTTATTTAGACAAAATCCATCAAGCTAAAAAATCGCTTTATAACTTTCTATTATCTACATTTTTCTAGACTAAGAAAATCAAGAAGATATTTTTCTATCATCATTGGTCTGCTAACAGCAATTACAGAAGGGCAATGTGGAGTGTGTTTATAACGGAAAGCAAAACTTGTTACATATTTGTCCAAGATACTGTGAAAACAGACCGGATGCCGAATATGAATACACTTTATGTCAATGAGAGAAGCAAAGCGTTAGTACAATTTTTCTACTTTTTTCACCGATCTATGAAGTGTTGGTTTTATTGAAAATTTAATTTACAGAGTTGAAATGGATGAAATAGAGAATATTGCCTCGATGCCTGAATCAATGCAATTCAATATTCGAATTGCGACTGATGTTAAAGTTATTCACACGCAAATACAGAGTGCTCTAAAAAATTACAAAGCTGCAAACAAAGGTGCTACGGTTGTACTTGTGCAATCTCCAATACGTAAGTAATTGATGAATGAAAATTTTATATTTTTTGAATTAATGAAATCTATAATGTTGAATTAATTTTTGTATTTAGCAATAAAGCCACTTACAAGTAAACTGCCATACTTAAATGAATTTCCTCTGGTCAATATGCATATACAAGATTTGGATAATTTATACGATAATCTAGACTGGCAACGAGTAGGTTCGAAAATGATGCTCAGGCATTATTTCAAAAGCGAAGACATTTTTACAAATTTGCTCGAACAAGCTCGTTACTTCCATGCACCCGTGGGAAATTTACCAGATGATGTTATCACTTTTGGCGCTGACTTGTTCTACGCACGTCATTTGTCAGTAGCTAATTTCGTTTTATGGTGGTCACCAAATGAAAAACCAGATTTTGGTGGTAGTGAAAATGATGACAGCAGGTTTGGATTAATAATTTAATGTTATTTTATAAATAATGATTGTTCTTAATGGTTAAGAAATCATTCTTGTATAGGTTGTTGACTGACTTTGAAGAAAGCTCAGGCTGCGTCAAAAATAATTCCAGTGCGTATTCTACCGTTTGTATTGAGTATGATTTGATAAGCTTAGCTGTGACGGCTTTGGTTCAATATAATCACATCAATGATATTGATGGTACCAGTTCATATGTTGCTTTTCACGCTGCACAGCAAACGTCCCTCCAAGTGAGTTAAACAGGATGCGCAAGTACTTATAACTATTTTTAATTGAACCTTTCATATAGGATATGATTTCAAATGAAGGCGGTGGTGTTGCATTACCATCATATGATGAAGTATCACTATGTGCAGACGCTTTTAAAGTTTTGAAAAAAATGGTCAGTACCTGGTTAAAGGAAGTCAGTCAGTTTAAAAACCAGTTTGCCGATTACCTGTTAATGCACTTTTATAGGTTATTAAAAATGCAAAATTTTATTTCGCTATTTGATCTGAATACTCTTATTTCTATTCCTTTTTTTATATACTTTGCACAGATGGCTACGTTCTTCTACATCATTTATGTATGATCCAGCTTTGCGTCGTATTTTACATAATTATTCGAAAAAGTTATTTGTACAGTTAGTGTCCGAAATGCAAACATTAGGATTAACAATAGTCTATGCAGATTTTACGAAAATTATTTTGAGTACAAAGAAAACGAACACGGAAGATGCATATGCGTATATGGAATATATGATTCACAAAATTGTCCAAAAAGAACTTTTTCATAGTATACATTTTGAACCACAAAATTGTTGGAAATATCTTATTTGGCTTGATTTAGTAAGTATATTTTTTACTAAATAGTTTTTTATAGTTATTCAAGAATTGAATAATTTTGCATCATTTTTTACTTGACAGTCCAATTTTTCTGGAGTCAAACAGCGCTTAACGAATACAGACGGAGAAAATTCAGAAGAAAGTGATGGGGTAAATGTTCTAAGTGTATTAATTTGTTAATTCTTGTAAATTTCATAATTTTTAAATAAACTTTCAGGTGGAATTTTTTATGAATTTTAATATGATTGAACATGTACCTATAGAGATGTGTCAACATACTTTCTCAAAAATAATTTCTGAATATTACGGCACAATTTACACTGAAATGCAAACAAAATCTCCTGAAGAAGTAACGGTCATAGCTAAAAAGTTAATTTCGGAAAAAATATCACAAAGACTTTTCCAGTAAGTCCTAATTTGTTACTCATTTCATATATAAATATAGTTTACATTATAAATCGCTATATAGCTTCAATTTTGTTCAAATTTCATTATTAGTTATGTGCAAGCTATCCATAAAAAATATCCAGAGAAAAGTTTATCAATTGAGGAAAATCCATTCCTTGAATTTGATCCAAAAAGTAAGACACTGTCAATAAATCCTGCACTTGAGCTATCTAAAGCAATAACCAAGGTTTGTTTTAATACAAGTAAATTTTTAAATGAATTTTGAAAATTTCATGTGTTTTATAGGTGTTGTCCTTGGACCCTCAAATTAAAGATGAAATTGATAACTTACATAAGAATTTGTTAAGATTAATAAATATTGGCTGCTTTAGTGATAAGGCAGAATGGAAAGATCCATGTGTTTCTTTTATCTTAAATGAAGTATTATGTGAAAATTGTAATCATGTTAGAGATATAGATCTTTGTAAAGATAATTTTAAAGAACTTGAAAACAATAAGTAAGTTAAACTCTACTTTGAAATTGATTTCTCTTTATCAATTTACACAATATAATTGCAATAATTAATTTCAGGCAAGTCTGGAAATGCTCAAATTGTAAATTAACTTATGACAACACTCAGATAGAATTCTCTCTTATAGACATTCTAAATCGTAAAAATATGGGCTATATGATTCAAGACCTTCAGTGCCTGAAGTGTGGTGAAGTCAAACAAGACAATATAATTCCAAGTTGTTCTTGTTCAGGATTTTTCAAAACATTAATATCAAAAGACAATTTAATTAAGACTCTAAAAATATTCCGAATGATAGCTACAAAATGCCAAATGCCGATTTTAACCGAAAGTGTCCAATTTATGTTGACAAATGTAGATTAATATAATTTCTTTGTTTGTAATCTGTAATTTTATAAAAATTATAGACTCGTTATAAACTGGTAAAAAATGTGGAAACACTCTATGAACCTTAACAATTATTTTTTATTCTAAAACATTTAACCATTTATAATTAATATATGGTAAGGAATTTACTTTGCAGTAGCTGGTGCAGCACTAATTTCAACTTTGGGTTCTGTAACAGAATTTAATAAAGATATACCATCCCTTTCAAAGCTAATAATCACCTTTCTATTTTTTAATTCTTACCTGGGAAGTTAAATTTAGGAAAAGAAGTCATGTCAGTTCCTTCAGAACCACCATAAGCTTTGGCTATTCTTTCTAGTTCACTTTTCAACTCCTTTTGGTACTCAGGAGTGTCAACCTTGCCACCCCTATATAGAAACTATTTTATTATTGATTCTTATTGTTCTTGGTAACTTTTAGAATTTTATATACACGAACATTACCAAATTTTGAATAATTATTTTATCATTTGTTAACAGACCATAAGCCTTTATAAGTATGAAAAATAGAAATAACAACAAAATTTGTCATGGTTTTTAAGTAACTTACATTTGCATCAACTATTAAATATAAACATAAACTCACTTTGATTTGAACTCCCTAATTTTATCGATGAAAAGTTGTTGAATTGGGTCGGTGTTCTGAAGAGCTGGAGCAGCGATTCCGAAATTCCTCCTAAATAATTTCGGGGCAGCAGCGACGATACGTTGCGAAAGCATTTTTATATACTGACGATCTGAAATGTCAAATTATCATGAAATTATAAAAAATTATTCATTACATAACTGCATATCGTAAATTCCTGCTAGTTAGACCAGTTAGAGGTTATACTATTCTGACGTTTATAACTTATAAAAGAGAATCTATCCCCAAAGAACTCAATTCAAGTCTACTAAGACTAGAACATTTAGTTATATTTGCAAGTGGGTCAAAGATTAATACGTGATGTTGTTAATGAAATAAATAAAATAAAGTACTTACGACTCTATGATTTTCGTCAATATCAGTATCAGCTCAGCCTCAACTGCTGGTAAAAAGCACAAAGACACCAGTTCACAGAACGGACTTGCAATAAACACGAGCACGATTTTCAAAGACTAGCGCCATCTCTAGGCAATCACGCATATTGAATTTAGAAAATTCTATTTAAAGCGCTTATGCGGAGGCGCATAAGCTTTTGAGTATAGCAATGAAACGGTAGTAATCTTCAAACTTGAGACGCATTTTCAGTAATAGACGTATTCGAAAGTAAATATTTTGTTTTTGTAGTGGCATATTTAACATTCTCAGCGGCAACAGTCTAATTTGGTTTGCTAAACCTATGAATGAAAAGTGTAAAGAATAGTTTCTCCCATGATATTTTATTAACGCAAATAGGCCAGATTCCGAAACGAAAATTCGGTATTCCTATCACACGAAGCAGGCCAACGCAAGATTTTTTCCCAGACTCCTTTTAAGCTCTTGCGTTCTGTAACCAAAAGTCGAGAGAGAGAGAGAGAGAGAGAGAGAGAGAGAGAGAGAGAGAGAGAGAATGAATCCTAACAGAGGTTTATGTGAGGACCTAGCTACTCTGCGTTTGCGTTCATTCCGCATTCACATGCCGTGCGATCGTCTCGCTTTCTTCGCTCCTCCCTCGCTGCTTTTGCCGCTGCTGGTGCGTGTGCTCACATACCCGATGCGTCCCTCGCGCGTCACAAGTGCTCGGAAATAGACGCATAAAAAATCTCTTTTTTCCTCTGTCAGTTTTATTTTCAAAGCCCACGACGATGCGCATGTCGATGATACGGGAGACGTGACATTTTGTACTCGGCGCTCGTATCGCCGCACGGCTTGTATAATTGCTCGTTTACACACGGGCCTTGCATCGCGCGATGCAGGTGATGATTGCACGGAGGAAAGAACGACACTGCCACTTGGTTTATTCATCGAGGATTAGCCCGGGAATAGCTAATTACTGACGACAATTGCTGCTTATAGTAGAGGAAGACAGACAGATAGCAATTGATTTGTAAAGCGATGTCACAGGGCGGATGTTGTCGTCTACGCAAAAGTGCATGAAATTTGAATGAAACATTTCGCTTGTCATATTCTTTCTTTTTTCCGAGAGCTGTCTGTTTCCCGATGCTACACAATTAGTTTGACGAGAACAAGCACTAAATGGCTCAAAATTCAATGTACTTACCACACATTCGTCATACAACTTATAAATAGTTTAGAAAGAGATGATACGGTCATTTTCATTTATCTGTGACATTTTTAATTGTTTATCGTATGTTTCATATTGTTTAATAATTTTAATATTATCAACTTATAATTTATTCCTGTTCTTAGTTAAATTCGTATGTAGTAAACAAATTACTTTTTACAATAATCCTCTTTACATTCAAAATGCATCATCTAATATATTTGAAGTCTTTATTTTAACTAAAAATTGTCAGTAAATATTGTTATGTTAAAAGACATTTTTTAATATTAAAACCAATATATGTTGAAGCTATTTAGTGAAAAGCTTCTCTGAACAGCCCAAAACCAATGGCAATATTTATTATACAGGTTTATTTACGTACTAAAGTTGCTGCCTTTGTTCCATCAACCGCGCATCAATCTGTTGAAAGAAAGATCGGCCAAAATATCCCTGAGCGTATATATTCATTCTTCAACAATACTACCGCTATTTGTAGCTTTTGATCCAAAAAAAGAAGTTGACTAAATCTCCAAATAAAATATGCGAAGATTCAACTCAACAATTACCAAGCTAGTTTGCTAACTTCTGAGAGAGAGAGAAAGAGAGAGAGAGAGAGAGAGAGAGAGAGAGAAGGAAATCCTTGCATTCATTTTAATGTTTTATTTACTGTAATAGTGAAAAAATATATATACATATAAGAACGAGAGAGCTAGTAAAACCACGATAATACTTTGATTCGGCCACAAAAAAACATTGCTAGATAGAAAAATCAAGACAATTGATTGTGGAAAATCAAAACAATTTTTTTACAATTGAGAATTTTTGTCATTTTACAAGTTTCAAGTCGTCGATAACCAACTGGGATTGATTTCAACGAGTAAGTGAATTAAACCGAAACAGTGATTACAAGAACGTTACGCATTTTTTCTATTAACGTACTTTTCTTCGATTACTAATCTGATTTTTCTTTGTTAACAAAATCCATCCGAGTATTTTCCAGAACAAACATTCAAACTCGCTGAACGCTCGGTATAGGCAATCGAATTTCATTTCGGCATATTTTGGAGAACCGTAAGAGAAATCTCTTTTTTCAAAATAAAAAAAAAGAAGAAGAAAAGACTTTCCCAATCTACCCCATCACGATACCGAACCCATAGGGGTCCCATCGGAAATCTCGATCGTCTGGTGGATCGTCTAACGCCGAGCGGGCTCCCACATGAACGCGCACAGCATACACGTACGTGTACACGCAGGACATGGATGGCAGTGGCGGAGCTGAGAGCACGGTTTCGGAGTAAAAAATAGCAAAGCGGAGCAGAGTGCAGTGCGAGGGCGCCAGTGTCGTTGAAAGAGGAGAGAGAGAGAGAGAGAGAGAGAGAGAGAGAGAGAGAGAGAGAGAGAGAGAGAGAGAAAGGGAGAGGACGGGTGAGCGCGAGGGAGACGGAGCGAGTTTCATTCATGAACAGGCGGAGGCGGGGAGAAAGAGACTGAGCCGAGGAGCGCTAGCTGCCGCCGTCGTTGCACGGTCGCGGCAGTGTGCTGCGAGTCCGCCGCCCTGTGTGTATCCACGTACTACGTGCCGTACTTAAATCAAGACGAAGAAGAGAAGACAAGTGCGCGCCGATGTGTTCGCCGACGTGGACGACAGTGCCCGACTGCTAGCGGACGTTCCACGTGCCTTGTTCGCATTATCATTATATTTATTGCTGTCAATTGGTCTTGTTCATTCGCGTAGCAAACGAGCGGGGAGAAGAGTAGTTCGGTTGCCGCTGTGAACGGAACGCTCGCGCCTCCCTCGCCGTCAAGAAGAGAGGGACGGTCGGAGAGAGAAGGGCCCACTCGCAGAGCGAGGAGAATCGCCGGAGCTGCTTCAGGTATACTTTTCTCTCTCTCTCTCTCTCTCTCTCTCTCTCTCTCTCTCTCTCTCTCTCTCTCTCTCTCTCTCTCTCTCTCCTCTCATGCTACACTTTTTTTCTTTTTTCTTTTTTATCGGCGCACTTAACCTTGGAAACAGTCGCCGTCGCGCCGGTGGGATTTCGATATTGCCGATCGCTATCGCTCTCTCAAAGAAATAATTGCTCTCGCTGTCCGACTCTGTTGATTCCTTGTTGCGCAAGCGCGAGGCTATTTATAAATGCCCGGTGTTCCCCCGTCAATTTGCCAATGAAGCGTCTGCGCCCGCATAGGCTGATCTTTGTGTGCTCAGCTGACTGGCCACTGGCTATACGTACGCGTCGCCAGTTTCTCGGTGCATAAAAATCACAGATAACGAGCGCATCTATTCTCTTGGCTCGCGTTTCACGACGATTCAAAGAGGCGAGCCTGCCTGGCTGTTTATACGAGGCCGGCGAAAATCGCGAGTACCAGTCGGGTGCGCCTCGCGCGATCGCTCGGTCGCTTGGGAAAGTGCCTCGCAGTTTGCGCCAGAGTCGCCTACGCCTAAGCAACGCCAGCCTATATTTGTTTTGGTTTTCATCGGGTACGCGCAGCCGTCCGGAAGGAAGTCGCAGGGCATCAACGGGCTTGTCTTGATTGTTGGACGGCAGAAAAAAGAGACGAAGACGAGGAAGAAGAAGAAGAAGAAGGGGGAATTGCGACGACGGAACCTCTCTTTCTCTTTTTTTTTTCTTTTTTGCGAAGGAGGGCGAATGCGATTTTAATCCCCCTTTCGAGAGCTTTCGTCCCATGCCCGGCAGCCAAACGCTGTTGATTGCTTCGTCTACTTGTTGCTTGTCAAGCGCTCGCTTGCTCGCTCGATCACGAGACTTTTATGGGCAATAGCTCTCTCTCACTCCCTCTAACTATCAAGTCATATACGATCTGCATTCCCGCTCGTTTGCTCGATGGTATCGCAGTGCACTTGCTTGGTCTTCCAGATTTATTTTTTAATTAGTCGCACGAGTGTCAAAGAGAATCCAAATCCGACAATCGATCGCCGATTCCGGTTTGCTCAACGCGCGCGTAATACCGTGGATTATATCGGTGCACGCGATAGGTGCACGCACCATGGACTTGGTCCTCAAACGTGCGTTAGCGCGTCGTAGGCGGGCGCCTGCGGGTCACTCAACAGTCGTCCACGAACAAAGCTCGCGCCGTTGCCGATCGTCATCGACCCTCGCAAGTGTACTTTTGTTACCAAATAAAATGTACGATATTTATGTTTGTCCGATCGTATATCTTTGGTTCCTAACGATGGTGCGCAAGCAAGCCTTTCCAAGCGGGTAATCTCGCTGGTCTTTGCTGACACGTGTGCCGAAATTGGGCGTGCGATCGAGTGCTTGGCACACAGGTCGATTAGGCTCTCGTCTTTGAAAAACTTGTCTGTATGGATAGTCTCGGGCTTGGAAGCAGGAGTGAAGAAGAACCGTTCTCGCGACGGCGACAGCGACGAGTCGCGTTTTTACCGATCAGATGCCAGCGGCAATGTTGAGCAATAACACCAAACCGAGGATAGGAACAAGTTTATGAACGGAGCTCTCCTCCTCCTCCTCCTCTCCGCTCCTCACTCTCTCTCTCTCTCTCTCCGGCTAGTTCGCATCGCAGTCGAGCCACTGGTAGCTGACCTTTAATATTGCTCCGGCGTATTGAGAACGACTGATAAAGCAGAGCGTATTCCTCGCAGCAAAAAGTAAGTTGATCGTACTTTTGCGCAAGGAGCGCGTGAACGTATCGGGCGGCATTCGCGGGCTTTTAGCGTTCTCCGTCTCCGTCGCTCGTCTCATCTGGCTCGCTCGGTTTTTGCCAGTTCCCAGGAACTCAGGCTCTGCCTCCTCTCTTTCTGTGCCGCTTGGCCGGCGGCGCGGCTTGGCAACGTCGTTTGCTCCGGATCTCTCGATCTCTCTCTCTCTCTCTCTCTCTCGAGTGACGAGCCGCCAGTCTCGTCCTACTATTCTCTCTCTCTCTCTCTCTCTCTCTCTCTCTCTCTCTCTCTCTCTCTCTCTCTCTCTCTCTCTTTCTCTCCGGTACGCCTACCCATACATTCTGAAACGAACGCGAGGGGAATCGGCCTAAAGAAGGAGAAAAAGAGAGAGAGAGAGAAAGAGAGCCGAGTGGGGCTAGAAATGCTGCTCTTCTGTTGAATGAACCGACGCGTCGCTGCTGACCGTGCTCTTCCGATGAAAGAGGAGAGCGCGAACACATCTTTCTCTCGGTTTCCTCGTGTGACTCGCCGTGGCAATTTTCGGTTTACTGCTGCTGCCAACTGACGCCGTGCACTTGTCGCTCGCTTATTTATAAAGCCGATATAATGCATTACGCGCGCAGGCAGACAGACAGGCAGGCAGGAGCAGCCGGGTCGATATCAATGAAGCTGATTGAAACATTGGAAATTCATTATGCAGCTCGCAGATAAATTTATTCGTATACTTTCTCTGTCTGACTGTCTCTCTCACTCTCTGCCTGCCGCGCGTCTCTCTGTCTAACGCGGATAAATGTGGCAAAGCATTATACCAGTCGACTCGCCACTAAATAATTGACGAGCGTGACGTTCATTCAGCGAATTGCACTCGACCCCCCCCCCCCCCATCCGTGAAAATAGACGACGTCTTTTCTCGTGAGCGACCAATCGCTCGATGAAATAAACGAATTTTCGTGGCTCTATTTCCCTCACTCTCTCTCTCTCTCTCTCTTTCTATCTCGCAACGTCGCTGAATTAACTGGATATATTTCGGGTCTTCGAATTTTCACGGGGAAGCGAAATCGATTGGTTGCCGTGAGGATCTGGAATGACGCCGTGCGATAATAGCCGATCGATCTTAAAAGCATTATGTGGGCGTCAAGTGGCGGAGGAGAGGTCGAAGTTCAGTCACCCTCGAGCGAAATTCTTCCCTCTGCCTCTTCCTCTCTCGCTCCCTCGGGCCCATTGTAACAGTATATATCGAGTAATACGGGCGCCGAGGTCGACGCTGGCGGGCCCCGCACGCATCATCTCCCGTTCATCCTCGTGCGAGCGAGCGCGCGACTCCTTCGAGACGTGCAACTGGAGAGAGCCGATGAGGTAATCGATGAGCGGCTTCTCGTACAATGGATGCAGCGGTGGTGGCGGTGGCTGCGTTTAACGATCATCGCGCCTTTGATACGCGCTCGTTGTTTCGGTCGGCGAGATGAATTGGACGCGTTCCTTTTCTTTTCTGCCCCCGTCGCCTGGCGGCGCCTTTCGACCAATCAACTGCACTCGTCCCTCGAGAAAGTCTTATTCGAGCGCAAATGGAATCGTTTAGCCGGATTAGATTTTAATAACGTAGACGCGAAGGTTTGGCGAGCGCATATATTTTCGTACGGGCGATTAGTCATTAACACGCGCGCGAGAGATGGGCAAAGTAGCCTTTCTATAAATATTTCGCTGCAGCTTGGAGCGCTGTATGCAGCATCCGCTAGACCATTCGTTTTAATAATTGAGTCTCATCCTCGCGCGGGCTCTCTCTCTCTCTCTCTCTCTCTCTCTCTCTCTCTCTCTCTCTCTCTCTCGCTGAATGCGCATCGCTGGATTATAAATAAGGCGTTTTTTTCGGCCGCTGGCGACATTTACAATTTGTACGTGAATTATTCAACACCCGGTCAAATTAGTGTGTACGGCGCGACTTGTACGTCCGCCGCGTGCAACGAGCCGACATTGCAATAACATCGACCTTTCGGAATCCGGCGTCAGAAGAGCTTTTCCGAGAATGCACGCGGGCCAAGTACCTGAGCCACGGTGACTCGCTCTCTCTCTCTCTCTCTCTCTCTTTTTGGTTCATTCAGCGTTCGGCACAAAGGGGGCTGCTGCTGCAGCGTTTACTTGTTTCCTCCGCAAACACGTACGGCCGCAAGCATCACGCCGCGCCGCACTAAAAATATAATCGCGCGATATCGCACTTGCAGCGAGGGTCCGCCGGGCTAATTTTGAACTCTCTCTCTCTCTTTCTGTCCGCGAGCTACAGACTTCGATGGCGTGCAGGCGAGCACGCAGCGTGAGACACGCAGGCTCCCTCGAACACGTGTGCCGCAGCAGTTTTCCAATGTGCCGCACGAGAAGAAAAAACGTGCTAATCACGTGCGGTTTTTCCTCCCCCCCTTTCCGTCTCTCCCTCATCGCATACACTGGCGGGACGACCGATTTCTCCGATTTCCAGTATTCGACGAAAAATCTCGGTCGCTCTCTATCGCTTCATTAGCTTCCCCTTCCGCCATTTACAAGCAAATGGGCTTTCCTTTCAAACTGAAATCTGTCCGCTTCTCCGCTTTGTGTTGGCCTGGAATTTCCACTTGATGCCGTGTCTCTAAACCGCCCTCTTCACGGCTTTTCAGTATCCTGGAGAAACAAAACTCATTCATTCCCACTGCACCTTTCGTTCTGCTCTCCTCCCTCTCTCTCTCTCTCTCTCTCTCTCTCTCTCTGTCTCGCCCTCGCGCACTCATTTGGGTTGGCTCAACTCGGAAAGGTCATCGCCGAAAAAGAAGGCTCGTAACGAGCGTGCGCGACAAAAAAATAAAAAAAAAGGAAACGTAAGACGACGAGAGAGTGTGCAGCCCTACCAAGCTTCCTTCTTTTTTTGGCTCAAGCGCATCCACTTTAGACTCGTCCCTCGGGGGTAAAAGAGGGTCAAGTGCAGAGCACGACAGAAGCCGATGCTGCTGCGTGTCTCGCGATGCTCTCTTTTCGTTTGTGTCTCTGAGGCTCTGCTTTCAGCCCGACAGCGAATATAATGGTTCGAGCGCTGGCTTTTCCACTTTGTTGTACACCAACCGCACGCACTCTCTTACACCAAGTTCTCGGGGGTTTTTTTGCCCCTTCCACTCTTTCTCGTCACTTGTTGGCCAAGATTTGGCAACGCGATCGTCAATACCGAGAAGAAGCTTTAATTCTTACGAAAGATCGCATCATCAGTAATATAGCGAAAACGAAGTTGACGTTGACTACTTTTTTTTTTATTGACGTAATCTTGGCACAGCAGCGGATTTCACTCGACAATGTGAAAATAATGGGCCTACTCTTGTCCTCTTATTCCGCGAAACGCCAGTTTTATTTTTCGCAAGTTAACGCTGACTCGACGCGATTGATTCAAAAATACACACACACCGACACACACAGGACGAATCCGGCAACAAGAAAATCGAAGGTTCATTCTCACGCTTTGTGTGCTCGGAAAAGCGAACCATGACGTCGTAGCGAGCCAAGTCCTCGAAGGGCGTATTTCCCATGACAATGATATTTAACATAGATTTCAGGCGCGCGAGAAGGGAGAGAGAAGTCGGAAAGTCCAGCTAGCCGCTTTCTGCATTACCCTCAGCTGCAGAGCAGCAGAGGGGGAGGGGGGCAAACATCGATAGCTGAGAACAAGTCCGCCCGGCGATTCTCTCCGCGATCGTTTCGGGCCCGAGCGAGCACTTGTGCCTTTACGCGAGTGCGTCGATGTGCGCGCGCGTTGTCTGCGCACACGCACCTTCCATCTGTCTGCCTTCCATCGTCCCCTTCCCCTGGCCTGCCCCGTCTACAGTTCCGCTCTCTCATGCCGTGGTAATTCGATCCTCGAGAGAAGGCCCCGTTGCAAGTTCCCAAACCCTTCGCTGCACCTTGAGCCTTTTAAAAAAATGCATCTGCGGCAGACAGTGATTTCAGGGAAGCTGCGAGGCTTCCCTCCCGTTCCTTCAATCGTGTGCCGAGGCCTGCTGGTGGCAAAGCTCCTTCTCCCCCGTAATGAGATGCGTCCATGTTACCACGACGCGCGTGAGAAAATCATCGCTAATTTTCCTCCTTTTCTCTCCTCGTTCTCTCTCGCGCTCTCCCTCCCTCTCTCCCTCCCTCCCTCCCCCCTCTCTCGTTCTCTCACCACTCTGTTTATTTTGGAGCTCGCGCGCCAGCTGCTGCTGTATCAGTCGCGACTTTTCCCTCGCACCCAGTCGTTTGTTACATCTAACGAGCACGGACCCAAATTACCGCGAGGTAAAAAACTGGCTCCAGTTCGGTCCTGGAAGAAGCGACGATGATACGCCCAATGAATGGAGATGCATCCGTACTCTTTGACTCACTCGTCTCACTCATTTGATGTTTCAGACGAACATGGATATGGAATCACTGTATGACTACGAAGAGGAAGACTTTTACGAAGAGAGCCCCGGAAGAAAAGGATACATCAGTTATCACCGATCATCACTCAAGGTGAGCATCTCGCATAAACGCGCGCCATGCGAATCGAATCGAAGGGACGCGAACGCGCGCCAATTGCAATTTGGCTCTCTCTCTCTCTCTCTCGCTCTCTCTCTCACGCGAGTGCAAAGAAGAATATTCAATTTGGCCGTCTACCGCATCAAGTGCTAAATAATCGAATAATCTAGAATGCACGCAACACTAGGCTGGCTAACACCATTGTCCTGGCTGCTCAGCTGCAATCTGCGCCAATCGCTCCGCCAATTGCATTCGCCAGAGCACGCGCGTTTTTTTTTTCTTCTCGCTTGTCTTGCGCGCTCGTCGTCGACCGTCCCGCAGACGCGCAGGCATTCGCACGCCGCGTTCGCTCTGTCTGTCTGTCTGTCTGTCTCTCTCTCTCTCTCTCTCTCTCTCTCTCTCTCTCTCTCTCTCTCTCTCTCTCTCTCTCTCTCGGCGTTATTGCATTATCGGTGGAAATCCAGCTGTCGCGCACGCCAATTTTGCCAGGCGCGATGTGAGTGCGCGCGATCGGCGACGTAACGCTTTGATTATCGACGGACAACGCCGACGCGGGTATCTAATCTCGTCGCCAAGTTCGGGCGTGCTAGTAATGAAAAAATAAGAAGAAGTGAAAGAGAGAGAAAGATGAAATACAAATCAGATGTATGTTCTATTTATAAGAGGTGGAGACTCGAGACTCGCTCGCGTCTATAATTGCGCGAACGTTGAGTTTGGCATAAATCTCCGAGAGGTTTTCTCGGTATATATCGTCAGGCGAAAATAAACCTTTATCGGCATTCCGTGCTCGCCGCTAAAATTACAAAGCCGCTGCTACGCGAGAGCTGTACACGCGTTCGCGCAGTGAGAGAGAGAGAGAGATAAGGCAATGGAGAGCTAGTTTAGCCTGCCAATCGTTCGACGAGCTAATTCTATCGCCGATAAAAAAAATGAACGCGAGACATCTACCATGCGCCGCGGCTCTTCTGCCCTTTCCCGCACTTTTCGTCCGTCCCCGAGTCGGTGCGAGAGCAAAAGCACAATGTGACGCGCGTTACGCAAAAATTTTCGGCGAAAATATTGGCAGAGCGGGAGGGGCACGATAGGGCAAAGACACAACGCGCACTAATAATACTCGCCAACGAGTACAGTAACCCGCGTAGATGAGTAATCGCTGAAAGCTCTCGGCACTCTTTTTCGCGTTCGTTGTTCGATGCGTATAAAGACCAAAGCTTCTCACTTGGTTTTCTCTCTTTTTTTTCTTCTGACTCTTGACGCTCGAGCATTCAACCTCGATGCGAATGCACTTGCCAGCCGAGGTGATCAATCGCAAACAAGCGGCTGCATAAAAGATTGCCGTTTTTTGTCGAGCTTCGCTCATCGCGTGAGCTTTTCCGTGAATTATTGGCGAATCTGACCGTGCATGCGCGCACGGAGGCGACTGATCGCTGGCGTTAATCGAGTATTTTGGCCCTCGTTACTTATTCAATAACCCGCCTCTCCCGTCGGTGTCTATCGCTTTTTTATCCTCTCTCTCTCTCTCTCTCTCTCTCTCTCTCTCTCTCTCTCTCTCTCTCTCTCTCTCTCTCTCTCTCTCTCTCTCTCTCTCGTTGTATCTTCCTTCGTCCTCTCGGCGTCCTGACCTTTTCAGCATCAAACTTTCAAGGCTACTCGCGACATTGACAAACTTCTCGCACGTCAAAAATAGTCAATAGATCGGAAAAGTTTTGCTCGCTCATGCGCGCAATGCGCACGACTGAGAATTGATGACTCATTGGGAAATCAGAATCTCGAATTTATATCTGTCGCGTACGTACGTATGTACTTTCTAGCAACACGATGCTACGCAAATGTTAGTTCTTCAGCTGACTAAATAAGTGTATTCAATTTGGAGCGCTGTTTTTGTTGAAAAGCAAGCGAAAGCGCCAGATAAGTTGCAACATTGTAGCTCTCGAGTCGTTGTCGTTTGTCGCGCTAAACGAGAGAGACGTGACAAGGTTAGCAGGCGGGTCGATAGCGAATTCTCAATCTGAGAATAGCATCGCACAAACGAGAGAGCGAGAGAAAAGAACGACTCCTACGCAGTTACGGAAATGCTCTCACTCGCGACGTGAGCTATTAGCGGATCGCCCCCCTCCCTCCCGCCAAAAAAAAAAGAAAAAATAGTGGAAGCTACACCCGAAAGCTCCAAAGGAACGGCGTGGCAGCGGCAACAGCAGCTCGATAAGAGCAACAACAAATTGCCTCTGAATTATTGAGCAGCTTGGTATATTGAAATTCGCGGCGTAAGATGGCAGATAGCGCAGTGTTTGCCTGCCCTCTGCTCATGATTTATTCAATGTCGTATGAGTGCAAGGCGCATCAGCAACTATATCTGATCTAATTGAGCGTACGGACGAAAGAACAAATCTGCGCTTTTCGCCGCAGCAGCTTGCGGCAGCGGTCACGTCCTTCATTACCGAAGCGGCTTACATTCGCGTCGATTTCTGCGGGCTCGGTCAATCCGAAAAGCTCGCGCGCGAATAGATTTACATGTCTGAGAGGCTTGCGCGTACACACGCCGCGCGCAGCGTCTATTTCGGCCCCGCGTAAATTTATCTGACCTGCGAAGTGCATGCATTTTGCATAGAGCCGCTCGCCGTCAGTTCGATCGAATCGCCTGGGGAAAAGGAAAAACCGAGCAGCGGCCGAAAGCCGCGAGAGTGGACGAGAGTTCTTTGTCCGGTGTTTCGGGTGGGACCGGAAGGATGCGCCTTAATGACAACGGAAAAAGAAGAGGCGCGCGAAATTGTCATGCAGGACGGCTCCTCGGCGTACGCGTGTTCTCCGCGGCGAGCTGCTCGTTCGTCGATTCGTCGCGCGTCGTCGGGCTGCGCGAGCAGGACAGAGCAACGTGCCTCGGCCGCTCGGCAAAAGGTGGCTTTTGCCAAAGTTGGGAAATAGTCGCGGGCAAGAGCGCGCGGCTCGCTCCAATTCTAGCCACACGCGGAGCAGAGCAATCGTTGCGTCACTCGCGCAGCCGTTTCATTCAGTCGCGCGAAGGTCAAGTGGTCACCCTCCCCCCGCGGTTCTCGTCCGTTGCACCGCCAGCTCGTAGCTCCCCACCGCCGCTCTACTCTTTCGCTCTCCCTCGCTGCCGCCGACGCCATTCAGCGGCAGCAGGTTCATTCATGACTCCGGCGATCGCTCTTTCTCTCGCTCTCTATCGCTACTCGCTACGCTGACTTCAATACTTTCTCAGAGTCCGAAGCCAAAATTTTCTCTCTCTCTCTCTCTCTCTCTCTCTCTCTCTCTCTCTCTCTCTCTCTTTCTCTTTCTCTTTCTCTCTCGCTCCATCGAGGAGAAGCCTTTGCGTGCGCGCGAGAGAAGCTTCTTTGTCTCTCCGAGCGTGTATCCTCTCTTTCTCTCTCCTCTTGTTTCGCTGCCCCCCTTTTTCTTCTCTCGGTCCGCCGCGTTTTTTTCTTTTTTTTCCATTTCACTTTTTTGCGTGGCCTCAAGCCGCAAGGATATGCACATCCCGCCCCGATTTTCTTACTCCCTCTTTTGTAGCAGAGAGAGAGAGAGAGAGAGAGAGAGAGAGAGAGAGAGAGAGAGAGAGAGAGAGAGCGCACGTAACCCAAGTGTTGCCGGCTCGGCTCTCGGTTCGTGTTTCGAGCGAGCCACTGACAAAGGATCGCTACCTTTCTTCGCCCGGTAATTGCAGCTAATGGGTCGACGAACCTAGTTTTATCAAAAAGTCGCTCGCCTCGGCGAAGCTTCTTTCTTTCGGTGAGAGAGGCCGAGTCTACAGCACTGCGGAACTGCCCGAGTTTGCATGCTGCGCGCGCGAGAAGCAAACATCGACGGGGGTTTCTTTTCGTCGTTTAGTTTTTTTTTTAAATATCGCTCTCGGCGCGAGATTTGTCCGAGCACGCGGAGAAGAGTGAGCTTCGTTCGCGCGGCGTGTGCGGAAGACGTTCGGTGCGCGTCCGAGCGCGCGTAGGTCGCCGGAAAGTAAAGCTCGCGCGGCGGCGCGCGATAGAGAGGATTCTTTTTTTCATTCTAGTTTTCGTTAGTTGATACGCTTTCTAGATATACACCGCGACGACGACAACGACGACAACGACGACAACGACGACGATGATAACGACGGAAACACAATTAGTCAGGTTCCCGATAAAAAAAGAAGCCATGTATGCGAATGTATAGTTTAATTTTGGAGAGCAAGGTTGCTTTTGACAAAAGAGAAAATGAAATAAAACGAAGGATAAGGAAAGAGGGAGAAGCGGTAGGTAAGATAAGAGGCAGCGTAGATTAGTGGTCTTTCATTGATTCACGCCCCCGCGCGCTTGGCGAAACAGCGAATTAACACCAATGAAAGAGCGCATAAATTCTCATCGCCGAAGACACAGTGCCCCTCTATCCACTAGGCGAAATTCGAGCGTTTGATCGTTAAAATTTAGATGGGCAAGCGCGCAGCTCGCGAAATCGGCGAATCTCCAAAAGTCGAAATCCGGTGAGCTGTAATTAAGAGGAATGAGCGCGCACGAGTCACTCCTTAACGAGGCGGGCAATTACACGCGGGCTCTTATTAAAATCCTTCCGGTGTCCGATTTGCCGGGTTGTGTGTTTCAGCAGCAGCGGGATGCGCGCGCCGGCGTGGGCGGTTTGGACTGCAGCGGCGGCCTAGTCGGCGTGACCGCCACCACCGGCGGCGTCATGATCATGATGGCCAAGTACATGAAGCAGGAGCTTACCTCCGACGCCGAGGAGGAGGGTCTGGTGCCCAGCATCTCCAACCGATTCACCGGCACCTACGCCATGCGCAAGGTGCCCTCGCTATCCGATCTCTCCGATCCCGAGAGCTCCCTCGGTAAGTTGCTTCTCTACTTCCACACTACTCGTTTGTGAGCTCGGACGCAGCCGTGGCATTTGTTACGCGCGTTGCATCGTCTCAAACGCGCACTCTAATGATAACAATGACTGTATTCGCTCTCTCAATTTACTTACACGATTTTCCAATTGAAAGTTTATCAATTGATTGATGTAATATAGAAGGTAAGTGAATAATTGATCGTTTTGGTGGAGCAGCAATATATACCCACACGCACGTAGGCCTACACGAGGCCCATACGGCTTGAATTGAATAAATCGATTCGTATAAAGGAGAGGCATCGCTCTCGGGTACGAGCTAAAGTAACCGCATCGAATGGCACATTTGGCGCGCCTCGATGAGTGCCTTCGCCAGAGTAATAATAAAAAAGGAGGCGAGGCAGCAGCGGCAGCAGCGGCAGCAGCGGCGAAGGCGCTGCGAGTGCGTGCGCTGCCTGGTCGATGCGGGACTCGTTCTGATGGATGCACGTCGACTATCCTCTATTAGGATTGATGACGATGATTGCCGCGCGCGCGGAAGTTGGTTAAACGCAGATGCATCTGGTAAGACAGGCGCGTCCGCGGCTATCGCAGCCCGCATACGCGATGCACTCGCAAGTTTTCAGCTTTGGGCGGTTTTTCCTTCCGGCCTGTACGTGGGCGCTGGACGCCGAGGAGGCGCGACGGCAATCGCGCCCCGGCGCGCTAATTAAAGCCACGATTTCCCAAATTGCAGCGCTTAATTGCGCCGCCGCTCGGCGTGTCGCGCGCGTCGATCTTGTTACACGGCTAGCCGCCAGCCAGAGTGTCGCGGCGCGATGAAAATGTAGCGAGAATTCACGAATTGGATAATCAGCAGCATCCTCATTAAAGCCCCTCACACCGGGCTCCGCGTGCGCAGACGCCCCCGTCTTCCTCGCCGCTCGGCTCGGCTCAGCTCGGCTCGGCTCGGCTCGGCTCGGCTCGGCTCGGCTTGCTCCCGCTTTGTCTCGATCTCGATCACGGCTGCGTGCGCGCACCGATAGCGCAATGTAACGCGTGACCCACGTGCTCCGATCGACCGTACGTGCCTATGATAATGCGCCGCGTACACCACTGCGCTACGCCACTAGCGTCGAGGAATCGCGCGCACGCGCCTGTGTGCGTGCGCCGTTCCCTCGCACCTTCCTCCAACCTCCTGCCGATTCGTCGGCCACTCGCGCCGCCGCGGAGTCTATTGACACGCTAATCGCTCATTATACAACGCGTTCCTTTATTCCGGCAACGTCAATACATCGGCACTCGACGGTGTTATCGAACCCAAGGAGGCGTCGTCTTGCTCCTAGCGGCTCCGTTCGGTCGGCAATTTCGGAGCAGTACGGCGGCTTGAATTGGAAGCAGACGAGCGCTCGCGCAAAACTAATGAAGTCGTGCGACAATGAAAAGCGCGGCTCGCTCACGCTCAATTACGCGCTCGACCAAAATAAAGCTAATTAAAGTCTCCTTGGGCTGGCTGCAGAGTTTTGTTTGGCGGAATTATGTGAGTGCGCCGCGCGCGAGGGACTCGAATCAGGCCTGGAAAATCGCTTTCAAGACTCTGCTCGCTGCACTCATGTGTATACAAAGCGCTCACACGATTAAATTAAGTCCAATTCGAGGCGCGCGCTCACAATGCGAACGTGCCACGCAGTAGCGCGTTCAGCGGCAACACGCGCGCAGTCGCTTTTATAAGCGAATCGGGGGCTCGCTTAGCTCGCGCATTGTTCTGGCCGCGACGATCGATTTCTAACGCAACGCTCGGCGCGAAAGCTCCTCTTGTTTTACCGGGAAAACAGACGCTTCGCAGCTACGCTTAGCTATCCGTAAACATTGTCCGTTCACGCTCCCGATGACTTATTTAAAGCGGATCGCGCGCGCTCGAGGGTAAAATTAGCCGCTCATTATACCGCGACGCGCGCAGGCCGGGCAAACAGCGCGGCGGCTGCCTTCTCGTGGATGACCGCGCGGAGCCAAGTGTCGCCAATTAGCCAAACGCAAATGTCCTTCGGTGGTGGCCGGTGGCCAAGTCCACTCGGAAATATCGCTCGACGAGATTGGCTATGTACGTGCGTTCTCCGACCGCCTTATCGGCGCTAGAAGAAGAGCAGCGAACCGACGGTTTACCCGTTTAGGAGAGGCGCACTCGCGCGCGAGCCTATGTGTGCCGGATGAGCGACGACTTTTTTTCCGCTTCTCCTTCCTATCGCGCTATCTCCAGTCCGCCATCTGGCTTGTAAAGTCTGTTTTCGGAATCGCAGCGAACCCAAGTCTTTTCGCTGTTCGCGCGAGAGGCGCGCGAGCTTACGATAATCATTCCCGCGCTTCAGTTGTCTTTTTCGAATTCAAGGTTCCTCCCTCTCCACCCCCCCCCCCCCACCCCTCTCTCTCTCTCTGGTTTTTTTCCTCGAGAAACTATCCGGCGGGAACACACGCGACGTATTTGATTTCTTTGTCGGGGAGGAAGAAAAAAAGGCTTGTAACGTTCGGCGCCGAGAGGGGAGGAGAGCGACCGCATCGCGCGGGATATTTACACGAAGTAAACTTGCATAAGCGCGAGCGCTCGTATTCCCATGAGCGAGCGAGAGTCAGCAAGAAAATAACGTTTGGCCTGTTTATTCGTCGCTGTTCGGTGCGCGCTGGCCTGTCGCCGCCGCACGAAAGGCTTCCCTCTGACGACAATGGCCAACGTAAGCGCAATTACGTTTCTCTCGCTCGGTCGCTCGCTCACGAAAAATCTTTCTCGTTCGCACCGTGCACTGTACACTGCCTGCGACCGCAGATATTCCAAAACAATTCTCACGTTCGTCATCGACGTATCTTCTCCTCTTTGTTTTTTATTCGCGCGTTACGTGCGCGCGTGGACCTCGTAGGCAACGGTGACGACGTTCACGGGGAAAAAGCTCGTCGAGGCATTGCCGATAGTTTCAGACGATATCCGTGGATTCATTCATCCGCGATATTAATTGTAGTTTACGAATTCCTACAATTAGAACGCTTATGGCGCTGTTTTCTGTTTTCACATTCGACAAGCACGCGCATTGGAAATGACGTCCGATAAATTCATTCGTACACATTCGTTCGTCCGATCGTTTCATTCAGAGTTTCAACTTTCACGTAACTTTTTCTCTCTCTCTCCCTCTCTCTTTCTTTTGGATATCGGATACGTATACACGTCCAGCTGTAAATAGTCGTAAACGTCTCTCTGTCCTCTACTAATATCAACCGAATGTCAGAAAATCTTGTCCCATCGTGCCACTTAAGAAAAATACCCGAATCGAAAGAAAATGACGCCACTAGCGCGATAACATCGTTAATTAATCCCAATGATCAATTACTTTTTATTCGGATCTCATTGAAAGCTGCTATAGTGTATAAATATTATAGTGTTGCGCATATACGTCGTAATCGTGACGCGATAGCGGCGCGGGATTTCTACGCGTATCTGAAACGATCACCACGATACGTCGTGGCGTAGCCTTGATAAGCCGACAAGAAAAAGAAATCGTCAAACAGAACCGAAACGAAAATCACGATTAATCAAGTCTCTCCGTCGCGGAGTATTAAGTCGCAGAGGCGTATTTTCGAGCGTAAAAATATATGTAAGAGAAGCAACGACGCATCGCACGCCCGAAACTACGGAGTAGTAGGGACGTCAGATAACTGTTCCGCGAATTGCAATCTACGATTTTTATAAGTCTCCTACTTACTCACATTGTCAATACATACTAATATCCAACGGAGTGTGTCTGCGCGATGCTGTGCGTGTGCGTCGTGGCTATGCACTTCCCACGCGAACGAATCTTGCCACCACATAAGGATTATACCTGCAACACTCCTTTCTCGCTCTCTCTCTCTCTCTCTCTCTCTCTCACGCGCGCGCTTAAGTTCCAGGCTTCCATTCACGCGCCAGGCATCCATCCATTCACGAAAATCCACGCGGCGACGGCGGCGCGGCACGTAAACGTCGCGCGACCTCAGAGACTTGCTGCTTATTATTCAGAGATCCTCCTCTCCCCCTAGCAGCGGAGCTTTATTTATTTTTTCTTCGTCCGTCATCTCCCGTCATTCCCTCGCTATGCTCGGCTATTTATTTATTTATCTCCGTCGCTCTCGGAGCGTCTCGGCAAACACGCAGGCGGGAATTCATTAATGGGTCGTCCGCAGCGGCGACGCGCACTCGCGCATGCGGGCGTCACCTAGCGGCCGCGACTCGCGACCCGGGGCTTCGATGATCTAGCGATAGGTAGCGCGAGCTTGCCTCTTCGCGGTGACGAGTGGCTCGGTGGTCGGTAAGGTGGCCGACTGCCGCGCGCTGCGCTCTCGAGTCCACAGGGCTCGTGCACTTGGCGTTGCTCGTAGTTCGTTCGCGAGGAGGTAGCAGAGGCGCAGCGTCCAAGGAACTGGCGACTTACATCGCCAAATACAAAATATCTTCATTCTCGCCTGATATTCCTTTTTCTAGGTTGTAATTTGCGCGATAAGATGCCGTAGCTGCGGGCCGACGATCGATACGCTTTTCTGAAAAACCGGCTGCCGCGGGCAACTTTGGCGAATCCACGCTCCAACTGCTTTCGAGCTTCGGCTTCCGAGCGCGTTCGCAAAAGATACTCCGGCGTCCTCAACGAAGCTCGCGGCCGCGCGGCAGCTCGCAAGCGTTGCAACGGTCGCTGCGATAATCGATGCTAAAGCTGCAGTCTCGGCCGGGGCCGCGCGCGTAGATGTACAAGGATAGAGCTGGGACAACAAGCCAGTGCATGTAGCTGTTGCACGCGAGGCGAAACGCGCATGCACCTGTAGTGCGATGCAGCCAGCATTAGCGCAGCAGCGGTCGCGAGAGGGGACGTTAAAAGCCCGGGGGGCAGCAACAGGTAGCAAGGAGGGGCTCATGCGTGTGCAGCGAGCGCATGCCAGTTTCTCGCTTTGTTGTCAAGAGACTGCTGCTGCTGCTGCTGCTGCTGCTGCTGCTGCTGCTGCACCGATCGC